GTGGCACTTACGCCAGATTGCCTGTAAATCTTGCACTTGACACAAATGGCTCTTCTGTCAGATGTGACCCGTCTAAAAGCCCTTTGGATTCAGGTATCAGGGACATCAGAGTGAAAACAGGCGCAGACTGTTTCTCGCTCAGGTCAGGTATCGGGTGTCCTTATGGCTCAAACCTAAATAAGTCATGTTTGTTTGATTTCCAGCACAACGGTGGTGGGTGAGGTTGGGTTTTGGTAAAATACTGTAAAATGTGTGAGTGTCAAGTTTCAGTTAAACCTCCAGAGGCTATTACAGAGAAGTTTTCTTGTTTTCCTGTTATTTCGGGTGACTTTGTTCTACCTCAGTAAAATTCCTTTTTGTTAATGCTTCGCTTGTCTATTTATATCCTGATTGTGAGGAAGGTTGTAGCTGCTTTAAAACTATAAATAAAGATGTGTGGAACATTTTAGTGACGTCTGCAACACAAAGAAGGGCACATTTCTTACTCAAGCTCTCTTTGTTTCACTGCGTTGACCCATGTTAGAATCAAGCTGTTTTCTATTTTTAGTTTTAGTACAGCTGTTTTATTTCAAAGCATACTTTGCAGGCTGTATGTAACTTGCAGCAATGCACACTGCAGATATAACTTCAGATTCTTATAACTGAGTGACTTAGAGAACAAGAGAAATGCAGATAAATTCAAACACGTGTGGAGTTGTTTTTGGTCCTAAAAATAGAATAACAACACTAGCCTTCCTTTAGCGTTTGCTTTAAAACTGAGTTAAGTATTAATCTCCATTAAATATATATGACAGTGTTGTTATTGGAGTCTGAGACTGCTGCACTAAGAGCAGCATCAATAGTGTTCAAGGTTTGTTTTTTCCTTTTTATCCCATTTAATAAAAATACATTTCCAAGTCTGGCCAATAGTCATTTGTTTTCACACAGCACACACTTTGTATTGTCTTAATTATGATAGATGTTGGTTCACTTCAGTGCATCCAGTTATATAGGACTTAGAAGCCATAATGGGATAATGCACATGTGTAAGCTACTGGCGTTTGCAGAAATTTCATCATGTAACATCATGAAATTGATGTTATGACCGGTATAGAGGTTGATTAATTAAAAAATATTATTCTCAATCATTTGTGTCTCTGATTTTACACTTTTAAAATACCCCATCAACTGTGAACTTCCCATTTATTGTTTTACGCTGTGGCATCATTTTAGCATCATATAATGCATTCTTGATTCTGAACGTCACTTTTATTCATTTCATCTATGGTGCCAAAGTTATCTGAGGACTTGAGGTAAAGTTATTGAAAAATCTTGTTGCGAAAATGAAACCTTTACAACAAAACATAGCAAAAAGCAATTCATCACTTTATCACCATGGGAATTCAAAAGCAATCAATGTGCTCCGAACAACCCAAGTTTCTCGTAATAATGAATGTGGAGGAATTTGTCATGCTGACATTGTTGCAAAGACATATTGATAAGTTTCAGAGCTAAAATACCTCCAAGGCACAGGTGTATGTGCGCTCAGATGGAAGGAACGAGGCAAACCCTGTTGCTCTTACATAAGATCTCTGAAAAAATGACATTTTACAGCTTTGAGCGTGAAAGAAATGAGATGTAGAGGTTTATATTTGTGCAAGAAACAGGGGTTTGCATAATTTACTTACTGAATTAAACTCTTTTGAGAGGGCTTTTGACAGGACATGTGGGGAGAGATATGCAGCAAAGGATAATGGTTAGGAATTAAACCGTTGACCGTTGACAAAAAGGTCTATAACCTCTATACATATGGCACTTGACCACCAGAATTTAACATTTTTTACTATACAGAAATGAAAATCTGTTCAAAAGAAGTAATAATAGTAATAATAGAAAATTTAAACTTCAGACTTACAGAATAATACAGTAAAACTAACCTCTGATAAAAAAAATACAAACAAATTAGTGCTTTTTATCAAATTGGTGATACATCAATAAGTATAAGTAAGATGATATGAGTGATGGGAGAAAATTCAGCCAAGTAGATTCCACTGCACATGGTGGTCATACTGTAGCGTCAAGGTTTATCTTCCAATATATCAATAGCTGAAATAGGAATTTCATGGAAGAGGATCACGGTGAAAAGGTAAGGAATGGCCATAACTCTGGGGGGAAACATATTGAGGTCAAGGGTGCTCCTAGTGTTCTCTGTCTCACTGTGCTGGACTCATCCAGGGGAGACCAGAAAATGACTGCTGAGCATCTGAGTATTTCTGTCAACCTCAGCAGGCCTTTCACTCGACTTCTCTCCCCCCCATTCCACATTTCTCTACCCACTTTCCAGGACAATCAAAACACCATCCAGTGGGTAAACACATGGAGCCGTGGAGTGAGACGGTGCTGACACTGTGAATGTGTGAAGCAGGGCTATGTGTCTCTTGTAAGTGTATGAGAAGGAGAACAGGAGCATCAGTACAAAGCAACTCTGGTTCAGACTTTATGTTCCAAGAGAAAATGGACTTTTCAGATCAGTTTGACGACTGCAGGATGTAAACTGTAGAAATCATGTTGGATTTATAATGGAGAATAACAGTTTAAGCTTACAGAGTATGAGATAGGAATCAGGCACGAGTGTGAAATTGAATATGAACATGTATATCATTTTTTTCACATTTAATAAATGACTGAATGTTAAAATCAACAGTGCGCTTCCATCTTCTCTTGCTTTGAGGTAAGCAACCAAAGTATAATAGTGGGCCACGGTGTTTTGGGCTGGTGGAGCCAACGCATAACAGAGGCACTTGGACTGACTGACAGATTCCTGTGTTGGTCTGAAGTGGAAACTGAATGAAAGTCATTGACTCTTCTACTTCACTAATCTGGTAAAGAAAGCTGCAGGAGCTAACATTTGTCAACAGAGCTGTAGATTGATGTCAGTAGTCTACGTTTTTATGAGTAACTCAAAAGAAACTTCTCCAAAAAAATGAACTCTTGTACTTAGATCAGCAAAATACCGACATATCTGTATCCATGTTCCATCTGTTACGATCTTACTGTCAGTTCATTTGATTTGAGGATGTAACTGTAATATGCTTTTATCCACAGAGGCACAAGGTTTACATAGGTGTTAATTTGCACAGGTAAAAGGACTTTTTATCGAGCACCTCTTTCAATTGGTGTCTCTGCACTGACATGTCTTTTCAACCACTAGGGGGAGCATTAATCACCCTCACAGACAATAACACTGTACATGAATGAATAATATCTTCATGACCGATATAAATGCACTTCTGCTAATTATGGTGCCTTGATCATAAATCTCTTTCTGAATGACTGATCAACCTGCAGGAATCTCATGGGGCAACTTACAGGATTCATCTCGAGATGATCCAAGAGGAGCTGGACGATGATGAGTTTTTAAATACTTTAGGCTTAAATAATTAATGTATATTGATTTTCATTCAATGTTATGTGCTGAAATGTATTCTAGTGTATTGCTCAACTCAATACTTTTAACGTATCATATTGCGAACTTATTCAGAAGCCTGGGTGGATTTCTTTTACATAGCAAAGTATTTTCAATCCCATAAACCCTGAAGAATTACATAATTCAAATATTTAATTCATGAATTCAGATTTTTGAAAACTACTTATTTTTCTTGTTTCTTGTTCTTCATTTGTTTTAAGATTTCAATAGACTCCTCTTTTGGTTTTGATTTTGGGGGGATCAATTTTGATTGTTTTGTTTCTTGCGGCGTGAAGAAAGCCAAGGATTCTTGACTTTTATCACACATAAATCAATCAATCAATCATTAACTAAATAAATAAATAACAAATGAATTAACAATTTTGACTGATATTTTCATAGTGCTGCAATTTGTAGAGTTCCATTTGTAGATAGATAGATAGATCGATAGATAGATAGATAGATAGATAGATGGTTGGTAGGTAGGTAAGGAGATAGATAGATAGATAGATAGATAGATAGATAGATAGATAGATAGATAGATAGATAGATAGAGCTCGAAAGAAAATGCAGAGAAGCTTTAATGTAATTTGAAAAATGGAAGCTTTAATATATCTATGCACATGGCAAGCTGTTTGTCATTATAAATAATCAATAAAAATAATAAACAAAGAGATGGTCTCAATTTATAATACAGAAAAAATGTAGATAGATAGATAGATAGATAGATTGATAGATAGATAAGTCAGGTAAATTTAGACTTCAGTGGATGAAACAACATCAAGATAATAGTAAAATGACGGTACATGAGGTCTTCAGAAAGGTCTTCATGAATTGAAGTGACCCAACGCTCTCACTGAATAACAGAGAGATGAATTCACCATCAACATATGCCACCGTACCCATCCTGGTGCCGATACAAGGCTGGTATTAATGCAGAGTCTGTCTTCATTCACTGGATTTCACACACACACACACACACACACACACACACACACACACACACACACACACACACACACACACACACACACACACACACACACACAGAAAAGAAGCTTCCGCCTCGAAAAGGTGGGAGGTATCACATGGCAGCTGCAGCCAATCAGGAGTAAGTGCGCATTGCGATCCTGTGCAGGATTGTTTTATTAAAGGCTTGGTAGTGATCAATGAACGAGTGGAGCTGTCCGCGGTGCTGAAACTTAGCTCATGATGGAGAGACTTTCAGCACCGTGGACAGATCCACTCCCATCATTCACATTATAAATAGACCACCATTTCTGGAGAAAAAAAGATGAAACCTTTTTTTTTCTAATCTGCTTCTTGTCTTCTATCTTCTTCTCTAACTTTGCAGATCATTTTAAGACATAACTTTATGACTTTACTTCAACAGAAACAAAGCCTTGAGTCCCTCCACACATATAAAAGCATAACTCCAGTGTATCTGAACGGCCCATAGACTGAATTTGTTGCTGCTTCGACGCCAGGCCGTGTGGATGATTGGGTTTCAGCCTTTGCTTTATGCCTTCACCGCTGCTCAATCTCGGCCAGGTTTGGGGGCTGTATTTCCTCTGGGTGATATAACTCCTCAAACCCATTAATAACGCAGCCACCAGCGGTCACATCAATCTGTGGCTGCAGACACGAGCCCACGGACATGTAGGTGTTACTGGCCCGTGTGTGGTCACGTGGTCAGCCGCCGTTGAACTGAATGGAAACAGGAGCAGCTTGTAAATCAGCTGTGACAGCGAGCTACGTGTGTTTCTTATGAAGTCAATACATGGGGGATCACTCAGGGATTTATGAATAGGGGGGAAGCAGTGTAGAAAAAAAGGTAAATTAGACGAGTTAGAAGAGGTGTATGTGTCTCACACAGCTGGGGTGTATTGATAAAGTGGCATTAACAAACACAAAAGGTGTGTGTGGTGTTAATTTACACCTTTAAAGTGGACTTTCTAGAGGAAGTTTACGCCTGTATAAGTTATGAAGTCTTTGCAAAGGTGCAAAAGTGCAAAACTTAATTAAAGATAATTCACTTGAGTTTCTTTTCATCCTGATGAATTAAGGCCGGACTTCACAGCTCATAGTTTCAACCTTTTCATGACGTCGAGCCAGTTGTTTTGGTCCTCCCTGCCCAATCGGAGGCTCCGCTCACATTCTACCGGAGCCGAAATGGGTCTATTCATGCCGCGGCTGGCTCCGTCCTGCCGTAAGTACCACAACGCCCTTTGTCGGGGGCTCTGTGGTACCCGACTGCTGCTTTAAACAGCAGCACTGACATGGAAACCCCATTGCAGCTGCAGAACGATTTCTTCCCAGAGCAGCAGCAGTTCCAGCACTGTAAGTACCAGCACTACTGCGGGCGCGAGGATCGGCACGGTAAGCAGCAGCAGCAGCAGCAGCAGCAGGCGCACGAGCACTGCTGCACCTGCAATAACTGCACCTGTGAGGCGAGGAAAAGCCTCGTCTTTCGCGGGACGTCGCCGACCACTGTGGGAACTTTAAGGACACCTTCGGTAGCGTCTTCGAGGCAAGGTTGCCAATACAGCGTCTGCGAGTTCACACCCTCTAGTCATGGTAGTTCAACCAGGAATCATCATCATCCTCACCATCAGCAGCAGCAGCAGAAGAAGCAGGAGCAGCAGCAGCAGCAGCAGCAGTGCCGCGGTCGGCAGCGGGGCAGCCTGGGCAGCAGCCACAAAGACAGTAACTCCTACAATGAAATAGCCATGAGCAGCTGCAGATACAACGGCGGCGTAATGCGGCCGCTGAGCAACTTGAGCTCGTCCCGCGGAAACATACACGAGTTTGATTCCGAGTCCCAGCCTTTGCGGCCCATCTCCCCCCCTACTTTAGTATCCAAACCGGAGAATAATTCCACCACCCTCATGCCGCACCCCGGCTGCGGCCACAGCGGAGGCAAATCGGGGAAAAAGAAGAACCAGAACATTGGGGAAAAGCTCGGGCACAGGAGGGCCCTGTTTGAGAAGAGGAAGCGGCTCAGCGACTATGCTTTAATCTTTGGGATGTTTGGGATCGTTGTTATGGTTATAGAGACTGAACTCTCGTGGGGAGCCTATGGAAAGGTGCGTATTTTATCCGAACTGAAGCTTGTTAGGAGTTGATTTAGTGGTAAGAAATCGCTTTGAAATGGAACAAACTTGTGTTTCTTAAAAAGTGTTATACAACGAGAGAAAGAAAGAAGTCGTGTCTTTCTGCAAAGTGTCCCATGTAGTCACATTGTCACATGCAGGCCAACAGGCCCAACAATAAGGGGGAACCCCTCCAGAACAATAAGATATCGCATGTCACAATTTGTCAGCTTAATTATAACTTAGATGTCCTCTGTGCTGCTGATTTTTCCTCACGTTTTAATGCCTGCTTTTAAGCATGAATGTATTTGATATCACCATGTTGTTGTGTGTGTTGTTGGGCTTTAGTGTTGTTGCTCTTTTCCAGGAGTCCCTGTATTCATTAGCTCTAAAATGCCTGATAAGCCTTTCTACAATCATTCTCCTGGGGCTGATTATCATATACCATGCGAGAGAGATACAGGTAATGTACAAACTCCTTTGTTACTCTTTAACTCTTGGTGTGAAAACGCTCAGCAGTATATTATAACAGTTCATGTCTTATCTAATGTGGGGGATATGTCATGGAAGCATTTTCTGCTCTGTGAGTTTTGTCAGATTTAAGGAAAAAAAAGTTTTTGTAAAAGCAAATTTCTTGCTGAAAGTATGAGAACATGTGACCAGACACAGAAAATATCTTTGCAGCATAAACATTTTTGAACTTTTCTCAAAATCTATTAATCCCTGGATTTGCAAAAACACCTATAGAGGATATTCAAAGTCTCTACTTGGCAAAAAATGATCAGTTTATTGTAGGTTTATATTTAATTCAGTAACTCCTCACAGTGCTCATTGGGTGCATATAGATTGTCAGCCCTCCCCTGAGGCGTTTCAACACTCGGACAGTTTTATGACCTTGCCTCAGAGCATTGTTGCATTACTTTCAGTACTGCCTGCACTTCAGCTCTTGTGTCTTTATGGAAGAGACAGAAAATTAATAGTTTCTGCAGGGCGAGATGCATGTTGCCAGGAAGCTTTCATGCCTCAGATGCGGCCTTTTGCCTTTTTTTCCAAATTAAATCAACTTAAAAGCAAACTGCTTGTAAAGAAATGCAGCTCGAGCGTTCTCTCGGATGCCGAATGACAGCATGTTTAATCATGTTAATGGATTTCCTTTTACACAAGATGGAGACTTTTTTTTTTTTAAAGATCCCTTTGGCTGAATTGTATGAGCTGATTTAGCTGTTTTCACCTGATTTCATTCAGAATGTAAAAAAGGTCTAATTATAAAAAGGAATACACTGAACAAAATTATTCCACTTTTTGTGTTAGCTGGAGTGTTTCAATCAGCCTTGTTGGTATTTTTAGTGCTTCTAGGTCTCAGGGGAGAATCACTCATTGAAATAGCACCACAGTAAAATGTGTCGTCCCCTTCAGATGTCTCATTGTAAACCTTTCTTTATGAGGGATGATAGAAATGCACACACACCATTATCATATTTCAATTCATAACACAAGTGTTTCCATTTCCCTTGCAGACACTTGCCCAGAATCGTAAATTACAAGTTTGCATGAAAGCATCACATTCACCCTTCCCTCCCTCTGCCTCCTCACCTATTCCTCTAATCCTGCTTGAATTATTTCATTAATAAACAGAGACTTTTTCACCTCTGGCTCGTGCAAACTTTTCGTCTATGTTAAATACTGGAGCGATTTAGTTGTGAGTAATGTGTTGAGAAGGTGCATTTTTCATCACAGCAGGTTTCTACTTAAAGAGTGTTGTAGCAGATTGTGTTAAATTGGTTGTCAGGCTTAAGATTTACATGCATGGTTCCTGTTAAGAATGAGCCAGTTTAATGCACGAGCAAAGAAATATATACCAAATACTTTTAGTTATTCTATCTGATATGATCTGTGATACAGCACCACTTTTCTACTGACGAGTACAGTGATGATGGTGCATTCAGAGACCTTGAATTCGCTTTTTTAAACGTCAGAACTAGTCATGAAGCAATGTTCTCTCATTCACAACACTCAAGCTTAAGTAGCTTTGATTTTAGCTCTGAAACAAGCCTTTCCTTTCATTCCTGTAAGTGTCAGAAGCTGCACATTTACCTAACAGGACGGCTGTTTCAAACCTCTTTGATGCAGACTCCTATGACAGTAACGTGGATGCCTTCAACATTTTTCTACTTTTGCTGACCTAGAAAACTTTTTAAAGGCAATTGTTTTCTTTAGATTTCATTACTGCACTTTTTGCTATACATCCCCCCTTTCACACTGATTTATATATAGTTTATTCAAAGCCTGAAGCCTCTAAATGAATCAGAAACATCGCGTCACTGCAGTGTGTTACTCACTGCCTGCTACTTTGTGCGAGTTGGGTTTTAAGGACTGTTTGCTAATTCATCAAGTCCTCTTTGGAACAAACTATCAGCTGCTTCCTGTAAAGTGACTCTGTCTGACTATTTAAATGCAGTTCCTAGTGTTTATACTTCAACTTCCACAGCACCAGCTGCTCCTTTCCTTCCCTGCCTGAGGGGCTTTTGTGCCTGTCGTTGCTAGTCTGTCATTACTCGGTTCCTGCAGACTGACATATGTGCTTGCACTCACACACTCGCACACATACACACACAGACAAATTAATTCTACATCTATCAGGCTAATGACTCTACATACACACACCGTGGCTCTGGATGTGTGTGTGTTCCCACTCTGGTTCTGTTTTTCCTTCTTTACTCACATGTTTTATGTTTGTAAGGCCAGCATAGTTTTTTTTTTCGTCTAGTAATTAGTTTTGACTCCTGAGCTGAAATTATAATGACTGAAGTAACATCACCTGAGGCACTCGAACCGACTTTCTCAGCCACGAGAGGCCTCGTACAGCTCTGTTTCAAATGTGTTGTACTTAGGACCTCTAAGCTTTATAACTCACCACAACTTAAGCAGTTATGTGCTCTTACCTCTTAATGTGGACTCTTTTTTATTTTTATTTTGAATTAGCAACCCTCTCCTCAGACCGCAGCAGACTCAGCTGACATTACATGTGGTAGTTTGTGGGCTTTCTTTGAAGCCACTAAGGCTTCAGAGAACTTTTCCCTGTGTGTCCTGTAGACCTACTCTGTATTTCTTACAATATTATTGTGAAAGACTGGCATTACAGACATAACCCACAATTTAACTGCCTGCAGGTGGGCAAGACATTTGAGTGTTTTATTTTTTTATTTTTTAGTTGTTTTGGGGCATTTTTGCCTTTATTAGACACGAAGGCTGAAGAGAGAGTGTGGGGGCAGACATGCAGCAAAGGATTACAGCCTCCATACCTGGGATGCTGAGACTGCTGAGCCATCAGTGACCTGAGATTTCAGTGTTTTTATAGCAGAAGTGGCCAGTGTGGCCTTGAACGTCTAGCCTGTATGAATAAGGAGCAGAAGCAACTTTATTTTCTGATCACTTTTTTTTGTACAGACAGATTCATTTGCAGTATTTATTCATCTTCATGTTTAATTCGCAGTGCTGAGGCTGACTTGAGTGACATTACCCAAGGCAGTTTATCAGATGTTGCTCCGTTTTCTCTGGAGCCCTAAGTGTTGACATTTTTCTATACTCTGTAGCAGGCTAATCCCTTAAAACTGTTCCTGACTTGTCTGTGTAAAATCGGTGAAGGTCCCCTTCAAAAATCTGCACTCTGGCTGTGCTTGAATGATGTTGGTTGAGTAACTTTATCAGATATTATACAACTCTTACCTTAGGCTGTGCTGTACTTGGAAGAAATAGACCTTGAAAAGAAAGATTGTGAAGTTTAAAAGGTTCCTCTCTGACAGAATTTGACCCTCCCCTCCTGGTTTGTGACCCTGTCCTCATGTATGTCATGGCTGTTCAAGAACCTGCAGTGTTACGTCATTGGTAGACAGTTATTTATTTGAGAGTGTACTTTTCCTCGTGTAAAATTTGGCTCCTGCAGCGAAACTGATTACACATGCACACCCATGTGTACCCACAGATGCCTGTCAGATGTAGAGCATAAGTCAGGATGATGAAATATTTTCCAACCACTTCTCGCCCCTTAAAACTGATTTACTTGTCAGACTCGGTAAAGACTGTGCCCTCTCATTTTTATTGGGTGTAACAACAGAAAGTTTTGACGACTGCAAACTCTAAAGGTCAGGGCAGACGGGATGGATGTTGGACACCAGCTGTCATTAAGTGTTCAGGGAGACATCTGCTCTGATGTTTGACCTACTGAGCCATGTGTATTAACAGCAAGAGACTTGTTCGGCTAAATGTCCTCATATTTGTCCCAACGATCTACAATTAAGAGAAGCCCTTTTAATGTCTAATCCCCATTTGGGTAGATGCTGTTGTTTTACTTTAAACTTCTCCTTGAAGTGCTATCGGATTCGGTCCCAATGAGGTCTTTTGTTGACAGCTGGCATTACGCCCGTGTAATTTTTAGACTTTTAGTTGGGTTGAGTTTGCTGTGTTGGCAGGCAGCTACTTACGGTATAGTACAAAAGGAAATGGAGAGGTTAGAGTGTGTCGCTGCTCCGTGACTTTGATCTGTCATTGTCAAAAATGAGCCGTGATATCTCCCTCTTTTCGGTGTGTAAGGTTGGTGTGTTCACCTTATTCCTAAAAACAGACACGAGCTGACATTTCCTTCAAAGTTTTCTCTTCCTCTCACATCAAAAAGCTCTTTGCTGAGGGGCGTTTGTGTTCAGGCCATCTCTGTGTTGTTGTACCTTGTGATGACAGTTCTGCTGAGTTTCCTTAAACTAATTCAAAATGCTTTTGGGGAGCTGTTCTGTCTTTGATGTGTACTTTTTCCTGATAAAAGTCAGCGCTGATGTTCCACAGTCACGCAGTGTAACAATTTTTAATCTGCAGAAAAGATAAAATAACAACACATTGCCTAAACTGTGCCAGCACAATCCTGCCAAAGTCAAACTTGGCCCGCGCTTGTCAGACCGCCCCTGGGTGGTGCGTATGTGTCAGAGATATGGTGTAACTGCAGGAGACGCTCTGCATTTCTCACAGTGAAATCTGCCCTGTACCTGAGACTTCAGACGAGAGTCAGATAACCAACGCTGGCTGGTGACCTCGATGTTTTCACTGAATGTACGGGCTTTCAAGGGCAGAGATATTCAGCCTCCCAAAGAGCCGAGAATCCTCAAAATTATTAATTCATGGTTTCAGTGAATTGTGCTCTGCATGTGACTAAAAACATGCAGATAATTCGAGTCTTGTATTTTGTGCAACTTGGCTGCAGCAGCAACAACACTTAAAAGAAAGAAAGATTTATACAAGCTTGTACTTTCGCTGAGAGAGGATTTACTTTGCTTGAATAGAGGAATGCAAATGCAAATGTGAGACTTAATTTCGGAAACAAAAGCAAACTGAAACTGCAATGGCCTCAGATTTACTCAGCAAAGTGGCCTCTTAGTGGCTCGCTTTGATATCATAAATAAAGCATTGCATTAATGTCTAATTGGGCTAAACCTCTCAACCTAATTCACTAATGAGATTGAGCGATTTCATTCTCACTGACAAGATATATGTTCCCATCTCCACATTACACAGATTAAATATTGAGCTGGACTCCATTAGTTATATTGAGCGTAGTGAAACCAGTAACCAAGTCAGCTAGCGTCGCAGGTGAGTCCCAGTGGGACTGCCTGCCACAGGACAAGAAATGGTCACAGGACGTGTTCTGTGCTGTTATCCTTAAACCTGACATGAATGAAACGGTCACATTATAAGAGAGGGATGCAGTCCATGTGATTGAATGGTCCATTGGCAAACAAACTGAATGTATAAGAGAAGCTAGTGATGGCTGGATTTGTCCTCATTTTGAATGATCAATGTATTGAGTGTTTTTCCTCTTTGATCTGTTGTGCAGTGTAGAGGCTTTGCATATGTGCGCTGTATGTGCTCCTCTGCTTTATTCTCATTGTGAAGGTACCATCGGGTATACAGTGAAGAGACAGGTTCAGATAAAGGCAGGTCTCAGTTCTGAAACAGGCATGATTGAGTCCAGATTTAACCACTAAAATAGTCAATTATGGATACATTTAAAGGGCTAGTCAACTCATTTTTTAAATAAAAGAATACCTAACTATGTCGATCATTTTAGTTTGATTTCATTTTTGTCAGTCTGGTAGCTTTTCCAGAGTATCTGGGACATCGTGCCTTGAAATAAATGTGACTCTTTAATTTTTAGCCAGTCTCCCAGCATGCCATATGTGGCGGTCTGTCAGTTGATGCTCTGCTTTGGTCCAAGGACGACTAAGCCAACAATTACAAATGATTCTGTGAACCCTGCTGCTGGCTCCAGAGCCAGTGTTGGGGTGACATTTGTTGATTTGAGTATGAAATGGTGTTTAATTAACCAAATTTCATATGCAGCATCATTATTGGGCTAAAATTTGAATTATTATGTCGCTGAAGTTTACCATGAAGTATTTCCCAGCTAGGCCACACTCAGTTAAAAAGACTTTGGTCAAAACCCTTTAGAAGTTTTCCCACTAACATTGAGTCTGTATATTATAATTGTAGCTGCCATGCCAATCGTGCACTGGCATGGATAGGGGCCCACTGACATTGAGAGTGTACAGGGCCCAGAATTTGGTGCTACGCCCCTGGCTGTTGGCATCACCAGTGATATGTGGTTAACTCATCTTTTAAATGGATGTACCGGTGTTACACACCCCGTCGAGAGAGGAATGTTGCCGACCGCTTGCTTCTCTACTTATACCAACTTTAGTAATGACCGCAGGACAGCAATACACAGCGGTCTGAGGAGCCACACACAAACCTCAACCAAAACGCCACTCTATATCCACAAATAATGCTCAGAACAGCACCTAACTTCATCAACAGTACATATAGGGTCCCAGCCACAGCACTAGCTACCAAACATCTTTTTAACTTTGCCTGATTTCTTTAGTAAAGAGACTAAACACAACTCACCTACTCTCTTCCAGCAGCTGCTTGTTTGTGGCGAAACCTTGGGCCAGTCCATTACAGAGCAGGGTGTCTGCAGAGCAAAATGATTAATATGGTGATTATGACTTCAAAGAAATGATAAAGTAATGACCCTAAATTAATTTTACGCTGGAATATCCCTTTAAGGGACACAGTATACTGGATTACAGTTATTAACTGGCTCTAAAAGCTTTTAATAAAACGTAAATAGAAAAAATATAACTGGACTCCTCATAGCGTTTTCCTGGTTTTCAGAAGGTCAACCAGGGTATCGCCAACAGGTAACTTCCTGTTTATTACGTTTGACAGCATTTCCATTGTAATGCTTCTTTTAAAAATCCTATATTATGGAGAACATTATCTTAAGTCACCTCAGATTCAAAAGTGGCTGTTTTGGTTATTTCTAAGGCCCTGGTACCTAATTCAGAGTCGTCTGTTTTATGCCAGACTCAGTGTCTTATTATATTTTGATGTGATTTGAAGCGCTCAGTTTATGGTGTTTCCACTGCGGATGTTGTTTCCTCCTCCTCTCAGTCATAACTGTCTGTTCAGCTGTTAGCATGGAAGATTCGATGCTCTGAGGTAAAGGGCCCTTGAGGATTGTATTTCAGGTCATCCATTACCATAATTGCTTTTACCAACCAAGTAGGCTTTCCTTATGCAACCTGCGTGTAAATCTTTAATTACATTGTTTTGAGGCAACAAACTTTGTAACTGCTTTTGACAGGCGGGGTTTGTTGTTTAAAATGTAAAATAAAACGCTTCTTGGGCTGTGTGCAAACAATGGATTTAGCTGTTTCAGAGGCCTAATTCTGTAAGTAAGACGCCGCAGCAGAGTGGAGTCACAGCTTGTGTTTCCATGTCTACATTACACTCTGTTGGAAAGACCGAACAAGGCAAGCTGTGGTTAGAGTTACACACTTCTCTGACAGATGTCAGTTTGTTAAAGGAGCTCAGTGTCACTCATTTGATATGAACAACTCCCTCTAAAAATTTAATCCCTGTGTTTTCTGTGTTTGCGGGGAACTCTGATTGTGGCTTTTAAATAAATGTAAATGAGCCACAGAGGCATTATGGCGGGCTTGTACCATTTGTCCATGAACATGCGTTGGTTGATTGGTCTGTTTTTGCTGTCCACTAGTTTTTTGACCGTTTGCACTTCTTATACAACTGCGTTTGGGACAATGAATAGCTTGAAAGCTATAATTAGCATGTATTTAATGTTGAGATTTATTCAGTGTGTCAAATTAAGTCAGCGCCTGTGATGTTAGGGCGCCTTCAGAGCTGTCAAGCTGTATGAGAAGCACTCAGGTATGTCTATGAGAAAAGTGGCGGTGGAAAGTCTTATTGATTTTCAAAGTGTCTTCTTTGTCCTTGAACATGATGAATACGCACCTTCTCTGCGATATGAGAAATATGACTATTTCAGCAATTTAATTTTATGTAAGGTATCACTGCTAAATTTACAATCTAGGTCACTGATCCCATTAGCCTTCCAGGATTGGGACACCTTTTTTTTTTTAACTTCTTTAATGAGAAACTCCAAATTAAACTAAATGGAGACTAGTTGGAAAGGTGCCAAGTCGTGATGTGGGCCTCAAGCAAGTGTTGAAGACAGTGAAAGTTTTATGTCTCTTAGATTTTAAATGGCTGTTTCCACAGATAAATCAATACAAACAGTAAATTTCTAACTTTAAGGAAGTGGATTCGCATTGTTGTGGTCTGACAAGGAAGCTCACCTTAAGTTTGAAATTAATTCAAAGCAAGACCTTCCACATGGACTTTTGACATTTAGTTGGATTCTCATTTGACACAGAGAGAACTACAAAAACTCCAGTTTTAAGTTCAATATTCTCAGATGCATATTTACACTGTCATTTTTAATATATCAAACAAAGACATTTCTTTATTCCTCTTCCAATAAAATGAATGCCTTTACCAGTTTGATTGAATAAGCAAGAATAGCACAGTCAGCAGCTGTAAGGAGCGTTGGGACTATTGACTGTATAAATCATGATATTTCATGATTTATTTATTATTTATTTATTTACATAATATTTACATATAAATATATATATTTACATGATATTTACATGATACATGATATTTATTTCATGATCATAAAATATGATCAACGTGGCCTCTTATCTTCCCAATATTAAAAAAGGAAGCCAGAATATCATCTTTACGGTAACATATACGCACAAAGTAACATATTTTGCTGCAAAAGAACTGTATGATTAGTCATTTCAATCTTCCTTTCAATACTAAAATAAACAAGTTTTTAAAATCTAAAAAGAAAATTGTGTTTTGAGATAGATTGATGTTGTGGCGATGTTTTTGCCATATTGGTTGAAAATTAGTGAAATAAGGTCTAAGATATCCCAACCTCTTTACCTGTTTTCAACCAGTTTTCAACATTGAAGTCTGAGGTAATGCTGACTGTAAATTGCTGTAATAGGATGCTTGTTTGAAAAAAATGAATTTGTATATTTTAATTGTCTGATTTGACCCATGTCCCATCAGTTAACATGGATGAGGCAGACTATATGAGTTTTTCCGTAACCACTTACCAGGAGAGCTCAAAATGTTTTGACTTCAATTTCGGAGAGTGGGTGTACTGTCCTTTTTTATAGAGCAGGACGGACCGTTTAACTTCTCCGGTTATTAAAGAAGGTTGGGGTGTACGAGATAAGCATTTTATCATGGGTTAATACATGTTTTTATCTGAACCATGGTTCTCACATATTGCCGATTAACAACCTGCAGCTTTTAAAAAAGTGGATCTCTTTTAACGCTCCCCTATGATGGTGTTTTTAGTGATTTAACACATGCTCTATGTGTCTTCAATAACAAACAAAAAAAAACAAAACACATATTTAGTTCCTGGAGGATCTGTAGCTTTTCAGTCTCTAATCTTGTTATCCATGGAGTCATCTGTGTGGGCAGGGATATTTTGATAAAGAGACCTGAATGTAGTCTGAGAGTTCAAACCATTGCAGACATTTACAGAGGTGAAAAAACACTAAGGTAAATATGGCGAGGTCTCAAGAAGAACCCTCACCAGTACCAAGTCAGATGTTTCTAGTATTAATCTGTAAATATCACAAAGTGGTAAATAGTTTAGGAGGAAGAATACTGGCAGTGGGAGTGGTTTTATATACCTATGCAGATTACGCCTGTCTACATATATATGTCACCACAGGAGCAAAATTAACAGCTAAATTTTCCCAGCAGGTGAGCTAAAGGAATCGCACAGAAGCTTTTCACTTTCTCGTCCTCAAGATTGCTCGATTAGAGGATAACTAAAGTAAATAAGCAAAGGCAAGGACAAAGAATGTTTTTGTTTTGTGAAATCATTAGAGGGGATTATGCTAAATCTGTAATCAATCTTAATATCTAGAAATAATGTTTCTTGAATGATTCACCAGTCCCTCTAGACATTAGAGAACAAAACCCTTAAAAAGCGGCTCCATTTTTCCTTTTATTGTACAAAACAACCTTTAATGATCCATAGCACACACACAAGCACCATTTAACTGATGTGACTTTCCTACTGTATTCATTAAATCTATTTTTAATAGAAAAGTACCCGCAGAAAGGATAAAACAAAAACATAAATCTCTACCATGAGATAATAAAGGACCGCCTCCCTGAGCAAAAAGAAAACTATCTATAACCCTTGTCCTTTTGTGAACCCACCTCCTCCTTTAATAATTCTTTTCCAGCCCCTAAACTTTAAATATAAATTAACCTCTTCATGCCTTTAGGTACATGTGCAATGGGACTAAAGTCACAGAGAATCCAAACTACACATTTTAAACATTTAAGATGAGCTCAGCTGAGAAATGAAGCAACCTGTGCACAATCTGCTACACTGAATGCAAAAATATCCCTCTATATGTGCATATTTTTTATCTTAAGTCACTAGACATGGTATAATTCATCACCAAGCATATGAAGAGGGTTTTCCCCTAAAATGTAATCATGTGCACTTTTTCTTTTCTCTACTGCGAGGGGGCTTCTGCTCTTGAAGCAAAAAAACAGCCACAGGGAAACCTTGCTTGAAGTTGCTGACGGCAACATTTTGTGAAATATCTACTCAGGGCTGTGACGGCTCGTACACAGGCAGAGACAGACCTTGAGGTGATTGAGTGTTTGGAGCAGGAGCAGCTGTGGAGGAATATCAGTGCGGTGTGTCAGAAAGAGGAATTATTTGACAAATGTATAGGGAGCTAATACAGTTTGATAGTGTTTAATCCTCGACCTGCAGCTGCAAATATAAAACCCTGTGAGAGGAGGAAGATGGAGATAGCGAAGCCGGTACCATGAGCATGAGCAGGGATCACTGTGAAGGAGGTGGACATGGCGGTCATGGGCTGAGCTCATAGTTCAGGGTGAATACACTCAGCAGTGAATCTTCCGATGGCTGCAGATTGGAGTGAAAGTGATGAGGAGGGAGGAGGGGATGGACCTGAGGTGACCATGTGAGAAGGGGGTGTTTATGATAGAGGACAGGGTGGAGAAGAGTGATGAGAGGTGTAGAAATCCGCCCACTCTCTAGTCCCCGGTGGAGCGGCCTGCCTTCTGGTCGGGGTGGCCAGGCGACCAGAACCTAATGCTAATGTGAAGGCGGCAGATGTTCCCATCAGCATAATGCTTTGAAGTTGAAAATGCTTACTGCATGATGCTAATGTAATACTTATTTTGTTATTTTTTTGTATCTGAAAGCAGTAAGGGGAGGCGAATCGAAGGGGGGAGACTTGTCGCAGTGTTGGGTCCTGGTGCATTAGAGTCATACAGTAAACTGTCTGTAACCTGCAGGAAATCACAAACTTCACATTGTTGTTTTGTTTTTATTTTGTGTTTTTGGCTCTTAACTTGAGTTGATGGCGAATATTGTTTAGTTGTGAGGCATTAATTACACAAAAAAAATTAGGCTGCATTCAGTAAGTAAGAGTGTCTACGATTGATCTTGTTTAAGGTGACGACACAACATGTTTGCCTTTTGTTTCCCGTTTTTTAAAACAAATACTCATTGATTTACTTTTATACCTATTGTTCGTTTTCTACCAATCTATTCATTGATTGATACCTTTCTACTGTCCTTCCTTTCTGCCGTCATATGAGCTCAATTTTATTTGACAGGTTGTTGCAAGCAGTGCATTTATCTTGATATAGAGATATTTTTCAGTTGAATGGACTTATTTTTTTCATGTGCTGTCTACTTCAATTCTTATCCATCCTATCAACACTATTATTATGTTAAACAAGATCTTGTTCAGATCTTGCAAAATAAAAAATTAAAAAATCCAATAGCTTAATTGCCAAAAGAGGACAGCCCTCAGTAAGAGTCTCCAGCGTAGATTGAGGGTAAGGATCCTTCAAAGAAACCATCCTTAACCTTTGTAGCCTGCAAACACTACTCAGGCTAAACTTTTTGCATCGCCATCGTGCTGCCCCTGTTGCCTAGCAACAGTTATCTGTCTAGCAAACTAGCCCAAGAGTACCTGGCTGCAGAGTGGAGCTCTGTATGTGCATGCGCAGTGGGTAGTAGAACCTCTGCTTGATTACTGGAAAATATGGCCATATCATCGGTGAAAGTGGATTTTCCTCACAAACCTTTACAGTAAAACGTCTGCAGACTTTAAGTGGTTAGTGGTTTTGTCAAGAAATAAGGTGGAAAGTGTCTCTGATCTCATCAGCATATTTATTCTAGTGCAGATTTTACAAACCTTAATGGTTAGTAAATGGTAAAGTTCTGAATCATTTTTAGCCACATTGCGCCCCATGTGCTCAGTTCTACCTCTGTTGGTGTGTAAAGTTTGTAAAGTTTACTTCTTCTGCAGTTTAAATTTTTTAACCCCTTTTAGATTATTTCAAAATATTTTTGATCTAAAACAAAAATTATTTCCAGCATATTTTAGAATCTAAACACCACACTTAAATGTAGCTCTTATGCCATTGGTTGGCTATTTCATTCAGTCCTGTAAAAGTGATTTAACTTGCAGCTTATTAGGGATAAAGGTCTGTAATTATAACTTTGACCTATCTTTGAGAAACATGCTCACATACACATTCAAGACAATATTTCTGTGCCTGCCACTGTTGGCTGTTTAACAGTTGGATAATGTTTCTGCTTCATCTATAGCCATGTTTTTAAAAAGACAACATGGCTTTGTCTGTCATCTTCTTGTCCTCATCTTTCATTATTCATTACATTCTTTTTGTTTGTCTTTTATAGCACTTGTATAGCTGGGCATTCAGTTGAGTCAAGACCAAGTAGCTTACTAACATTTAACAGTGCATTAGTTTCTTAGCCACTCTAGCGTCTCCTGTGTTTAGGGGTGATAGTAAGCCGGTACGTAGCGTACTACGTACCGGCGTACCGACGTACGTCGTACCGGGAAGACATAAACAGCAGTATACAGCAGCAGTACGCAAACTTTCACCCCTGTAATGTATGTAGGCTACATTTGCTTACCGTGTGCCTGCACGTCAGTCTGCACTCTGCATTGTAACCGTAGTAATCCGATAGGACCATGCCGCTCGCGAGTGAGTCGTATGTGCTTCCGGAAACAAACAATCGAACTCCGGAGCGCGCTCAGTGCGCACTTTTGATTGGACGCTGGTTGCCGAAGCGTTAGGGACCGGCTTTTGCGGAAGGAGTGAACTTTTAAAGAAACAGCTGCTTCAATCTCAAAGGGCTATTCCAGCGTAAAATTAATTTCCTTATCATGTCCTTGAAGTAATTATCACTATATTAATCATTTTGCACTGCAGACGTGGTAGTTCTTCTGCCTTAGCATCTCGGTCTGATTGCATTTCCATGAAGAAATGATCATAAATGTTCTCCCTTGAGCTGCGAAACTCCGCAGTAGTCTGCAATGGACTGGCCCGAGGTCTCACTACAAACAAGTGGCTGCTGAATGAGAGTAGGTGAGTTGTGTTGAGTCTCTTTGCTCAGTAGATCAGGCAGAGCTAAAAAGATGTTTGGTGGCTAGTGCTATGGCTGGGACCCTATATGTACTGTTGATGAAGTTAGGTGCTGTTCTGAGCATTATTTGTGGCTATAGAGTGGCGTTTTGGTTGAGCGCATGGCTCTCTGTATTGCTATCTGTGGTTGTTACTAAAGTTGGTTTAACTAGAGAAGCGAGCGGTCGGCAACATTCATCTCTTGAGGGGGTGTCTAACTCGGTATTACGGTGTGTTTGACCCTAAATTAATTTCACGCCGGAATATCCCTTTAATGCAGAAATAAAACAAAATGCAGAGAAAAATGGATTTTATTTTCAAGAGAAAGAGAGAGGCAGCAGATGATGATATTGTGGCATCAGAGTCAGCACCTCGTTAAACTTGGGTGTGCTCCTCTTGTACAAAGCCTACGGGTACAGTACCTGCAAGAACCTTATCCTACTTTCACCCCTGATTTACATGCAGTAATTTGTGGGATATGTTGAGTTTATCCTTCACACTCTGGCAAAAAAAACACATTTTTTGGTCTTTGAAAATGGGAGAGCTTTGGTGTGACACAGCCCACAAGTGCTCCTTTCATAGGATGCAGCCCCTGAATTGAGACAACTGGGATAAAGCTTCTCAAAGAGATATAAGAATAGCAGCATGTTTCTGAGCACGAGCAGACAGCAGTAGATGCAGAAATTAAATTGAACATAGCTTATCAAGATAAACTTCTTACAGGGTGTTTTATTGGTAGATTTGCGCACAGGCAAGGGGGATTAAATAACACACTAATTTCAATGAAATAGCAGGAAGTTAACATTCACATGAGGTCAAAAACGTATCTTTTAAGTGTCTACTTAATGTTTATACGGTGATCAAGTCTGTAAAAGATTGAACCTTGAGATGGGTAATTAACTGCTGCAATTTTTCCACAGACTTTAATAGAAACAAATGGACACTCATGAGGGAGGGAAGTACTTGAAAGTGTACAAAATTCAAAGCTGTCAGGGAAGTACTCGAAAACACAGGCATGACACTTCAGTGTTTTAGCCTTCATAAAACAACCCTGCATCCTGCACATATCTCCAAGATCCATGTTTGGCCTTATAGATGCGCACTGAGGCGTTCAACTCATTATCAATCATATCCTCTTTTTTATGGCTACAGCTCTTGCATTTTTGGTCAATTTAGTTCTCTTGGACGTAATCCAAAGAAACAGCCCGTCTTAAGGAAATGTGACTCAAAAATGTGATTTGATAGCTAGAGGCTCTTTGTGACTTATTGTTAAATGGGCTTTAATGATTTCCTGTAGCATGCTGTGTCATCAGGATAAAAATATGAGATGCCTTTCGCCTCGCTCTCAGTCATTCACCCCTCGATATCACTGTGCCCTTTCCTTGCAGTTATTTATGGTGGACAACGCAGCTGATGACTGGAGGATAGCAATGACATATGAGCGCATCTTCTTCATCTGCCTGGAAATCCTGGTGTGTGCGATCCACCCCATCCCAGGGAACTACACCTTCACCTGGACGGCACGCCTGGCCTACTCCTACGTTCCATCCAAGACGGATGCGGACGTGGACATTATCCTGTCCATTCCTATGTTCCTGCGGCTGTACCTCATAGCTCGTGTCATGCTGCTGCACAGCAAGCTCTTCACGGACGCCTCATCCCGCAGCATCGGGGCGCTCAACAAGATTAACTTCAACACACGCTTTGTGATGAAGACCCTCATGACCATCTGTCCCGGCACTGTGCTGCTGGTGTTCACCATCTCGTTGTGGATCATCGCTGCATGGACTGTCAGAGCCTGCGAAAGGTGCCTGGATCACTTTCTCACGCTATGCTGCTCTGCTCGGCATAAAACATAGATAAGGCATAAAAATAGATAATGTACACAGGTTTAAGCTCACTCTGTGTCTGAGCATTAAGGTAGAAAGATTTGCAAGATTACAGCGCTGCAGTACCCACACAGATATTCAATCTATGCACAGCACTCGGCTTTTAAAATTGAGGGAGACATAAGGTGAAGCTCGGGTTCATAAATATTTTTCAGGTGCATTAAAGCTGGTGAATGTATTGCATCTGTAATTTTTTACAGGTACCATGACAACCAGGACATAACCAGCAACTTTCTAGGAGCCATGTGGTTGATCTCAATCACGTTTCTTACCATTGGATATGGGGACATGGTCCCAAACACGTACTGTGGGAAAGGAGTCTGCCTCCTGACTGGGATCATGGTGAGCAAAGCAGTCAATACATCTGTTTTGCTAGACAGATAGAAAATGTGCTTCAAATGATTCATGGCTGGAAAACAGCTGACAACTAAATGAAAGAAAGCAATCAATCAGTCAAACAACTCTTATGCTCCAGAGGTTATTTTTGGGCGCCACGCACATTTGAAATAAAATGTAATTGGTAGAAAATACTGATAAAAAAAGAAAATAAAAAAGAGGTTCAAGTACCAGACAGCAGATAAATCAAAGGGAATAAAACCTCGAAAGGACATATTTTGATCCATGTGAAGTTAAAATGTTCGGCAATTTTTGGCCCAATAACTGCGTACGGTGTAAATCAATGAAAAATAAAATGCTTGATTGTAAAATGTATTGATTTCAATTGATTTGACGTTTGTTGTTTCAGGAATTAGGTTTCTCCTCACAATTGTAATCAGTGAAGCTTCATAACATGTATCTGTTCCTGTCTTTGCTCGACAGGGTGCTGGCTGCACTGCCTTGGTGGTGGCTGTGGTTGCAAAGAAACTGGAATTAACCAAAGCTGAAAAACATGTCCACAATTTTATGATGGACACCCAGCTAACAAAAAGAGTGAGTGAAAACCTCTCAAGGGTGCTTTAAAATCATAGTCGTTCAAATCCCTGTGTCTGAAAACAAACCTTTTTTATTGTGCCTTAGGTGAAAAACACAGCTGCAAATGTTCTCAGGGAGACGTGGCTCATCTACAAGAACACCAAACTGGTGAGGAAGATGGACCACGCCAGAGTCAGGAAGCACCAGAGGAAGTTTCTCCAAGCCATTCACCAGTAGGTTCACGACTCCTAACCCTGACCCACTCATGTGGTTCTGATACTTTTTGAATTTGGGAGTGTGCTGACATGATTTACTGACACAACCTGAAATCTGAATTGTTTGACACCTGTAGCAAAAATATGAACATGTTATATTGAAGGACCTTGAATGAAGGACCTTGAATGGGGGCTACACGTGAACAATTAACACAATTCGTTTGTCTTAAATAGGGTGTAATATATGTCATCGTGAAACTGCATAGTTTTTGGATTTGAAGCTGCATTTTTCCAGCAGGGAATGTGGAAAAGTCATGTTATTTTGATGATAGTATCCATAATAACAACCCCCAGTTCAACAGAGCTATTCTGGCAAAGCAAACAAGTTTTATCTTTAAATATTCTCAAGTGACATAGTTCCATAAACCACTGCTGTGAGGGGGTTTAGAATTAAGATAGTAGTTTCAGTCATGTGGGACTTTCTTCTATCCCCTTTTTATTGAAAAACAGTCTGAATTGTCTTAAAATCTCAGCTGCATATTTAAATGTGTAGAACATATTTTCCTTTTCTGTTGGTAGACAGAAACACCACATAAGATCTAAGTACACTGTGAAGAAGTCAGCATTCCTCCGCTCTCAGTTTTCTAGAAATGTTCCTGAAAAAAAAAAACCTCTCAATATATTGTCAAGTTACAGAATCCACAGCTGTGTGATATTGATCGCTCTCCGTCTCACTCACCTCTATTTGTCAGATTGACTCTTGCGTGTCTCTCTTGTGTGAGTCAGCTTCAATGCTGACCTCATGGCTGACACATCTGGGTGTACTTTTCTAGCTGGTCGGACACTCACCTGTCAGCCAGTCTTTTAGTGGGTCCCTAAGGACTCCCCGAGTGCTATCTACCTCCAAAACAGTATCGATCTTAGCCTCACCTCGCTCTTGTTTTTCTGCAACCTACAGTGCTTACAGGCACATCCAGTTTCTGGCCTTTTTAAAAAAATCAAATCAGCGGTTTATGAAAATAAGCATGTACATGTGGGATAATTGTGCTACAAAGCAGCTTATGCTCTATTAATATCTCCCCTTTTCGTATGTTTGTGCGCTTTCTGTGGTTTTATGTACCTATATGTGGTCTCCTGTGCTTAACTTTGATTTTTCTCATGACTCTTAAGCATACATTTATGTTTTAAAGGCATTAAGATGCTTGATAATGAGGGAGAGAAGAACAAAAAAAGTGTCCGCTGCTGCTGCTGCGACCTGCATCCAGGCTTGTGCCGTTTGATAGCCTTGTCATGGTTGCATTGTCGAGTCATTACATCCCCTGCTGTCGCATTCAGGCGATTTGCAGCGGCGATGCCAGCGTCTCATGTCTCCTGTTCTTTAGGGCAGCCTAATAATGGAATTCCCCCCCTGAGCTAAATCTTTAAAGAAGCCGTTTCATGAGGGGAAAAGTCACATCCTGCTCTGTGTGCAAGGACAACTGCTCAGCGTGATGTCAACATCCCCCCTGTCACACCTTTATCTCACAAAGTTCCTGTTTGTGGTGTGCTCACAGACCTTATCGGGGGGGATTTTTGTAGTTTAGCCTGTAGCCAGTGTGCAGAGTGTGGTGCACAAACTCTGGATTGAGATGAACGCAGGGCAGGAAGCACAAAAATTGCTCAAGTGGAGGGGTTGGAAAAGGCCCACAGCCATCCTTGACCTGTCATGAAGTGATAGTAAACACTGGATCAGATACCATCGCGCCTGTTTCCTCCGGGTCAGAGCTGCAAGAAAAACTTTTCCAGGGGTCTGAATCAGTCACTGTAAAGGATGGGAGGTGCAAACTGTTGTTAAATGGAGCCATAGTTGCTGCAAAGCGCTGTCCGTCTGCGAATGTTTACTAAAGTTAGCAGGAAGGTTGTTTTGATTTACTCTACTTGTGATAAACAGGACCAGAGAGTAAAAAAAGGGATTAAAGTGCAGGCAGAGCTGCAGCTACCAACACAGGGAGATAACACTCTGCAGGTTGCATGAAGAGGGAAAAGTCAAGAATAAATAGCTGCTGCTGCTGCTCAGAGGTGAGCCGTCAGAGCAGAGACGAGGGCGACAGCACCCAGACGTGAGCAAACAGACTGTGCCATCTGAATATGTTTATCTGATATTGCAATAATTCATTTGTCTACTTCATGTTTTCCTTTTTTTCCTGTTTGTGTCGACACAATGCAATAGAGCTCGAAAGTAAGTCTTCGCCTCACACGTAGATATACAGACCTGTTGTGTGCATGCTAACGAGAGCTTGTCCTTCAACCCAATAATGTGACCTAAAAAAAATTACACTCCCTCATCTGATAAGTGAAATTCATGCCTCAGAACGATTCTGACACAAAGACACGACATCTCTCTTACAGAGTAGTTTGTCAGTTTCATAAATCTCACTTTTCTTCTTCAGTATTCAGCTTCACATGCAGCAAAGAGCCTAAACTGACCAGCACAAATACCTCCCTATTGACACATAACTGCACACATGCACTCTTGTCTATAATATGAGTTTCAATTATCAGTGATGGAGGGTGTTTTTCTTCCCATTTCTGCATGGATGTGATGAGAATTTGATCTTTAATCAGAAAGCCACTGATTAAACTCCAACCAACTGTGCTTTCACGTACTGAAGGATGACGACTAGAGCCTCTCCAGGAACACAGACCTGCAGTAGCACAAGTATTTAATCTTTAATATCCCTCAAGTCATGTTCTACAACTCAGCAGTCATGCTCACTCAGATCAGGGCTCGGGGTCATCTTTCGGCGTGTGGAACCATTGTTACGCCTGTTGCTACATTTTGCAGCCACATTTCCTCAATTTTCCCTGTTGGATGACACAGTAGCGGAGACACTGATCCGGTGTTATTATGGCTAGTTAGCAGCATAATAACATCGACGTACAGCTGTCACACATCAGTGGGCTATGGAGAATTAGCAGGGTTAGCATTTAGCACACTTTAAACACCTTTGAGGTCACGAGGATGGTGCATTTTACCACGGCAGTGTTATGTTACAGTATGTAGCAGCTGTTAAGTCAGGTGTCTCTGGCTCCTTTGGGAACGCTGTCCCTTTCCATCCACAAGGTTGAAACATGACAAGATGAGAGTGCTTGTTAACTCAGGGATCAGGGGATTGAAGAAACAGGAAAGCAACCTGAGAGGAAGGTCAGAGTAAACACCCCCTGAGCAATTCAGTTGGAGCCCGAGAGGCTTCAACTGTGACCGGCAGCGCGAGGCACAGCCAGCAGGGACCGAGAGAAGATAAACAAGTATCAGAATGTGCATTAAGCTGGAGAAAAATCTGCATTTTCCTTTCAATGCGAGGTAAAAAAAAGAAGTCTAGAGGGTGAAAAATATAGCGCAGCACTAACTGAGATTGCCCTTACTGATTTAGTGTGGTATTGAAAAGCTTAGCATAGGCGTTTTTTTTTTCTCCCTGATGAATAGCAAGCAGATTTAGAGTGCCCATTCAAAAAGCAGAGCTGCCTGTGGGGAGTGATTGACGGAGGGGTTCAGACATGCGGGCTAATAAAGGCAGGGCAAGTGTAGGCCTCTTCATCCTGACCTCAGGCTGCCCTCTTCTTCGACCTCTATCTGACGGCTATTGGTCATCCAACTGTGAAACCTTGAATTATAGCAGGTCTCACATTACTAGAAACTCATCGAATACCTGTTCTCTTCCACCGTTAGATAGACTTCTTTCTATTCTTATGTGTTTTACAATAAAAGCGCTGTTTTAAAACAGTAACTCTCTAACTGCAGTTTTTTTGAGTCTGCTCTGTATGAGGCGTTTGGGTCCTGTCAGGACATCCTGGTTTTTCTTTAACGACTCCTGTGGCACCCTCTGTTGGTCTAACCTGTCATCTTTGCTCCACATCCGCCTGTCTTCAGGACACAGACAAAGGATCCTGCACTGCATGAGAATGGGTGCATCCGAGCTAAGCTAATTAGCGGACTCCCGAAGGCCCCCTTTAAACCCCCGTCTTGCTCTTCATTAGTTTGCCTTCAATTCACGTTCAACCTAATGATCACCTCACGCTCGAACTGCAGTCATATCTCAGATAGCTTTCATGTTTCTTTTAAATTAAACCCTTGAATGCCCAGCCTGACATCATCATGTTATTGTATGTTTTGCACCCAGTTTAATTAACAGAGCATGTGTGGGTGATTAATACAATAGAAGAAAAAAAAACTCTTTATCTTTTAACCGTGTGAGGTAGACACTACGATACTGCACAGTTGCTGTTTTTGAACCCCCTGAGAGAAGGAGTGAAAACACGCTTTGCTGTGGAAGCCTAATTAAACAGGAGATGTGAATTATTTAAGCGTGTCGTATGGAGTAGGTGAGATATTTTTTGCAAGCCCTACAAGCATCACTTGATGAAAAAGAGGGCCATTAAGGGAGTCATCTTTTCTACAACTTTACCATCACTGGGGATTTCAGACTTTTCTTTTTCCCAGTTGAAGATTTAGATGATTTCTTTGGTCCGTTTTTCAGGCCTGACATTCTTTATTTTGACATTTGCACTGTTTCAACATACAGTAGCTGCAAAGTTAAAAGTTTAGCCTTTGTGTTTACATAGATTAATGTTTGATATCTGTGGCTTTTGACTGTCTAAATTATTCATAAAGGGAGAAAAGGTTGAGTTTAAACAGAGAGAGAAATTTAAAGGTACAACTGTGACCTTTTTCAGTTTTTTGTTATCCTCCTCTCTCCTTCATTTAAAGAAGAAATAGGCCTTGATAAATGATGTCTACACTGCAGATGTGCTCTGAAACTGTAAGTCTTTTCTTTCCTTTAGCTTGGTTACATGAGCAGGTTAAGTAGGACATAGACCTGGCCCTTTCCCCCCCCTCTGTGGTCTCCTTTCCACTTGCATGCAGCTCAAACCAAACAGACTGCCCCTTGCATTTTCTACACACATCCTGTGCATGTCCTGTAGGAGTGTCCTCCGTGTGTATGCCTCTGTGTGTGCACAAATTTGAATGATACGACAGTTCTGTTAGCGTTAATTCATTAGGTTCTGAATGGTCTTGTGTTCAGATTGAGAAGTGTTAAAATGGAGCAACGCAAGCTGAATGACCAAGCAAACTCACTAGTGGACCTTGCTAAGGTAAGCTAGACTATAACAGTCTCCTGCTGCATTGTACACAAGGATAGAGCCTGATAAGTTTCTTTCTTGTGTGATTGAATTCAATGCTACAGTTGTGTGTTTTTTTATACACTCAAAGTCTACAGGTGTCAAATAAACAGACAGGCTATACCCAAGGTGGTTAAAACTTCATTTGAATGATGCTTTTGTGGTTTGGATACACCTGATATTCTTCTTTTATTTCACAGTATAAATCCCTCACCTGAGGACATGCTTGTGAGAAATTTACTGAATGAGTTACAAGAATCTCCTTTGAGCCTGCACCGTTTTTCCACCTTATGTACTCTCTGATGTTGGTCTCCAGATGCACTAAACAGAAGTTGACAAACCTTAGGGAAAGACCAGGCAGCACGCCAGCCTGACACAGCAGAAACAGTAACCTGGAAAGGGAGACACACTGTGATCTGATGATTCAGCCCAAAGTAAAAAGGCAGAGAAAAGAGGAGGAGAAGAGGGCTTTGACATTCAAAAGTACACCACAGACAGACTGGATTCAGGCCAGCGTTTCATGAAAGGTATCAGTTAATATTGTCCAATCGCTTTGTGCTGTAAAACGGCAGCGAGAGCGGGGACGTGACATTGGGAAAAGTGGCCTGTCGCCAGTGCAGCTCAGATGGATCATTAAATGCTGTCGTAAGCGCTTGTTGCCATAGGAGGGCAGTGTAGCTTCAGTCTCCTCGATTTAAAAGAGGGAAGACAGAGCTGAATATATCATTGGCAGTTGCACCACTACTGCAGTGCAATGTGAAATTCCCCAGAACTGTGTATCCCCTCGACACGTTGTCTTAATATTACAATGGATATTATTAGCAACTTAATTACAACAATCCTCAGCATTAATGTCATATTAGTGATGTATTGCTTCATATACTGTTGCATATCAGTCTGAATTACTTGTCTTTAAAATACAAAACTGCTACTCCAACCAGCTTCCCACTGTTCCTCTTCTTTACGTCGAGAAATATAAATAAAGTCAATCTGAGGTTATATTGGACAGCTGCAGTTGGTTTATATACTGTTTATACCCCTGCTACACCATTACACTATTTCAACTTCTGTTTCTAATGCCTGTGCCGTCATGGTTTACCAACACTGCCCTTTGGTTTCTCATTTTTACTGCCATCAGTATTAAAGGATTTAAAAGGCTGGCATTTCAGTCCAACTGTTAACCATGTTTCACAAGAATGAATATTTTTGTCACAGGAACAAACATGTAAAATGATAATTAAAAAATATCAAACAACGGGAATGATGATACATTAACTATAACTGTGACTGTGATACAGCTATAAACAAATACAGCTTTGCAATGTATGTGATAATCTGTGCAGTGTATAACCACATGTGGTTATTTAAGAACAATCAAACTAGTGGGAATGCCATTGTTTGTTATTGTTTATTATCCCCTTTGTTTGATTCTTCTCGAATAATCCCAGATTATTATTACTATCCAGGAGATATCATATAAACTGTGGTGAGGTTGTATCGAATGTAAGCGCAGCACATTTGTGCCGATATTCGGTATAATCAAACAACCTCTAGTGTGTGTAAATTATTGTATCATAAGGTATTCACTGTAAAATATAGCAAATAACTGGCAGCATTTTACTGTTAATTTACAGTAATTTGGCTTGACATTATAAAACCATGAATCGGTTTACAGTAAATAACTGAAAATATACAGGGGTTTCACTGAATTTTCATGATGTTTTATTTGTTATTTACAAGTGATAAGTTCTGCTTTGCACAGACCCTAACACAGAGAACACAACACAATGCATAATATACCTGATGTAGCTGTAGTTGCATACATGTATTTGTTCAGCAGAGTACAAAGCATTTTTAAACACAAATCATAAAAACATTATGCTAATAAATAAAGCATTTTACTACTTGACCATTCATGAAACTGTTTTACATCACCCTCCTTACTTCAAAGATTGACAGGGAGCCTGTAAGGAAAAAACAACATAGACGTAAGGAAGTAAGAAAAAGGCTAAATCGCAGCATGGTTGAGACTATAAAAACCTGGGTGACTTTCAGCAGTCTTTCCTGCATTTATTAACATAATATCAGTAGCTGTAAGAAAGAAGACTCACGATATAAATGTTTTGAAACTGCACCACCGTTTCACTTTTCAAGGTGCAGTTATGAAAATGAAAATGAGACATCACAAACTGAGTCATAAGGTCTGGGTGTCCTTGCAGACCAGCACCTTAAATTCTGGTCGTCTGCTCCTAAATAAAGAGGAGAAATAAGGCAGAGTCTATTGTTTAGAGGTATTGTCGATTTTCATGTTTGCGATTTGGCATTAATTTAGTTTGGTTCAGTCAAATTGATGGTCAGATCTATACTGTATTACTCAATCTCTTTTTAATTCATGATAAGCGAGAAAACAGGAAGTAGACTGGTGTTTATTTGAAGTAAAACAGAACCATGAATTCCTGGCCTTGACTGGCTGTCAGGTCCAACAGTATCAGTTCTACTTTAGATCTCACCGAGTCACATAAACAACCCATCCCATTATTGCCACCTCGAATCAGAAGAGGACGAGGTCGGTGATGGATGGCATCGCCCCCAGGCTGCCAGGGATTATTAGTCCTCTGCTGAATAAACCTCACTATCCACCCTCCAGCAGCATCACTCCCACTCCTCATCCCAAATGTGCACAGATTTCATCTTGTGTTTGTTTTTGTAGACTGATCCTCAGGACTTTAAAAAAAGCGCTTTAGATCTTATTTCTAAACAACTTAAGAGTGATGGCGTTAGCATCAAAAGAGCAGAAAGCAGCGTTGTAATGGTGGGCACTTTTCCTGCCTCGCCGCTCAAGGTCATGGTGAAATGAACTCTGCTGGAAACATGAAAAATTGAGAATTCCTCCTTCTCTGTCAGAAAACCGCCTGTTTTCAAGGTTGTTATCATCACAGTAACTTAACTTAATGCCTCCCCCTGAACTTCTTTTATGTGGAATTTACTTTTCTGCTTTCAACGTCTGCTCTCCAAAGATTATAGAAACATTTGCTCTAAAACTGCAGAAAACAAACTGATTACACTAATTTCATGATTATAAAAGCATTTACTTTGACTTGTACAAGCTAAGAGGTAATTTCAGCTTGGTTTTAAAGGATATTCAGTCGTAAAATTAATTTAGGGTCAAACACACCGAAACTCGAGAGATGAATGTTGCTGACAGCTTGCTTCTCTAGTTAAACCAACTTAGGTAACGACCGCAGGATGGTGATGCACAGCGGTCTGAGGAGTCATCAACAAATCCCAGCCAAAACACCACTCTATAGCCACAAATAATGCTCAGAACAGCACCTTACTTCATCAACAGTACATATAGGGTCCTAGCCACAGTACATCTTTTTAACTTTGCCTAATTTCTTTAGCAAAGAGACTAAACGCAACTCACCTACTCTCATCCAGCAGCCACTTGTTTGTAGCGAGACCTCCGGCCAGTCCATTATGGACAACAGCGGGGTGACGCAGCTCAAGGAAGAACATTTATGATCATTTCTTCATGGAAATGCAATAAGACTGCGATGTTAAGGCAGAAGAACTACCGCGTCTGCAAAATGATTAATATGATGATTATTACTTCAAGGAAATGATATAGACATGATCATTTGGTGAGTTGTGTTTAGTCTCTTTACCATAGAAATCAGGCAAAGTTTAAAAGATGTACTGTGGCTAGGACCCTATATGTACTGTTGATGAAGTTAGGTGCTGTTCTGAGCATTATTTGTGGCTATAGAGTGGCTTTTTGGTTGAGATTTGTTGATGGCTCCTCTCTGTATTGCTTTCTGCGGTCGTAACTAAAGTTGGTTTAACTAGAGAAGCAAGCGGTCGGCAACATCCATCTCTTGAGGGGATGTCTAACTCGGTGTTACGGTGTGTTTGACCCTAAATTAATTTCACACCGGAATATCCCTTTAATGTTGATTATTGATATTTTGTCTGCGTAACAACGCACCTACACCATAAAACAATTGTCCTATACTGACCTAAAAGTGCAGATTCACATTGGTCAGTGATGTCTGAAAATGATATGCCCACCTGTATTTGTCATGTTTCAATGTAAAGCTCTGATGTAGCGTGCCTCATGATTTAACAGTCCAAGTTATTCTATTTTCAAAACAAAAATCCCTCTTTGTTGTAGTATCCCTTCACTGTTCCAAATGCTGCTCATTAGGTACAAACAGTTTTGTCTATTGCAGGCCATTTGTTTTAATCTGTAGTTAAAGGTTGACACCAGCTGTGTAGAGATTCTGCCTGCTGTCTGAACATAATATGCTGACAAACTCATGATGTGAAGTTCACCGGCTTGTTTATTTCCTTTCCTTTTCAGAGTTATTTACACTTTGATTGCATATTGATTAAAGAATTGAAGAAGCCTGTCATTTCCCATGAATCCTTGCGTAGATTATGGACACAAAAATAACCCCTGACTTTTAAAGTCTCATATTAAGTGTGTTTCCTCTCCCCTTGTTCCAGACTCAGAACATCATGTATGACATGATCTCGGACTTGAACGAACGAGGCGAGGACATGGAGAAGAGGATCGCTCTGTTGGAGACAAAGCTGGAAACTCTTCTGAGTAACTTGCAGGCTTTGCCCGGACTCATCAGCCAGGTGATCAGCCAGCAGCACAGGGACTTCCTGGAGGTGCAGCTCCAGCCTTATGATAAACACAGCCCTGAGCGCTCACAGTCAGTCTCCCGACGGAGGTCGTCCTCCACAGCACCGCCCACATCATCTGAGAGCAGCTAGAGTCCACGGGGAACACCTCCACTGAAGACTTTTGCCATCATATGGCCAAGTTGCATTTATCGTAAAGCCTTATGGTTTCAATAAGTATTATCCAAAATTCTGATGACAGAATCCTAGATACTGGGGACAATGCATTTTAACGGATAACTTCATGCTGTTATTTGTTTTTTATTACCTCAAAAGGTGTTGTTATCCTTGCTCTGGTGACATGACCACAAATAATGGCGCTTCCCTCAGTACAAACTAAAAGGCCTATCGATGGGGTACGACCTGAGCTCTACTCCATCTCTATGCAGAGATAGCCAGTTTTAGGTGGCAAGGTGTGAAACTATTGCACTAAAATAGTGCTTCTCACAGACTTTGTGCTTCGGCTGGCTTGGTTCAGTTCCTTGAAGCAATCTGAGAAACCTCTGAGTAAATAAGTCAGGGAGCATGACAGTGACATTGAGAAAAGGTGCTGGGTTTGATGGACTGGAGTGAACTGACACCAGAGGGCAGATGAAAATCGCTCCTTCACACTGTCTCTCAGAGATAACTTAAAAAGCTTGAAATGAGGAAAAAAGCATATATCTTTTAGGTTAGAAACAGCATCAACAATAGCGGTTTTCTTTTGCAGAGTGCCCCTGTAGAATGACTATTTTTGGGGAGCGACGTTGCAAATAATCTAATCCTCTAGTCAAAATGAATGCATCAAAGTCTGTACTTGCACTTACTTTTTATTCAATGCACTTCAATGCTGACTGACGTATGATATACAGATGCGTTGCTCATTAAAAGAAGAACATTTGAGATGTTTGGGCATGGGTTTATTATCGTCAAATCTTGATTTGTGGCTAGTGTTGATGAACAAAGTCAAAGCCCCTTTTGTTCTGTGATCCAAAAAGAAGGTTCAACAAAGATCTGTACAAGTCTACATGATCTTACTGGGTGATCACAAACTCAGTCTTGACCCCCTTTTGTCTCGCTGTGTCTTAACTCTTGTCCCTCTTTCATGTGTTATTTATGCTTGCTGTCGCCCCAGCTGGGCTATACAAACAAAATGCTGAACAACAACTCGCTGTAACCGTATCTACCTTTTAAAAAGAAAAAGCCTATTTTTGTATACTTTGATGAGGACAAGCACACCTCCTACAACTCAACAAACAACAAGATGATGTACGAAGTGACAGATTCAGCATATCTAGCACATGGTTTCATATTTTCAGGACCAGCGTTAAGATACACACAAATAGTTTTTGTTCTTTTCTGAACTTAATTATGGACTTTTAAAAAAAACTGCATTTTCCCACAGATTGCATTAATTTTTTACAGCAAATATTTTAGATGAAGCTGTTGGCTGAGCTGGAAGAGCAATATTCAAGAGCAAAACTGGTGAACCTACCTACAGTGGCTGGCATTTATTAGGTTTTAGATAAATGGCAAAAATCAAATAAGGTCATTTAAATTTGATGAAAATATCCTGTCAAACTCCATATCAACTGTGTGTAAGGCCCAGATGCGGCAAGTATACCCTCTAGACATCAATATTCACTATATAAACATAGTTGTTAATGCAACCTTTAGCATAGCATGGGTCAGAATAAAACATCTGGTCAACTCAGCAGCACTGAACTTGTTCAACCAGCCCACCCACTAACCAATAAGTCAATCAGATGGTCAACAAAACGGCAGATGTTCAGTCCACAAACTTCAGCAACATAGAAACCAATGAGAGATTATACTGTATGCGACTTAAACAATAGACAACTAAACAATAAAAATATATAAATTGAAAACTCTGTGTCCAACCTCATTATTAACTGTGCTTAATGTGTTACTGTGTATTTTTGTGTGAGCAACAAGTCAAACAACTGTGTTAACCTTACAATACCTCAACGTTAAAACATCAACTGAAAGAAAACATCATAATCTTAAAGAGTATGCAGCAAAAATACTCAATTGAACATGTTTGAGTGCAGGAAACTTCTCCTGTAAGATATTAAAAACAGCTTTGGTACATTTCTTGTGAGTGTGTGTAAAGGATATATTTTTCCTGTTAAATTACGTCAGTATGATCCCAGTTTCAACAGGTCCACATCATAAAAGGTGAGGTGTGGTTCATGATGTACCATAGGGCTGAGGAAATGTTCCTCAAGGTAAGTCTGGGGATCAGGAGGTTTCTGATAGGGTGGCATGAAGCAAAACAACTAAGCTCCAAAGTCTCAGCAAGCCATGTTGATGAAAGCAGCATTTAGAGAGGATTCAGATTAATCAGTTTGGTGGCACAAAAAGAAAAACACATCAGAAACATCAGAAACCTGTCCCGATGTTGCCCCCCCCATGGAAATAAATACATGCAGTTTCTGCTATATTCCAAATAATGTTATTGAACTTTTTAAAAATAAAGTAAAAATGCTTTTGAATGTAAGGTTTTGTATGAACTCTGAGCTAAATTCTATCTTTTTTCATGAAAATAGGCAAATACTCTTGTGGTAACAAGATCTTGATGAATTAAATTGAGTTAAAGTTATATAATAATTAGATTGATTAGCTGATAAGTTAAGAACAGTCTCTACCCGAGCATATATGTAATGATATGTGATAGACACACAAATATCACTTGAACATTTTCAATACATTTGAAGAGTTAAAAGCAACACAGTCTGCTAAACAAAGTATGATGATTGAACTTTCAAAAATAAATATGTTCAACATCTAGAGGCAAAGAAAATGTAATGCTTGATCATTTTAGGCATGATAAAATCTCACATATTAAATACTTTTTCCCCTATAGCCTACAGGTAAAACTGATCGAAGTTGACATTCACTGTCATCTTAACTTAAGCTAGCAGAGGAAAATACTGTGTATGTGCAGAGTCAGTGTCATACAATCTATAGTCACAACTATTACTTTTTTCTTGTTGCACTACAGTAGTCGTTTTATGCACAGGTCTCTTTATAGGGTGACGCTGCCAGGAGAGCAGCACCCCCTGGTGTCTAGTTGAGGTTTTGTTTCTTAGTCTCCATTTACACACAGGGAGCTGGAGTATGTGCTTGTAAATATGTAACATGTTCAATTTAAAGTATAAATATCATTTGGCACACTTTGTGCCAAAATGTGCCAAATGGATTATTTTCTACCTCTGATGAGAACTGGCTTTAAATTACAATTCATTTCCATAAAACTAGTCTCCTACTACCTATTGGAGCTTTTAGATATGAAATTTACCTTTTGCCGCATCAATTTCTACCATTTTGCACAATATATTTGTTTATATGTAATACAGAATAGTGAAAAATAACAGGAACTTCTACATTTCTTTCTTCACAGGGAGTATTTTTATTTGAAAAAAGTGCAAAAAGAGAAACAAACAAACATTCTGTGCAAACAATGGAAAATAAAAAGTAAAAGTGCAACAAATATTGTAAATTAAAAACAATATATAAGCAAACACAGGTAGAATCAATTATATGTAATGAATACATATCAATGCATAATTGAAGCAGTAAAGAGTGTATTATTTCTTTTAGAGACCAGAATCAAACAAATGATCAGTGCACAAACCTTGATACAAGCAATGTCACCTTTCTTGCAGGTAAGGGTGGGGGTGGGGCGTCTGGTGCAGGGAGTACTGAAGGTGTGAAAACCCCTGATGGGGGGGTGGATGTGCCTCACTCCCCTTTTCTTGGTGGCTGTGAAAATGGTGATCAATTACTATGTAGAACAACAATAAATAACATTTGTACATTTCACTGAAGGACACAAAAGTTGTAGATATATGTAAACTTATTCACTAAATTGAGTAGCCATGACCTCTACTATATTTTGTTTGCATTTATATTTACTTCATTTTTTTTTTCATAAAAAATATATTCGAAGACAGATAAAATGCAATATCTGCAAGCAAAGTAAGCCCAAAATAAACAGATATAGTGACTTACTTACTACTGTGTTTACAGTTTTATGACAAAGGTGTTCCATGCATACCAATTTACACATCACGGCCTTATGGATCATGCAAATACTTACTAGTAAACTGGGTACACTTCTCATGTAAACAATGCCTCCTCCTCGGAGCCGACGCCATTACTGCTGAGTCAGACGAGTCCTCAAATTCACCGTCTGAGCCCCGCTGAATTTCTGATAAAATGTCCGCCATATCCCTCTAAGAGTTGAATGTTTCTTTTCCTGGTTGAAAAGTACTCGAGAGAAGTTTTATAAGTAGTGGAGAAAGTTTACAGGAGACCCCCGAGTGATCAGCGTGCGATGCAGCATCCTGCCTTCGTCTGTGGGGCGCTGCACCTAAAAGCGCACAGATTACGAACACTTTACGTCCGGCTTTTTTTTCAAAGCTGGGAAATGTAGTCCTTGGAAAGATTGATGTCAATCGATTCAGTAGCTTCCCCCCTTTCAAATGACTACAAACATGGCCGTACGGAGCCTTTCTCCGCTAAACCGTAAAGCTTTGATTCGGTGGTGGTCGCAAAAAAGAGACACCAAGACAGATTAAAATCGACATAAAAAGGTAACGTTTACACTAAAACAGACATCCGACCCAGTTTTGAGAACATTAGAGTCTAAACTTTGATTGAGAATTGAAAGTAAACACCGCCGTCAAGTTTCAATACATTTTTTACAGCGTTTAAATACATGCAGCAAAATCTCGGCCCGTCTACGGTTCGATCGGGGGCAACGGAATAGTATAGTATGTTGAAAAATGTCATAGTATAATATGATATGATCAAATAAAAAGATCTACTGTGACACTGGTGGTGCTGTAGTGTAATGCTTAGCACTTGCTTAGCAAGAAGGTCCTGGGTTTGATGGTCAGGTATAGTATGAAAAAAAGATAGTATGAAAAAAAACATCTTAGTATAGTATGTTAAAAAATGTAGTAGTATAGCATGATGAAACTTTTTAATTTTAGTAAGAAAATGTCATAGTATAGTATGATAAAAACATTACATTTTTGTTTGAAAGAAATCAAAGTTTATTATGATAAAAATGTCATGGTATAGTATGATAAATATTTTGAATGTTAGTACGAAAAAAGTCACAGTATAGTATAATAAAAATATCACATTATAGTATGATAAAAAATGTCATAGTATAGTGAGATTAAAATTTTACATTTTAAGTATGAAAAAAGTATAGTATAGTATGTAAAGAAAGTAATATAAATTTAAAATTATGGTATGAAAAAAAGTTAAAGTATGCTTAATCAGCATTTCCAGCTAATTAGTGCTTCTGTGTCCATATTTTGTACATTCATTAGAGAGTTAGTTAGCTCTGGGACCACTATTGTGAGCTGTGCTTTTGTAGGGTGCTGCATGACTGGTGCTTATTCTGTTTGAAAAATAAAAGGTGGTGTAAACTACGAAACAAGCCAAGCGAAATGTTTTCTCTGAACACCAATACTTAACACAATTTTAAGACATCTATTTTCTGGGGAGGACAAATGAGAATGATTGGTGATCTTTGTAAAAACATTTTATTTGTACTTCAGTTCATTTCTGTGCTGATGAGGACGCATACAGTCTGACAAACCAGTGCATTACAATGAGGACTTCACAGCAGTGTAGAAGGCTGGGGTGGAGATCACGTCTCACTTTGTACTTTTTACTTCAGCTCACAAGTTTACATCTAGGGTAACATCAGAGGGACATTTTAAGTGAGCAAAGGAGGACCCATGAGTCCACCCACGTGCATAAGCCCGATGTAGCCATACAATCTTAAAAAGACTACCAGTTACACATTCAGTACATACAATCTATTACATGTGCTTCTTTTCAGCAGTGTAGAGTGAGAGATAGGGGTATTTAAGAAGTCAAAAGCATCTTTTTTTTTTCTCCCTCAGCTTTATTTTATGACAGTGAGGGAGAAAGTTGAAGAAAGGGCAGAAACACAGTCTCCTTGACACACAAATCTCTCTGAACATACAGTATAATGTGGCTGTTCATCAAGATAACAAAAACAAGATCAAGATAAACCAGGTGCCTGAAAGACTAACTTTGTAAGGGCTGATGCTGAGCTTCTGGATGCTAATTATTTGTTCATTTTGAAGTTTGAATTCACTACAATCCACCAACCAGTACATACCAGTCACTTTATGACAGCTGCTGGTGAAGGGTGACACAGATATATCAACACTGGAAGATATTTTACTGTCTGTTTCCAAGTGAAAAGTCATTAAACCATGTTAAAGACTCAAAACACAGTCATCCAAAAAGGCTTGAAAGATCATGTTTGATTAAAAGAAACAAAAGTAGTGGATACAAACCCTCATCTTTATGTATATTTGCAGTACAGAATACCTATACTTTCATTTTCTCTTCAAAATATAACAATATTTACATATTTGCATCAGCTTTAAACTCAAGACATAGGCCAGATAATTTCATATGTATCAAATGTTAATGTCAGAATTCATGATACCTGTAGCACCTGAGCAAAATCATCTTCTGTGACCACAGATCACAAAAAAAGATACATGGATAACATCTCTTAAATTACATGAAAAATAGCAAACACAATTATGTACACTTTAAGCTTTACATTATTGAGCATTTATGTATATTTACAGTACAATCAAAGTTTTGCATTTTGAAGGCGCAGCTCTCTGAGGCCGTGATGACACTTTTAACAACCTTTTAACCTTTGGAGTTTGTACATTTTAGTTTGTGGACTTTTTGGATGAAATTGAATGGTATAAAAAATAAATAGATGGAGAACGACTGCATCTTTGCCTCAAAAAACGTGTGTCAGGTCAGTGTCTTCAGCTGACATTTAGAGAGTCAGGATGTGCCATGTTGAAATTTTTAAAATGCAGCAAAAATACTAAAACAAAAACCTGGATGGTGTAAAATGCTAAAGGGTTCAGTGTTGTGTGAAACTAAACAAGCAATAAAAAAGTCTCAACTATCAGACAGACTGCTTCAACACATCAAGTTCACACATGCTCGAGCGCACAAAGAAAAAGGTCGTCTAGATTGTTTCTGTATTGACAAAGAAAGGATGCAAGGAAACTTGGACAACAGACTGAAAAACCTGAGTACTTTTTTTCTTGAAAGCTTGAGTGCAGATATTGATGCTCCGAAGGTTATTTGTTGAATCTACTGTATGTTACAGAGATAAATGCTGCTTTTCTAAGTCATGATTCCTTCCTCCTCTTTGGCTCCTCTTCCTGAACAGCTGGACCTGACTAACCTGTATACTCAAGATCTGCAAGACAGAAGCAGAACAAACAGTGTTTGCAAGTACTCCCGTTGAGTCCTAACTTGTACAATTAGAAGAAAATGTCCACTTGTTTGAGACCTCCTGAAAAGTCCCAGTACTGTACAGGAAGCTCTAATTTGGGTGTATTTGCAAACATGGTTTGACCTGTGCCTTTACTGGGAACAATGATTGGTAACAATGCTTTCCAGGACATCAGCGTGTCACAGCACTGATGCATCCCTGGGTCTTCTGGTGTCTTGTCCGTTCACCTGCCTGGTTGATGTGCGACCTGTTGGCTCTGGAAGCAGTCGGTCATAGAGTTCCTTGCTGCTGGCTGTGTCAGTCCATCATATCCTCCTTTGAGTAGTCCTCCCTGGATTTTCTCTTGAAGAAGCCCATCTGGAAGAGCGAAAGTTCAGTTATCAAACTACACACTGAACCAGATGATTTCTACAGATGTTAAATACCCCTTTCATTTCATTTGATACCATGAGGCACAAAAATGTACACTATATAACAACACTACTGGATATAGTTTGATATGACAACACTGGATACAGCTTGATACGACAAAGTGTAACACTATTATGATATTGCACCATATGTTATGGTAAACCTATGGCTTATCATGGTATGAAGACATGTTATGCAAAGCATGATGATATAATAAGATATATAATGACGAGATACAAGATGATACAAGAAAAAACAGAAAGTAACGACATGAATCATGAGGACACAAAATAATATGATAAAAACAATTTGATACAATATGGTACAAAACAATGTAATTTGACGTGAACTACTCAGAGGGGACATTAAAGTACTCAGAGGACATTACATAATACATATGATATCAAATAGTGTGATAAAATATGTTATGATACACTATGCTACTCTAATATACGCAACGATGCGCTACGATACGCCACACTACAATATGCAACGATGCGCTATGATATGCTACACTATGATATGCCAAGCTACAATACGCAACGATGCACTACGGTATGCTATGATATGCTACGCTACGCCATATAATACGCAACAATGCACTACGATACGCTATGTTACGATACGCCACGCTACAATACGCAACAATGCGCTACGATACGCTATGATATGCTACGCTACGATACGCAACGCTACAATATGCAACGATGCGCTTTGATACGCTATGATATGCTATGATACGCCACGCTACAATACGCAATGATGCGCTATGTTACACTATGATATGCTATGGTACGCCACGCTACAATATGATACAATGATATAATCGGATAGGAATTTAAAAAATATATGATATGGTATCATGATACAATACACTACTTTACGATACGATACTTTGTTACCATACCCTTCAACACAAGACTGAGGAGACATACATGTAGCCCCTACACACATTTTTTTAAATCAAAATAAAACTGCAAACCAGAAATTTTAATGTTCACTGTTAAACATGTCTAGTCTAGTTGGTTAAACTCAGCTTAGCTAAACCAAGCCTAAACTAAGTAAAAGAAATCTGCTGTTCATTTTGTTTACTTTAAGTGAGATATACAGGTATGAAGGTGTTGATATTAACAAGTTAGGGTTCAAGTAATATTACCTTCCAAAGAGCGAAGATTACAAGTGCTAAGATCAGCAGTCCAATCAGGATGCTCAAAATGATGATCCAGATTGGGATTCCTCCTAAGGTCTCCTTCGTAACCTGAATCTTCACCTAACAAACATACATATACAAACCAAGAATATTAACATAAACACAAATATTTGATGACAAAGTAAGACAGTACAGGCACACAAAACTGAAACTTGATGACTTACGCTCCTGCTCCTGTCACCGTTGTTCAGTTCAAACAGGTCTGCGCTTCGGCTTTTCAGTGTTGCGTTCACCATCATATAGAGACTTGAGAATTCGCCCTGTGAGAAATTGACCATCAAACATTTCCTTACTTGAATATGATGTATTCTGCCTCTCAGAACATAATTTATTCCTGTCAATGACTAACAAAACAACACAGGCGGGTGAGACGAGCTACATATAATCTTGTTCATGCGTCATATCAAACCTACCTTAATGAACGTAGATTTCCACACCCTGAATGTGACATTGACTTGACCGTATGTTGCCTCTGGGATATGGCAATTAAATGACGCACAGCGGTGATTTTCACAGCTCTGAAAAGCAAATTAACAAGAAAAAAAACAAGACAAATATTTAAAAAAAACAGGTCCTGTTGTGCAAAAGCCTGTCTGTATATCTCAGGTTTGGTAAGCCACGATTCACTGGGTATACTCGATAAATCGCACACCCCTACCTCAAATATGCGGCACATGATGAGCTGTTAATTGACCTGACCAGGACCCTCTTATTTAGGAGAAATCTCAGTGCCCCTGAATGACCTGGAGTACTGGTTTTACTGGTCTAAAGCAGCCTTCTTTTCACTTACCAAAATGTAAACCCCTAGAGTTTCTTTCTTTGGATTGGAAGGTATGACATTAGGGGGGATTTTCAGGGGGTTGATCCAGCGCTCTGCATCACATGACACCTGTAGAGACAACAGAGGCCGGTATGCAGGTAACTGTTGTTTTCAACACATCTCCAGCTTTGTGTTTATGTGTACCACACTGTACCTGTGGGCTTGGTTTGACATCTGTCAGGTATAGTAAGTGGTTTTGATGAGGAGACAGATGAGGGAACGTCACTGTCAGGCTAAGGGGTGGCGTGTCCATATCACCTGATTTCACCACCTAAAAAGATGTGAGATTGAGAGGGACACTTCAGTTGTACAAACAGTACTGTACTGTGCATTGCAGTACACATTTAGGTAGACATGAGATAAGTATTCCATCTCAAAATAGGGTAAAATACTATAAATATGGGATAACATGATATGAATATGGTCAAATTTACTATAACAAAACACGACATATGATTTCTGTCAGTAGATGTTACCGTGTAGCTAATGTTGACCTCCTCTCCAATCATCCGGGTGTCATTGATTTTAGGGGGATGCTGTTCCCCCTCTTTCACCACTATGTGTTCATCCGTAGGATGTCTGAAGGAAAAGATCAGATTAATTTTGGATTTATCAAACAGAGATCTAAATACAAACAGAATTCTTCTCCATTGCATACTTTATTAATTTGATTTTTTATGCAGCAATCAATGCTATTGATCTTCCTTTATGCGTAACAGCAGGCTGTCTAACATTTGACAGATGAAAAGTGTTATAAAAAGCGTGTGGTTGAATCTCATTTAGTTTGTAGTTAATTAAAAGGGTGTTTTTCATGTCCTGTGTGGTAGCAATTATGGGGAAGATTTCTGCCCAACTGCAGCAATGCATCTATCTAATGGATTAAAAAAATACTGTATCCATTTGAAAGATTTGGGAACCTTATCTATGTATGTATGTAAGTGTAGTCTGGGGGAATTCTGGGGTTTCATTGAACCCCCCCAAGTGAACGTTGGATATATTCTTGTGGTCCTGAACACAGGTGGCAGGTGAAGACAGTGAAGGTCACTGCAGCATAGACCAGCTTAAGTCCAGTCTAAAGTCAACAGTGCAGTTTTTGTCTTGCAGCTTAGAAAGTGCATTGGCAAGATACTGAAAATGTGACGCGTGCAGCAGCACTTCTACTCTGCACAGAAAGAGCCTTCAGTATATTTTACACATACACTGAGGTTTATAGATGCCATGGATCCGAGCCTCCGGGGTTCACCTTCGGAGAAACGCGATGAGGATCTGTACCTGCTTTGTTATCTGGTTTTGTTGTACAAGTTCAATCACTGTGGTATACTTCAATCTCACAAATTGTTATCACTATGGAGCCTTTAAGCTTATTGATTTATTTATGTGACCCCCTAAAATTAAAGTCTAGACTGAGGCAAAAATTTGGGTAATGTAGGTGCTTGAATTTCCAAATATAAAAAGTCATCATGTCTGGATTGTATCTGTATTTTTATGATGCAATGTGGAAGAAAATCTGTTCACATAATCAGTTACTCACACTGAGAATAAGAGTCCAGCTCTATACTTCACTGGGATGGTTATTAGCACTGAGTTGTCGTGTAGAGTAGAGTCCAGCTCTTCACTGTCACTGTTGGAAAAGTTATGAAGAAAATGAGGGAAAAAGCTTCAAAATGTGAAGAAATTTCAACACCGTGCTGATCTTCTCACCTTGTTGCTGTGATGTTGATCTGAATTACTCCCTGGACATGTTTTGGATTTACCTCAAACTTCACTTTGAAATTTTCCTGTGGATAATGGATCATATCACATATTTACCAAGTATGAAATAACAACTGGTACATCGTCTGTGAAGTTCCAGCCTTGGCAGATTATAGTAACACATGCTCAAATGTACCTCTCCATTGTTTCCCAGGAAAGGGTAACCCACAGCACACTCCACTTTGGTGTCGTTTGGAGTGCACGACTTGTCTGGCTAATGAAACACATGCAAAATACAACATCATCAAAAAACTGATTTTATTCATGTGAACTATAAAATAAGGACAAGCGGCTCTCTAAACCTCACCTCAACTTTGACATAATTGATGTTCGGTGTGAAGCTGAGGGTAACTTTGGTGTTGTATGCGTTGTCTTTGCTGTTTCTGACATTGATGTTCACTTCCATCCTGTCTTTGCTGGTTTTGATCACCATGCTGCAGAGGGACATGAACAAAGTGTCAGTATGCTGGGGTTTTCATGCACATGCACTTTCTCTCCACAAGGGGGCAGTCAGGCACTAGAAAAGTTTGCCACTGCTGTTTGAGTGAAACTAGCTTACAGTCAGTGTTCAACATCTTTTAACAGTTATAACGAAGTCTTTCTTTGAACAATACACGGGAAAGAATGACCAATCATGTCAGCTTTTACAATCTTCATTTTTGTCATACAAACAGCAGATTGTGTGTGAAATTCCCACAAATCCATCACTGCCTTTTACCTTTTCACACTCGGCTCTGCTTTGAGAGAGAGGTCAGCAATGCACTTCTGGTCACTGCCACAGTCCACTAAAGGAATCTACAACACACACACACACACACACATATAAATTCAAGGTGTAAAAATGAACAAAAAGGACTCAGCTTTGACTTTACCGAAACATTGTCAGAGATAATCCAAATATATAAATGATAAAATTATAAATAATATAGCATAATAATATAAAAACATCCTATCCCCATTCACGTTAGGTAAAAATGAATTTGTAGATCTGACAGATAAATACATAGAAGGAACAACATGTCAGTTTGACATATCAACATGTCAGATATTACTGTATCATCACTTACAGATGTACTTATTTGGTTTGCAATGTCATGTTTATGCTTGCTTTGTTTAAAACTTTTATCAAACTCTATTTGATACTTAATCAAGATAAACATTCATTCACATTGATTAAGGGGCTGGACTGTGGCCTGTATAAATCATGGTTTTAGTCTCACAGGGTGCTGACATACTGCTGTTTAGGGGTGGGACATTAAAGCCCCTGTTATTGCCTCATAATGCAGAGAAGTGTGGCGGTGGAGTAGAGTTAGCCATGTCCTCCACATCGCCACTCCATCACGCCGCCTCCGATCCTCTTCCTCTCTCCACCTCACTGTGCCCCCTGTTCACCTCAGCACCATGGGGGGCAGAGCTTTCAGTCGCTCTGCCCCCCGACTCTGGAACTCTTTACCATCACACATCCGCAACATAGACTCCCTCCCCCTCTTCAAGTCCAAACTCAAGACACACCTGTTTAAACTGGCCTATCCCTCCCACCACCCCTAACTCACTTTTTTAAATTCAATTTCAATTGCTATTATTCATTTCTTTACTCATTCCTTTGCTGTTGTTCGTGTTTTAATGTTGCTTTGTTGATTTTAACTGTTTTGATGATTGATGATTTTAATTGTTAATAGTGTTTTATTATTGTTTTATATGTTCTGTAAAGTGTCCTTGAGTGACGTGAAAGGCGCTTCAAATAAAATGTATTATTATTATTATTATTATTATTATGTCTTACCCTTCCTCTTTAAGCTTCTTGGAAAAAGAGCTGCAACTTGCCCTTTAGTTATGCAAATTAACACGTAACTCTTAGGCTTGAAGTGAGCTAAAACAGATGAGCTTTTGAGGCCGTAACTTTTTTTAGTTTGATTTTCTCAACATGTTTAATTTTGCTGTAGAATATGTAACCTAGAGGACATTCGCGGGTCTACTGTGGCTGAACAATCATAAGGCCAGTCCAATAGTAAAGCCTAAATGAATCTAAATGAATGCAGACACATGGAAGAGTCCACATAAGAGAGCTCAGTTACCTCATGACTAGACAGTAAGACAATCCTTAACCATTGCACACTCACTGGGAACACACCTTTAAGTCTATGAGCCTGTCTAAAGCTTTTTTTTGGTCCTTTTTTACGATATAAAACCAGTCAACTGAATAAATATTTTGGATGATTTTCCCAAACAACTGGAGTCCTTCCACAGAAATAAGTAGAGTGATGAGAGTCTGAATATCCTGCTGTTTGTTTGTTTGTTACCACTTACAGTTCTGAAGGGTGCATTCAGATGACCTTAATTTCCTTTCCCTTCTCCCCCCAGAGTGTTTAGGGGTCACACTTGCATTCGTTCCCATTCTCAAAGCTCTCCCACTGGACCCTTTAGATCAACAGAGTCTGTAAACTCTCCCAGCGAAAGAGACTAGAATATCATGTGCTGCACAATGTCTAGAGCATCCGCCTGATGACTTCCCTTTTCAGTGCGTCTGGGTGTGTGTGTGTGCGCGTCCCTTCTCTTCCTTTTAAAAACAAAAACAGGAGAGGTCGTCACAATGCTTCCTCACGTCGCTGTCAGGGCTCAGAACTGCAGCACATATGATCCTGTGTTTAGAAGTCAGGAGAGGCGGTGGTTGTTTGTACTCTGTGTGTTCACACGCTCAGGCTTTTACGGCATTCTTTGTGTTACGTGTTGAAGCTAAATTCTCATGTAGTATTTCAACTCTTTATCTGAACACATCACTCATTGGAACAATTATCCGGACAGCCTCTTGTTAGAACAAATATGCATGTGGGAGTGTGGGAATACTGTCCTCTGAATGCTGCTGGTGTTGAATGCAGCTTTTAGGAAACTCTGAAAGATGGCAGTCAGCTGTCGCAGATGCTAATGTGCTGGAACTGAAGTGTGTTTTGGAGCCAGACAACAAGAGTCGACCTCCAATCCTTTCTGTCTGCTTTCGTTTTTTGGCATTAAAGCAATGACGGAGAGTTTATTAGGGGATATGAAATCATCTTCTTACGGTCTTATTGATGGATCTAGGAAGGTTTTCATCCAAGACGGGGCCTTGATCCTCATCAGCAAGTCCAAACTCTAAAGACACCATGAGGGGGTCTCGGAAGTCTGGTCGGGCCTGTTCAGGGTTAGGAGGAGGGGAAGGAGAGAGAGGAGAAAGAATTAGCAATTAAACTAGAGTTATATACTTAAATCCACATACTGCGGTGTAAATCTGAGATTAAAATGTTGAGAAATTTGTAGAACTACAAAAATGGCCGCAAAGCAATAAAAGAAGAGGATCCATGAGCATGTGTGCAAACTTCTATCAAAACTAGATCTTAAATCGTCTATCTGTTTTAACATATGCTATATTCTCCTTTGCAACACTCTAGTTAAAGGGATATTCCGGCGTAAAATTAATTCAGGGTCAACCACACCATAACACCGAGTTGGACACCCACTTTCCTCCAGCAGTCGTTTGCTTGTAGTGAGACCTCATCATTCAGTAATGATCATTTCTTCATCATTTCCTTGTCATAATAATCATCATATTAATCATTTTACACTGCAGACGCGGTAGTTCTTCTGCCTTAGCATCTCAGTCTGATTGCATTTCCATGAGGAAATGATCATGAATGTTCTTCCTTGAGCTGTGTCACCCCGCACCAGTTGATGGACTGGCCCGAGGTCTCGCTACAAACAAGCGGCTGCTGGTAGGGAGTAGGTGAGTTGTGTTTATTCTCTTTGCTAAAGAAATTAGGCAAAGTTAAAAAAAAGATATTTGGTTGCTAGTGCTGTGGTTGGGACCCTGTATGTACTGTTTATGAAGTTAGTTCTGAGCATTATTTATGGCTATGGAGTGGCGTTTTGTTTGAGCACTTGGCTCTCTGTATTGGTATTGTGCGGTCATTACTAAAATTGGTCAAACTAGAGAAGCAAGCGCTTGTCAACACATCTCTCAACGGGTTGTCCAACTCTGTGTTACGGTGTGTTTGACCCTAACTTAATTTTACGCCGGAATATCCCTTTAAGCCACTGCAGTGTCTTCTTTCTGTTGAACTGCATTAAACCATCACTGAGTCTGAACGATCACCAGTGAGCTAAGCATACAGGTGCAGCTAATGAGACGCACTAGCATCACAAAAGCCGACAGAACTCTATTTGAGTGTGTGAATCAAATAATTGTGGATGAAATTGAATCAAAGTAGTTATTTGTGGTCACTAATTTGGTCACAAAGGCTGCACTTCTCACAGCAGGGAGTCCAAGCTCAACCTGCAGGCCTTTGCTCCATACCGTTCCTTGCGCTTTCCCAGTTTCCTGCTCCATCCACTGTCCTGTCCTCCTCTCTAAATAAATGCATTAAAGCCCAGAAAAAGACTTTAAAAAGGGGAGCTAAAAGCCCAAGCTAAGCAGGTGACAACTGACTCCAGGTCAGTCAACACTGTAGTAGACTCTGGATGGCATGTTGTGATCAGTCACACATTACTCTCATGGGGAGTAATAGTATCATGCATACAGGACCTGCATGAAAAGTGCAATTGATTTTGCAGTAACCAGAGATCATTTGATGTCATTGAGTATTCAAACTTCTACTGGAGTATCTGCACATCATATGTTTACAGGAAACTCTGTTTGGCTTATTTACACAGAAGACTGGGTGGAGATCAGACAAGAACCCGGAAGTCCATTCAAGACCAGTTTGTTTGACCGTCATCAAGTAGACGCATTAATTAATTAACACACGTCATAGGGAAACTCAATACTGCTTTGTACAGGAAGGCATAAAAATGAGTCTTTCTTGGGCCTGTGACAGATTTTGATTAAACCCACGAAAGAGCGCCACATAAGAAACATATGCTTCATCTCCGGAGCATTTCTGCTGAATGCAGACGTACACATCCTGTGAATGAAGAGCTGGGATTAATTTGCGACACATCTGCTTTCAGTTCATACAGCTGCTGCTCAGATCTGTTCATATTCGGTCCATCTTAAATTCAGGTACCGCGCTTTAAGATGTTTTGTGCGTGTGGTACAAATCCCTCTGACCCCTCCAAACCTCTGCCCTGGACTCTGTGGGAAGTTTCTGTCCGAACTGGCACATTAGAACAGAGCAGGTATTCATTCTGGACACACAGCCACAGCAGCTGTTTTCACTGATTAGTTCTCCTTCAGCTCTTGCTCTGGGGCAGCTAATCAGAAAAATCCATTGCTGCAGTATACGAATGGGAAACTTTGTGCGCGTGGTTTTTAATGTCACATCGCTGCAGAAACCACATAGCATTCATGAAGAACAAAGGTTTCTGAATCGGTGTAAAGCTTGTTGACATATTTCTCGTCCTTAGATGTCCCTTTTTGTCATACTCTCCAAACACCTCATACACTCTCATTGTGTGTTGCCTTTTCTTTTCCTCCCTAACTCGGAGTGCCTGCAGATAATTTATCACAGCGAGCTGCACAGGCCTAAACTCGGCATGCTTTGATCAGGGCGGGCCTGTTTCATGTTAGAATCTATGTCTTCCTGCTCTGCATAACACTCCCCACAGCTTTGTCCTGTCTCCTCTTTGGCCCCGGACACCATCTACATCCCCAACAAGCCAAGAATACAATGTTGTAATTCTGAACATTGTATTCTTGTGATTTCAGGGTAAAAATGCAGTTTGGGGTGGAACAGCAACAGGTAAGAAACTCTAACTCTTCCCACATGTACGTCATAAACATCAGAGTACTTGCCGACATCATGAAGGTTTCTTCCACACACTCCCAGTCTTTGATGAGGAGTCTCCTCGTGATCCTGCGATCACTTTTATCGGCCGTGTCGATAAATGAAGCCCGAGCTTTCGCACGCCGAGCATCCAGGATGAGATCATAGCGTATCTCTGCAGGATAAAAAAAATAAGTAAGATACAGAATAGAGAAAATGCTGAATCAGTGAGAGTGTGGGGTCAGATATATAAATAAGAGGTTCATTTTGGATGTACCTGCAGTGGAGTCGGAGCCCTGCTGGTCAGATTTGATGCTATATGCAAAACACACCTTTGTTTTCACACATACAGATTTACGTCCACCGTGTTCACACTGCGCCTGCTGCAGGTTGATTTTAGCAGGATCAAAAGTCATGTTCGCACGGAGCTCTGCAACATCTCTGGACCTGGTGGAAAAAAAAAAAAACACAATCAAGCCAACTTCTAATATGAGTGATATGCGTGTCTGTGTTTTGAACTGTGCGAAATGCATCTACTTTCTCAAAGGAAAGAACAAGAAACAGACGCATCTGAAGTGTAAAACTTGGCCTCACTCTCTCTGTATCCAACTGTTGAGCTTTATACAACTCCAGCTCCAGAACAAGAACAGCCGCCTGCTGCCAAAGCCTATTTAAACTCTAAGCCTCCTGGGAGTTGGAGTTTTCACACAGCTTAGCTGAGCCTCTGCCAGTAGAAACTGTGGGAGAAGTTAAATCATTCTGTGGGCTGATGTTTCAAAACTTTGTGGGTGGAAGCCTGTAGGCCGATGTCCAACAGGGAAGAACAGAGCCAAAAGTTTAAACAGAGAGATCATTAGGAAGCTGTTGGTCTCAAGCCTACAAGCCCAGTGGGACCTCAACAGCTGTCTAAACCCCAGAAACACAAAGCAAAGCGGACAGGAGGACAGTGTCTATAGGACACATGCACGGCTGCTGATCATGTCACAGCAGATAGTGCAGTTTACGAGTGAAAGCTCATACAGTTATATCTCATGTCTCACCAGAACAGAGAAGCTCCTCCTAGACCTCCGATGGTAACATCAGTGATGCCGTCGCCGTTTAGATCCATGACTCCATGTATGGACTGACCAAAGAATTTCACCTTATCACCATCCCCTCCTGCAGGGATACGCTGAGGATACAGAACTGGTTAAAAACATCACAGGTACAGGTGGAGGGTACGCTTTTATGTTCCACCTCTATGAACGAGACAGAGAGCATCAGTTTACTTAAAATACTTTAAGAAGCCCCACCCACTCACAGTCAGTGGCTGAAAGACGTTACGTCTTGTTTAGACCTTGAGAAGATCTGTCACTCGGTCGCAGGTAATGACGAAAAATTCAAAAAAGGTTTGGGGACCTTTTCTGGACCACATACAGAAACTCTTATCATTTTGAATCAGCACTCTTCTCTTCTAGTTGTTTTCTTTTATATCTGTGATGTTTTATAATCATACAATTTAAATTCTTATCTCTTTTACAGACTTTTTTTAATTTAAAGCGACTTGTTTACATTTCTATTTCTCTTAACGTACAGTAGTTCATTTAACTTATTTTCTGTTTACTTTTTATTTCTCAACATCTTATATTTCAAGATCTATAAAACCCAAATTCCACCACTAACTTCCTTTTTTTTTTAGCTCCAGAATTTGTTATTTAAGCACAGTGATTTCCAGCAGTAGGCAGGGTCTTGAGGGAAAGGTATCTTATACTTTTTCAAGAGCTCATAAAAATAAAAACAACACGAAGAAAAACAGATAGAAAGAGAAGGTCATTCAGGCATCAACAGTGACAAACAACGTGTATTTTAGTCCAGGAAGAGTAAAAACAATGCTCACTGCAGAGTAGAAGAGGTACACTTCTACGATTAACATGATTATTACATGCTTAATTGACAAAGGCAAACCTCTCACGTTTGAGCTAGTTTTGTCCTGTACATGTGTACGTACTTTTTTCTTTCGTCAGCGTGCTGGAAATATAAGATATTGATATAAATTGGTATAAATAATTGAAATTTGTGTCATTAACGGTCATAAAGAACCATCACTGTTGATTTCAGACTTTTTCATAAGCAGTCGAAAACTCCCTACTGTAGCTTTAAATAACTTTGGTAACACTTTATAATCACTATGCGTTATAACTAGTTAATAAATCATGAGTAAACTGTTAATTAATGAGTCATTTATTACTTGTTAAGTGTTTGTTAACAGTTTGTTAAGGATTTTTAATGTCTTATAGGTAGTTAATATATCATTAATAAACTGTTAGTTAACGAGTTATAAATGACTGTATGTTAATGATATATGACTTTACTTTATAAATTGGTTATAGATCATGAACAAGCTATTAGTAAATTACTTACCAATGACTTGTTAATCAGTTAATAGTTTATATATGTTATTGGGATGTGATTCTAAAGTTGCAACTATTCCTCATTTCTTAACAGTTAGTAAATTAATTCATTAATTAACAGTTTGTCATTGATCTATTGACTAGTTATAATGGATGGTTATTATAAAGTGTTATCATAATAATAATAATAATAGATTTTATTTGTAACGCACTTTACATTTAAAAACAAATCTCAAAGTGCACAACAAGACAACAATAAAAAGTAAAAACCAAGCAACAGGGCAAAACAATAAAAACAGTCAGCAGATAAAATCAGATAAAATTAGTCCGGGTAGGCTTTCCGAAAGAGGAAGGTTTTGAGTTTTCAAACAATCTCTACGCAGAGGTGCTGATTGTAAGACTGAGAAAGACCCACAAAGTCAAACTGACCACTTCAGTGTGAAATACGTCAGAGTGAATTATAACCGTCTGTGAACTCTCCTTACCTGCACATATTTCTCTTTCAGTGTCCTCTTATCTCCGTGGTAGATGTAAACAGCCCCTCGATGGTCATTCTCAAAAGGTGCCCCTATGGCCACGTCATTAAATCCATCCAGGTTCAGATCCGTCACTGCTGCAATGGCTGTGCCAAACCGAGCCCCGCATGGTTCATTTTTATTAGTGCAGACTTCTGAACCGGCGATACAGCAGGACTGATTGATGGGCTTTAGTGTGAACTCATGCTCAAACTGGCCATCCTGAAGAGTGAAGAGTCAAGAGTGAAGTTTCATTAAAATATGATGTGACCTCAGACATTCAGAGAAAAACTCAAAATACAATTTAGTTTTTCTGAACCTGATTGAGTTTGTAGACGTAGACCTGCCCCTGCTCGTCTCTTTCTTTTCCCATGAACATCGGAGCGCCAACTAAGAGGAGATCTGTGTTTGAGTCGCCGTCCACATCAACGGTCTGCAGGACGCTGCCAAAGTAGGAACCAATCTGCACAAAGAACCACAAATCATATCAGTGTTGAGTCCCAGCCCTGGTTTGAAAACACAGGTTTTGATTCATGTCATTTCAGAGACACTACACTCAGTGGGTCTTTAGGCTGTCCCCCCAAAAAAGCCCCCACAAGAACTTTATCAGACATTTATTTAGGACCTGAAACATTCAGAAAACTGGCACAGCAACAAGAAGTTTGACCATCTGGTTGTGTTGTCCTACTAGCTTAAATATTTACAATGCTCTTGACAAGTAGAAGCTGTGGATTCATCGTGAGTCATCAGTAAGCTCAGATTTTCAAACAGGGAGAGTGCGCAGTGAAATATGAGAAGTCCATGTTCTGATAACGTCCAGATGACGTGAAAATAAGTAAAAAAAATTAAATTTGCAAAATCATGAAAAATGACATAACTTTTGACTCTTTAGTAGACTTGTTTCCCTGGTCTTCCCTGGCCTTCACAGGTATGAACCAGTGTTTTTTGAGGGCCTTATGCAGTTCAGCCTCTTCTAAATTCAACGCAGACTTTTTTGGCAAACCAGGACCTCTTACCAGCTGTCAGTACTCTTTCCTGTCCTTTACAAATCACAGACTCTACAGACGATTCATAACAGCACTTCACACATATTACCATGAAACTGGTGTCCTTTTCCAACATTTACATGTCTGTTTATGTATGAGACAAAGCTACAGTATATTGTTACTACAGCCTGATGGAAAACTGGACAGAAGCATGGTGATGTAAATACGCAGAAGGTCTTTGTTTATGCAACACAATGAAGTTTACAAAGATCAGCATTATCTCCTGTTGCCGATCATTACCTGTAGAAATCCAGTCTATACACATAATACACACAACGACAAGTGGAAAAAGAGGAGAACAGTGTATGCTGATGCTAATATTTTCCACTTGAAGCACTGTAAGTTCTTTAGTTCTTGAAAAGAAGCTCCAGGGCCCAGTTGTTCAAAAGTAACCCAAATGGAATAAAGCTATCAGATTGGATCGTATCTTGAAACTGTCTTGTTTAAAAGAAAAAGAGCAGGAAATTTATGTCTGTTTTTTATAAGCATTGAATAGATTTTGTTCAAAACGTCTGAGTTTGTTTGGTGTAACTGATAAAAAATAATAATAAAAAAATCAGGGTTGCTCTGATCTTTGCAGAGAGCTCATTTCAGGCTGGATTACGAAAACAAAATGTTGAATAACGAACAAATTTGACCTGTACAAAATGCTGATAATGCATATTTAGTAACATTAAAAAGTCTGAAACTATTTTAAGGTTGACCAAATCTTGTTTGTCAAAGTAAAACTGCTTTATGAGGAGACAAAATATTCCCAAACCATTAAACAATAAAGTTTTATATAATTTTAAAACACAGATTTAACCTCTTATATTTAAAGCAGGTTCAACATGGGATGCTTATGCTGCATTCAAGTTATTTCAGAAGTTAGATGTCAGAGCTGAAAATGAAGTTGGACAAGGCAAGTGCCAAAATAACTTTCGTAGATCTAGCCATCTTGTTCCCGCCTCCAATTTTGCTTTTTCCAACTTGGTAACTGAAACTCGAGTGTGACGTCATTTTCAGCTCCAGCATCTGACTTCCGAGGTAACTCGAACGCAGCACCAGTTTACTTAACCTCCTAAGACCTGGCGTCCACATGTGTGGACATCACATTTTTGGTTGTCAAGACCACAATATTAAATTTTCTTCACAAGGGCCTTCTCTCAAAATTTAAAACGAATGTCCTCATATGTGGACATCATTTTTCTCAGAAACTACATCATGTAAAAAGATCATTCTTTGTTTTTACACTCATCAGGTCCCAATTAGCCTAAATATCAAAGAGAAAATAAAAATGCATGCCTTGCAAGAGTTCGGGTCTTAGGAGGTTAAAGCATGCACAGACTCCTGGAGAGTCACATTTACACCAACTTCATTCAGCTGAGAAACTCGGGCTAAAAGACCCGGGCACGATCACAGAAATCCTCACCTGTTCTCCTTTCAGGATCTGTGAGACCACAACATTATTGTTTTCATTCAGCCTGTAGATGACAACCCGGCCTGTGTGGTTGTAACGGGGTGCGCCTGAGATGTAGAGCACTCCGTCAGGGGTGGAGGCTGACTGGACGTCATAGCCTGCAGATTGTACATGCAGTGGTTAAATCGATGCAAACATAAGCAGACAAAAGCAGGAATATGTCACACTGTGCATTCACATAACACCAGAACAAACACTGACACTCAAAATGTTCTTGTTTACATCTCACTGCGTCAAGGAAACTATAAAACACTTCTGCAGGAAAACGCACACAGAAGCTACATACGCAGTCAGACCTTGTGGTACAAACATGTGCCAACAGCTGAGTTCATAGTTTGTAAGTGTGGACCTACCAGGGCTTTTTCTTATGACATGTTGATTAAATAACCTGATATTAAGATGCTGCGGTTGCTCTACGAACCATAAAAGGCAGCGGGACAGAGAGAAGAGCCCACATGTATTATTTATGTGACAGAGACAGAGAAAGAGAGAGAGGCATCTGCTGTCATAGTTAGACAAATGCTGGTCCTCCCTCCACGAAACAGACTCCATATTTATCTCGCAGCTGTAAAATTTCAATAAATCTCTTAAAAGATCAAGAAAACACAGCTCAGGTGGAGTTTTTAATCCAAGTGTGAATTCTGCTCAAGAGGCTCTTTTGTCTTTCTTAGATTGGAGGAAAACTTTCCTACACATGGTTAAAGCTGAGGAGAACGAACAGAGACTGTAGAAAAAAATTGCTTTTTGTCCGTTTCACATTTTTAACTCCAGGATGAAACATTTTTAAATCCAAAAACAATATTATTCATGTAACCTTTGTTTTCATGTCAATAAGGCTGGTGGGTCTCCAAAAGTCTCCCTCCTGAAACCTGCTTTAACGCACGATAAAAATTCATTTTTGACATGTTCAGTTTGTGTGACACATGTATGATTTCCTCTGGGTCCCATCACCCATAGCAGCTGAAAATATGACTCAGCTTTAACTCACCGAGGTACCCGGCCAGTCCCTCGTACCCGACCTCAGTCTCTGGGTCCGAAAACTGTGCGTAGTTTGGACGAACTTCTCCTTTAGCAGTGTGCATTACCACTGTCCCATTCCAGTCGTACGCTCCCACAGCTCCCAGTAACACTCCCTCCTACAGCAGACAATACGGGCAATCAAGTATCCTGTTTATATCTTCATTTTTAACCATAAAACAGAAATATAGGTCTTATTATTATTATTATTATTATTATTATTATTATTATTATTATTATTATTATTATTATTATTATTATTGATATTATTCTTCTATTATAATTTCCATTATAACATTCCATTATATGCTTGTCTGACAATTGTAATATTTTTTATCATTATTATTCATATATATAATACACACACACACACAAAACCACAAATGCTGTTGTTTGTTGTTTGTCTTGCATAAAAATAATTAAAAATAATAAAAAAAAACAAAAAAAGAAAAAACAGAAATATAGGTAACACTCTACAATAACCATAATTTAAAAACAGTAAATAGTTTATTCATGTTTAATCATCATTTAAAAACAGCATTTAGACCAATTATATATGGCAAATAGATAGTTTGTTAATGTAAGTTAATAGTTACTTTAACATTAACAAGCAATATTTACCATTTATAAGTTATGGTTATTGTAAAGTGTTACCGAAATAGAAATATTAAGATATGAAATCAATGTTTGTGTCATTAGAAAACAGAGGAGAGGTCACCGGGTTTACAGTCAAACAGCATTGAGAGGCTCTTTTAGACTGCTGGCTGTTAAAACCCTGCCTCTCCTGTTCAGCATTAAGCCAAACATCTCACTTTGTCTGGTTTCATTAATTAAATGAGCCACGCAGCCGCAGAGACAGTGTACACAGTGATGGGAGAGTCGATAAACGTGAGTCAAGAGCAGGAAGAGCAGGAAGAGAGTCCTGAGAGGGCCGCCTGTTTGTTTTTGAATAGACATAGGAAATACCTAATGAGTGAACAAGGGGCAAAAGCAAGAATGTTGTTTTTACCCCAGTGAACAAACATCTGATTCAACCTGCGTGGCCGTCTCTTCTACATGCCTCATGGTGATTTTTGATCCCCTTCCTCTCTGTCTGAACACTCTCTCTCATGCAATCAGACCAAACACGATCAGTCTGAAGAGTTCAGCAGAGTAACAGAGGGAGTCTGTGTCTGAGGCGTCTGCTGACCGAGGTGAATCACCAAAGGGTTGAAGATGCACTCAAGATAATCCTGTGCCGAAGTGTCCGCGTGAGTTCATCTGAGCAAACCCTCGCATGCGAGCGCTCACAGACACTGAAGATATGACACAGTGAACTCAGTTCTGTCTGGTTCAGTGTGTCACAGGTAGATCAAATTATCTTAGTACGACATTCACGCATTTTAATAATGTGATTTAGACTTACTTTAGATGTATGTGCACTGAACCCAGCTTGAGACATCTCCATCTCAAAGGATGAGGTGAGGTTTCCACGTGTAGCTGAAAAGGAATAAAAAAGAAGTTAATTTTTATACATATAAATAACGCAAAATGAAGGCTTGTTAGCTGCTCAGACACACATTGGTAACTATCCTTCGAGGAACAAAGTGTTATTTTGGCAAAGAGCCTCTAACAAACCCCAAGAATCCATTTAAAGTACTTTTTAACAGGTAAGTAGGGAGACAATTATTGACACACTCTTTGCCTGTTTCCTGTAAAGAGAGGAAGTTGTGTACAAAGTGAGGTGTGAAAGAAACTTTGCGTTGTGACAGATGGTTTAGCACTGCTAGCTAGCTGTTTCCCCATTTCCTGCTAGCTCTGGCACAGTCTTCTTTCACCAGCTACAGACATGAGAGTGCTATCATTCATCCTCATAGCAAGCATTTCTGTGAAAGTAGAATTATCTCCAGTTTAGTAAGCATTTGTTAACTGATACACTAAACTCTCCCACCATGTCTTTTTCAATGATACCTTCCAGAGCGAAAATCCTGCTTCCAAGAGCGTCCACAATGGTCAACAACGCCACCTCATCAGACACGTTGAAGAAATGATCTCTCAGAGGTGGACTTGAAATGGACTCGATCTCCTTGATAAATTTCTGCACGTCTTCTGCACTTTTGTTCTGACGATTGTAGTCTCCCAAAACCTGGAAAAAAGTACAACATTTTTAAACACAGCATGGAGTGAGTGTCTCAGATTGAACTGGCGTAAAAGCTTTGTGACGTTCATTCAATTTAAAAGAAGCTGTTTAGTCAGTCTCCCCCTTGATTTAATTTCAATGATACTCCTTATTTGATTTGGTACTAATTCAGACCAGTAGATTTACTGGTTCGATTTTTATTTCTGCAGACATAAAATGTAATTTCCTTGAATGACAAATTAGATATACGGAGCCAAGCTCAAGTATTTCTGGCAAAACAGAGACATCCTTTCAAATCAGGAAAAGTGTGCACTTGTAAATGTTATTTGTAAGAGCAACACAAAGGTAACTGATACCCACAGCAATGCCAAACCTCTCGATTTCATCTTCTTCACAGTCGTCCATGACTTGATTTAGATTATATGAGTCATGCGACTCTCCATCAGTCACAATCACCATGACTTTCTTCACCCCAGGTCGTGCACCGCGCTCTGGCATGAAGGCCTCCTTCCTAACAGGTAAAAATGACAAAAAACTAATCTTCACAAACATCTCCACAAACTGGGTCTGAAATTGTACTTCAAGGTGAAACTTTTATCTCTCAGATGCAAGACTACTGACACATTAGAGGCTAAAAAAATCTGATGAATGATGTTAAACTGGTGAAAAATATTCTATATTATGGGGAACCATCGATCCTTACATGATGCAGGACAGTGGTTCTCAACTGGTGGGTCCCGACCCAAAAGTGAGTCATAGACATGTTCTGGATTGGTCACGAACAGCTGGTCAAAAAAGTAAATATTTAATGCACATCTGATGTTTGACACGTCTTTTATTTTGAAAAATATCTTATTTTGAAAGACACACATTACGTCATGGTCCTCCTCTGTTTCTTATTGATGTGGCCTGAATGCAGTAAAAATACATGTTTTTCTTTTTATCTTTATTTAGTGCAATTTGATATTTATTCACTTTTGTCCATGCTGTTGCATGGTCCTCCCCAGGTTCCTCTGAATATGGTCTGAAGACAGAGATGCATATAAGTCAAATTTTTCATTTCATTTTGTGCAATTTGATACTGAATATTTCTTGTATATGCAACTTTAGCAGTTGTCGTCCTCAGTTCATGTGCTCTGAAGTGCACTATACTCAATAAAATGGGTGGATTTATGTTAAAAATTTGAGTCTTTAACAGTTTTGTTTATAAAAAATGAATTTGCTTGGTTTGAATTCTATAAAAGTGGGTCACGACTTAAGGACCACGGGAAAAATGTAGGTCCCAGAGTGAGGCCAGTTGAGAACCACTGATGTAGGATACACTGATTCAGATAGCAGGATTGTGTGTGGATCTTTTTAGTTTAGTACTATGACATTCTTGGTCATCAGAATTTCACACATCAACAACTTATGCTTACATTTTCTGCTATAAAAACAACTTTCAACTTCATTAAGCATCATGCCAGAGAAAACCGTTTCTTTAACTGCACAAAAAGGCAGATTAGAGAAGGCAGTCGACTTTGCCAGCAGCAGAAACACAAAACACTTCCTAGTGCTGGTTTGAAAGCTTGAAAAATAACAGAGAGGGTTCTTAGATTCATTATAGATTCATAATAGACCCCTGAAATCAACAAAACAGTCTCCTTTGTCTAAAGCTTGTGTTGCCTGTGATACATACAACTTCACTGCAACCAGCAGCTCAGCCCCTTTTAGTTCAGCTTTGGCCTGAACATCTAAGTTTGGGAAAACATTCTCTCTGCCTGACCAACTACATGTTGGACCAATTAGGTAACCTCTACTGCATAGTTTTAACCATGATAGATCAATGTTCAGCCTATTTACAATGACTGATGGACTGAAATCTTGACTTAGAGGTGAGATACCTGGCTGTATCGATGCCCAGGAAGGTCATGGTCTTGGACCCGGTCTGCTGAGGAAGCCCGTCCACGAACTTCAGCAGAGAGGGAGTGTTGTCGAACTGGCTCAGGTTGACACGATGAGTCACAGTCAAACCGTAGGACACGATGCCCACCTAGAAAGCACACAAGCACACATTATAAACATTATTCAGCATTTCATTCATGTTTTTCTTTTCTCTCCTTCTTCTTCTTTTTCTTCATCTGTTCTCTGTGTGTCCTTCTGGACGGTCTGCTGAAGATGTGGTCAGGTTCGTCGGGGTTGATGTGACACAATGTTCTTTAAACAGAGGGCTGAGGACTTCAGCTGCCATGGAAGATGTGACTTTACAACCGCGTGGCTCCACTCTGAGAAGACTTTCCAGTGTTTCCCTCTGGAAAACTCTGCAAGCTCCACGCCAGATCTATGTAACCATAATAAAAACTAACCACCAGCTGCAGGGGCGATCCAAGACACGTGAATAGAAATAAACTCAAGGTATAACTCATTGAGGAAAGGCTAAAATTACTTTAAAGACTTAAACGTCTACACCCCATAAAGCCTGCTTTGTGAAAGACATCTAACAGTATTCTCCATGAGTGGAAAATTCCATCATGAAGAGCAGTTTAGTTATTAAATATAGCAGCAGACGAAAAATTGAGTTGGCAATAATTATATTCCTTCATTCATACTTCTGCTTAGTCAGTCTAGTCTTACATAACCCAGTCATTTCTCCATGTATTTATACATGCATGATGGATTCCAGAGACTGATTTTAACACTGCAAACAACCATGTGACACAAAAGAGCTGCTCCCAACAGGAATCAACATTTTCAGGGACCGCCTGAAACCTCCAGTTACTGATCAAAAGAAAATGCATGTTTTAATATTGTGAATTGACTTGATCCTACATTTTCATTTTTCCTCATACATATCAAACTCCAATAAAATACAAAACATTGTTCTGTTTGAAATATAGGGGTTGGTATCTAAATCAAAATACCAAACAACTCCGGGTGGCATGTGACGGTTACGCTACATTTAGTGTTCTTGTGTGAAGAAAGTATGTCAAAGTGCGGCTTATCACTGGACTGGTTGTTCTATCACAGATAAGATGTGGTGTAAGAAATGAATGACCATCAAAGCGTGTTAAAAAAAAAACCCAAAAAACTACAGCATGATTGAGAACAAACATTTTCATAAAACTTTCCATGTGTCCAAAGATTAAACTCTGTACATAAAACAGACCTGTGAGGCTTTCGGTCCAATGTCTATATTCTCAATGAAACGTCGCAGAAAATCAATGATACTGGACCAGGGGTAGATACTGTTGGAGCCGTCCAGAACTATCACAATGTCCAGTTCTTTCGCACACTCTGTAACAGAAAAACAAAAATGTGGTTAATTATTGCCCTTTAATTGCTTCAAATGCAGTCAAAGTCATTTCAGTGTTCACATCATTAAACTTCACAGCAAAAAAACTGTCTAGTTTCCCTAAAAAGGTTAATTTTCCCAACTGTTTGCTTCTTGTTTAGTTACGTCCACAAAAGACAACGTCAAACCATTTTCATCAAAGCTCTCCAGTGTATACGGAATAAAAAGTGACAGAGTAAAGCAACACAGTGACGGTGGGTTTTAGTTCAGCTTAGTCTAGATAGTGTCGGTAAAAATTAAAACATTTCACACTGAAGATTAAAAAGCACAGGGAAGCAACTTAACTTTCAATAATCAGGTTTTACTTTTGATTCAATCAGTCTAAAATCTGGACCATCTTAATAATTTGGGTTATTATTGCACAGATAATTATATATTTAATACCTCATTTCAGCCTAAAATGTGAGCCATTCAGATCACATCTGTACATGCTTGGTGGTAAAATATATATATTTAGGGTCTGGACGTCTTCACACGCTAAATATTTGAACAGATTTTGCAGAACTTGCTGTGTTTGTGTCTGTTCAAAGAAGGCAGAGAGAAAGAGAGATGTAACGACAACGACTGGACCACGCTCTGTATTTCCAAGCACTCCTGGGAAACAAAGTGCAGGCCCACTAAACTGTCTCCTAACTTGGGCATACAACACAGCTGTAGGGCTGGGCCGGGCTGGGCCGGAGAGGAATGAGTGTCACAGACAAGTTTACATTAAGAGGAATGCTCTAATCTCTCTCTCCTTCCAGGGGGAGGGTGTGTTTGATGTCAGGATCTTGGGTGGTACTACACAGAAGAGTAGATTGTAATCTCTTATCCTGACAGCAAGTTTGTGCAGACGCCGTCACGTCCTGTGTCTTAAGTTATCAGGCTGCGTACCTTGCACCGAAGCAACAGGGTTGAGGATCTGGAAGGATGAGCTGACATTCACACACACTCCTGAGATGTACTGCTGCTTCCCGCACATGTAGCCGTACTGAGGACCACAAGCCTGCAGAAACAAGACACACACGTGTAAACACACTGAGACTGTAGCTGCTGGAGAAAATAAAACTGAAGGGCCACGACTGGTTAGCTTTCCACCAATATGACGTCATGGGTGAGAGGAGGTTCATGGCTTCAGAGAGGAAAGAACTGTTCAAACTGGAGATTACACGGAAACCATTAAAACCACCATAGATCCAGTCTGACTGTACCAGAGAGGGAAACAGAAACTCAGCCTTCAAGGTTAAAGGCCTCTAAAGTTGCCAATAGTTACTGGAAAACTGGCTAACATCTTCTCATCTTTAAGTCATATTTCATTAGATTTCCTCGGGTGATTTCCACGATCTCACTGCATTCCTCACATTCAGAGAGAGACGAATATAGCCGTACAAGAGCGAGTCTTATCTACAAAAATGCTTGCACCTCAATGAGGCTGAACTTAAGCCAAAATCTAAAACACTTGACACTATGAGACCAGCATGTTTTCAGTCCTGACTGACTGGTTTGTAAAATACAGCAGCTTGCTGAGCTTCAACACAGCCTAACACTCGCTTATCAGTTTGGCAGGGATGGGCTCTATAAGGAAGTGAGTACTAATAACATACTGGTGACAGATTAATATTAAGCTGTTAATAAACAAACCACTTCAGAAACACTTTATTTGACGCCTATCTCTATAACGCATGATAAATTTATTTATCATGTGTTATAACACTGTATAACTATAGTTATAAACACTCATAAATAACCATAATGCTTTTTAGCAATAATCATAACACATTATAAAGCATTTTATCATGACTTACAAGGTCAGGTATTATAATGTGTTATAACTGTTAACAACTCACTGACAATGCCCACACAGATAATGCAATATGCATATATTCATGATGTCTTATAATTTGCTTATAAACTTGTATAACTATCATTATAAATACTCATTAATCATCATAAGGCTTTATAACAATAAGCATAACACATTATAATACCTGACCTTGTAAGTCATGATAAAATGCTTTATCATGTGTTATGATTATTGCTAAAAAGCATTATGATCATTTATGAGTGTTTACAACTATAGTTATGCAGTGCTATAATGTGATTATAACGCATTATACATATATTTATTATGCGTTATAGAGATAGGCGTCAAGTTAAGTGTTACCACAACTTCTGATGCACATCTTTTGGTTTTAAAAAAGATCTAAGGCTGGTTTGCAGGCATTTCATTTGGCAACTTTAGGGTGATACCGCCTGAAAATACCCAAAATAACAAGCATAATATGCTGATGATGAGCTGGTATATCTCACTTTCTGCTTATAAGTGAATGTAAGCATATGATTATTTGCCAATAAGCTTTGACACAGATTACAATTCAGGTTGATAGAAATGTTATTAGAAGGAAATTTGATTCTAACACACTTCCAGGCATCTTCCTTACAGGAAACCTTACAAGAGAATCTGCATTTCAAGATATTTGCTGACCCTAAATTTTACAGTATATCACACTTACTCTGATAAATACTGTAAGACTGTGCTTTGTGATGAATGGTAGCTTTTACACATGCTAATACTAGGTATTCAGGTTTAGCTTCAGCTATATTAAAAGCTTTAAAGTATTCTCACGGTCAATTATAAGGCTGTGTTTTTTGGGGCCAGTGATCCAAGTTGTAGAACTTCATATTTATTGATCACTGGGGTGTATTATTTCTCTCATGTTTTACAATGTAGTTAACATGAAATTACATAAAAATGACTCTCTACAGGAGTTTATAGACATAAAACTTGATGGGTTTCTTCACCTCCTCCATACAATTCTGCATTCACACAGTTGCTTCACAGTATCCTGTTACATTCCCAGGACATGAAACTGCACTGGGAAACACCGAGGGTCAAGCCCACTGTTTCCACACAGAGCAAAGGTCCAGTGAGAGTATATTTATGCCCAGTTTCTTTCAGTAAAGTATGTGAAGCTCCTCTTTTGTGTCTAGTATGGAGACTGCTCTGTTGTCTTTCTTCTATAGAGCACTTTATACATATATTACAACTTACCAGAAATCCTCCGTTGGGATTGGTGACCAGCGTCGTTCCCATGGTCATGTTCTCTTTGACTTCAAGCAAGTTGGGAATTGTTGTGTTTTCTAAGAAAGATAGAGATGAATAAACAGAGAGAAAAAATGAGTGCAGCTCAGAGAGAGAACAGCTGGACAAATTCCTCTTCTGTATTTCCCATAGGAAGAGAGCCACATACCCTTCTTCTTCACTCCCTTAAATTCACTCACATCTCACTAACATATACTATGTTTCTTACTCTAACTCCCTGTTCTTCTCAGTGTATCTTTTGATAATTAGTAAAGGACACAAAGCATCAAAATGTTGAGTTGATGAATGTCCTGGTTGAGGAGGGAAAGATTTAGAAGACACAAAACATGAAGAAATAAAAACATGTGGCTAAAATTAGCAAACTATTGCTTCAGCTACAGGAATGCTCCGTATCTGCTGTACTCTTCTTGCCAAGGGACCCACATATTTCTCACAAACTCATTCACATGCCATTTCAATTTTGAATCATAATCTTTACTGATCCTCAAGGGGGCACTTTGAAATTTAACCAGTTCTGAATGTCATTAGCGGCAGGTTATGACTTTGGCATCTGCTTTCCTTCAAACAGACTTATGCAACAGTAATGTTACTTGTTAGGGTTGTGGTGACATGTAATTACTTCAGTTTGGCTCTATATTTCATCTGGGTGAATAAAAATTTCTGCTTTCTCATCGTCAGCTGTAGAAACCGTGAGAGAAAAGCAAAATTAAAAGTCCTTTTAAACGAGCTTTTGGCTTCAGTCAGTTTTGGCGCCCCCTGTGGACAAAGTAGTCTTTGCTTATTTTGTCCTCTACAGGCTTGAGTAATGATTTTTTTTTGTTTTGATGACTCATGAGTATAAAAATGTAACATTTATGGTTATTGTTGTGTGAAGAATTTGTAAAAACAGGTCTGTCTCAGCGGACACCTACACCCTTGCACCGATTTCAGGCATTAGACATTAGAAAATTAAAATCATCAATCATGTTGCTGATAGTCTTGCTTGATGTTAAATACCAAAAAGGGCATCAGTATGAATTTTAGTCCTATTTAAAAAAATTAAAATAAACTTACTTTTAGTGGCTTTAACGTAAAGTACCCCGTATAAGCATAAGAAGTCTAAAAACTGTTTTAAAGTTTCTTATAAGTGCCATCAAATGCCTATAAATAAATAGTTTTGATTTTATAAGGAATATATATATGCAGTTTATAGGAATAAAAATGTTTACAAGCATATTGAAACAGCATAAAGACTAAATCTGTCATTTTCTATCTCTAATAACAAGTATCTGAATGAATTGCTATGGTTATTGCCTAATTTACAAGTTCGCCAAGTTTTAGTATTTGATCTTTTATTTTCATCTATTCTCATGAATGAGGTGGACTAAAGTCCTCTGCCTCATGATAGGTCCTCATGAGACTGAGAGTAGCTCTTTATAGCTGCAGAGGAGAAAAGATGCTTTGTCCTCAGAGACTGTGAACTCTTGATAACTATCAGCACAACTCACACACAGTGTGTCTTGGTTAAAATTAACTTCTTGAAACTAAAAGAATGATATAGCCAAGGGAACCATGAAAAAGCCTGTCATATTTTCATACAACACTCAGGCACAAGTAATTAAAAAAATCTTTCATTAACTTTCAGTTTCTTTTAAACTGTTTTAGCAACAAGCTTCATCATGATGTCCCTTCAGTCTAGATATTTCATATTTGTACAAATATACATGATAAAATGTTTTCTACAAACACTTTTTGAATAAGCAGCAACCTTAGTCTTGAGAAATGAAGCCAATACCAAGATTTTGGTTCAAATGGCTCATTTCTGAAGCTGTTAATAGGGCGGATCAAGTCCTGCTTCAACTCAGCCTCTTTATCTTGTGTTAGGTCAAGCATGAGTTTGGTTTAATCAGCATTTCCAAATGGCTCCAAAACACTGAGCCTACATCCATGTTTTACACAGTTGATGTTGTGAACTCATTCATGACACTTTAGGTGCACAAACTTAAATTCTATCTGAATCTGAAATTATGCAGCTAACTTATACCCTTTATTTTTGTCATTTGAAAACATTTTATCACACACGGCAGTTCTGTTTTGCAGACATCGTCAAAAATCACAGATGTTGGGACCCTCGCCAGTACGGCATAACCACCTTCCAGTGTAATTGGTCTGAGGAAAATGTGATTAAAAATTACAACATTACCACATTAGGTTATCTTGCTCATTATGGTTTGGCAGATCTTTATCCTGGACTGGAATGATGTAAAAACCCCGGGAGTTAAGACTTGGGTGTTGTCAGTGGGCATTGATTAAATTACAAGGATCGGACTGACAAGTGATTGACAGACTCAATCACAATATTAACATGGGCGCCATTTCCCCTGACATGCCTTTAAAAGGGTGGACAGCTATCATGCTATTACATTGTTTTTGTGCTGAGAAAGCAAAAGCATGCAGATTGATTTGACACCATGAAAGACAAAATCAAGAGGGACTATATTTCCAGTGTAAGTAAACACATGTTCTCCATTTAGGTATGGCTGAACAAAAGCTAATATTAGTTTTCAGACACTTTTTTATATTATATCACAAACTTAAACCATGGCCTGTTTTAGCTATGTATTTCTTATGAATGAGGCATCAAAATAAGATAACTGCCATGTGCACTGGATTGTTAACTCTACATTTAGCCTAAATATACTCAAAATTACAAATATCAAACTAAGTCATGAGGTTCATGACTCACTTCAGTATGCCAAACACAGCATTTAATGTTATCTTTATTTTAAACCACTCCTGGATGTTTGCTGAGTGGTCTGGCTCCGACTGCCAGCCTCATCAACTCCCTGTGGATGTTTCCCAGACTAAACTTGAGTTTGTGAGATTAAACTTTTTCCCTGTTGAACTCACATTTATGATAAAACAAATACAGTACTCTCCCCCCTGGTTAAAGGAGGAGTATCATTTCCAGGCCTGTCTGCAAATGATCAGTACTTACAGTCAGTAAAGCCAATAGTTTACCCTCAGCAGGTGAACTATGACTCAGAACTCTTAGTAATTCAGAGGTGTGAACAGCTGTGGTGAAAAATCTAAACCCCTGAGGGGGAGTGTTGGTTTTCAGATATTCTGGTTCTCATAGTCCTGCAAAGAAACGCAGATATGCACAGACAGCTAACTGGGGGCTAAGTTGTGTTTATCTGCTTAGTTGAGATAAAACTAGATGACTGACTGAAACATTAAACCTTGTTTATTTACCATCTTCCCATTCAGATGGGCCTTATTTCCGCCCAAGAGACCCCATCAGATATACAGTAAACTTAAACACACAGAAACATCAACAAAATAGAGCAAATCAGGGCAGCAACCACAAATTTTCATTATGGGATAATGGTTGGATTATTTTCTCAATTATCTGATCTGTTTATTTGGTAAATTTTTCTATTTATAATATCCTAAAGACAGGGGTGACGTCTTTGGATGTCTTGTTTTATTAGGCAAATATACAAAAACCCAAAGACTAACAAGACGCAAATGTACAAATTTAAGAAGCTGGAACCGGAGAGGAAAGTTTTGCATCCTCCCAAAATCCCTGTAAAGATCATGAAATAAATGGAAGTTTATTATTCCTTGTTTGCTTAATCATCACATATTTAAGTGTACGACAATATAATGCATATATTTCCACAACTGTGCATGCACCAAAACAGCAAACTCAACACACACACACAGACAGAGAGTTTTCTTACTAGGCAGCTCCAGTTTGACACATTTGTTGTCTGCTGTCCCCACAGGACACTTGTAAACGTCTCCAGTCCGCTTAGCTGGCTGCCCCGACAGCGGTGATCCAATCAGAACCCTGAATAAATAAACAACACACAGGATTGGCTGGTTAGAAATACGGCCAACAACCACACAGTTTTACAATCACGATAACAAGTGCGGTTCCAGTATTGTTGTGAGAATTAAACATTGGCGAGTTAAAAACATTATCTAATTTCCCAACCATTCAGATTGGCCTTAATTACACCAGTGAAGTTAAATTGCACATGAACTGCCGTTTCTGATTGGCTAATAAATCTGTTTAAGTTTATTTAAAATGGCGCGTGATTCTGTGGCCACCTTGTTATTATATTATCACCCTTTAATTATTGTTTAAAACTGAACCCCCAATAAAATAAAAACCCTTAATTATCATCTCATTATAATTGTATGACATGCTGCAGATGTTGCAGAGCAGTGTGTAGATGGTGTGTACCTTATGTTACACACATCTACGTCTTTGTGAGTGAGTCATAACATCATGTAACTGCATCTGTAAACTGATGCTAAAAAAAAAGTCTGTCATCTGCCTTCCTCCAAACACTCAGGCTTATTAACATTCCTGCGCTCTAATGGGCCCTGGTCATCTGAAGGGAAACTCAGAGAGAAACAACAACAGCCCTCTCTGCTCTGCCCACACACTGCTGCCTGTGAGAAAAGATACAACACTATTGATCAGTTCATGATTAATATGAAGCAGCTTACTCTTTAACGTGTCGATACATGACTGGAGATTATTTTAGATTGTTATTTTCACTTTAACTCATTTCACACTTGTAGTCTTGCTGTATTTGTTAATCAAATGAAATATGTACATTTGAATATAAAGGCTAGTTGTATTCCTGTGCCTCCAGTACAGGTGCTACACTAAGCTAATGGTCCCTGACATAAGCTGTTCGTGGTACAAATCTAATATAGGAAGAAGAAGCACATTTGGGAAAAATTCACATCAGACAAATTTGAAATAAAAGACTGGGAGTAACCTTCAGGAATTTGGGAGTTTTAGGAATAAGTCAATAAAAAATCTTCACGTTAAAAAGAAAAAAGTCTGAATCTAATATGAATAAAGTCGTATAAAGTCATTATATTACAAGGTTAAAGTAGTAAAGTCAGATTCTTATGAGTATAAAGTAAGTTGTGGTAAAGTTATGAAAACAAAGTTTTGATATAACGAGAATAAAGTCATTGTATCATGGGAATGAAGTTGTGATAAAGTTGTAGTTGTGGTTTATCTTGAACAGCCAGCTGCCTAAATCTTGTTAAATTGTGGTTCAGCAGCAGCTCACTGTTGGAAGTGTGTGGACTCTGACAAGGTTGTACAAAAACATGAGACTTGTGGTATCCCCCCTTAGAAGCAGCATTATGTGGCTGATGATTGACTAAATTAACAGCTTCATCCCGGTTACTTTATGACTTCAACTGCTTAGTAAAATGACTTTAATTCTGTAACATAACAGCTTTATACTTTCAATAGTAAATATATACTGTCTTTATAATATATTTGTGTCACACAAAGCTGAACAGCGTGTCACTCCAATGTTTTGATGGTTTGTTTTACTGATCAGTGTTTTGAAAAAATAATACATACCAAAATCCAAGGTATAGTGTTGACTTCTTATCTTTGCATCACCTTTAATATGTAAAATAAACATCTGCTGACATAGTGTAATGAGAGGCTCTGTTGCTGCATCCATACCCAGCCTCTTCAGCTCTGTTGGTACAGCAGGTGCCCCTTTATACAAAGGCTGCTGCCCCTGTTACACTAAATTTAGGACTGATCCCCAACATGACATGAAGGCTGCAAATCACTGCCAACTCTCTAACACACACGTTTCTCTTAAACTGTCATATCAAATGGAGCAAGGGGCTAACTTTGGGGTGGGTGAGGAAATTTGAGCTCAATGATAAAAAGTAAACGACTTTTAAAAATGACATTAGCTGATTTATTTGACTTGTTTTAGATCAACAGTCCTGGGAAAAAGGGGCAACACTCCCGGTAAGCCGGAAGATTTACTTTTGAACTGTGCCTGCTAAATGTACCACAGTTTCTCCACGCAGTTCATCCACCTTTCATCACTGCTGAGGTGCACTTTGGAGCTAAAGGGCGTAGGTCAGGAGGAGACATCTGTTACTCATCAGTCATCCTCTGTTAAGGGTAACCTGTGTGTTACATCGCCTCATGATCTTTCTCTCTTAAGTATTCTTCTACTGAGGGCTACATATCATCTCTAATTTTATTGCCCTCCTCCTTAATTCCTCTAAACTTTCCCCATCTTTCTCATAAACATTTTTTCTCGCTCATGTTTTATTTCTATCATCTGTTCCTGCTCACTCCTTTCATATGTAATGTCCTCCCTCTGCTCTGTGCCTGCTCCGCCCATGTTGGATCTAAGGTTCACCTTCTTTAATCGGGCCCCTTATCACTCAGATCTCCTGGGTTTTCTCTGAACTGCAACAAAATCGTGCTATCTTGAGATGCAACAGAGCCAACATGTTTTCAGGGAACAATTTGGAGGTTTCGCAACAGCTGGATCCACTGATCAGAAGTGAGTGAATTATTGTAACTGATCTCATATGAGCTTGATAAGGGCATAATTGCATAACAGCACCAGGTACAGACCAGGAGGGGCGAAAATTATGAGCCGTGGTGTTGCAACAGGTTGGCGGGAAATACATTGGGATATTAGGACTGGAGCAGCTAAAGGAGATATGTAGTGAAAAGACGATGACTCACAGAGCGATTAACTTTGCTGTTGGCGCTTTAAACGAGGCTTTAAAATTGTGCTTCCTGACAGTTTCAGCAAGGAGTCACAGATGCTTGGTTTCAGTGTATTTACAGGCTGGGTATGTGGACACTCTGGTGGGCAGTTTACAGTTAACAGCCAGAGTCGTAAAGACAAAGATCCTCATTACAGCAGCAGCTGGTGCACTCTCCTTCATTTTTACGGTTTTACAGGTGAACTAGGACTTCACGCTGGTGTGAACCTTGAGGATTTGATTGAAATCGGTGTAGTGAAAGCAAATGATGTTATAAAAATTGTATAACAGGCTCTAAGATAACATTTTTCTTTTAAAATATAATAATTTATGATAAATCGAGCGAATTATTTTGCAAACAGCAGCAGTTGGCTTCAGTGTCAGACACCTTCTGCAGACAAAGCTTTCATCTCAGGAGGAGTTTGTTGCATCATGACTGACATTTAATGGAGCATATGTCCCACCTATTTAAACTATTTAAACCCATCAAGTGGTTAACATCTGTTTCGATCTGTATGCTATAAATTTACTTTATTTAAGGGCTATTTATAAATCCTGATCCTGATAATATATATCCTGAAATTTACCCTTGAAAAAATGAGTCAGGTTAAATTATTCAGACAAAGTTGGTAATCAAAGTCTTTAGTGATTGATTTTTTTGTCTTCTTGATTTTGATTGGTCAGTTAGAGAGAGTACCAAAACTCTGCGGCATATTGGTTTTATTCTGAAAAAAAAGTGCTAACATTGTGGACACAGGCCTTTGTATATAACCCTTAAAGTCTATTTCACCAGTTGGCTTATTCCTTTACTCTGCATGTGTTTGGTTCAGTATGTCTCAGAAAGTTTCTTCTAAGTGTCGTTTCTGGTTGAGAAGGAAGGTCACGGCTATTTTCTCTCCCTAAAGTCAAAGCATCAGAAAAAAGTGGGAAGTTTTCATGTTTCCTGAACAACAGCCACAACAACAACAGCTGTTTGTCTTCTTCACTGATTACTCTTTCGTAAACAAAGACCAGTACAAGCTAGATTTGCATCTCAGCTGTTACTGAAACCCGGGGCTGCTCCATCAATAAAGACCTTCTATGAAAGCTCAGAATCACACACTATAAACGGCACAATAATAGCAGATGATATGAAGAGGAGCTAACAGCTAGCTTTAGACATTTTCTTTGAGAGCATAACTTTCAGGTTATTTCGTGACAATGAAGCTGTGTAAAAAGTAACACCCACAAGCTGTGTCGAACTTTATATCGGTGGAGAAACAGCCGAAAAAGAATTGTTTCAGGATGCAGCCAAATAACGCTGACTTGATGGTTTTCACGGACACCAGTATAAATATATCAAAAGTGAAATGAGTATAATATAGGTCTCTTTGAAATAGCACAGTAGTTAATGCCACTCACCATTTCCCCTCGCTGTTCTCAAACTGCTGAACGGTGTAACCAAACATGTCCTCCAGAGGACCGTCGAACGACAAACCATTTTTCTGGTCCACGTTGAAGGAAAGCACGCAGGCCAGCAGCGCTGCAGGGACAGAGGGAGAGAAAAGGTTATGGACGGCTGCCAGGGACTGTTGTTTACTGCTCTCCTGTATGAACTCAGATTGAATTACTTTACTCAATAATAAATAATCCAACTTTGAGACTGCAGACTTGTGTATTGACATTCTCAATTAGTAAAAGGTCAGTCATTACAAACATTAATACTGAATGTTTATTCAATGCTTATGATGCAATCAGGAAAGGATAAATAAATAATACTTATTAACACTATAATCCGCCCACCTTTTTTTCTTTAAAAGATTTTAAATCCATTTGAAATTTGGGGGGAAATTGGTGGCATCAATGAACAAACTCTAACAATAATCAAATATATCAGTATTTTCTTACACTTATCAAACAGTCTTGGTAATATACTGTATTCAGAGATAGACACACTCATACACACACACACACACTTAGACTCACTCACACAAAGTGATTTTGGAGATCACTGGAGGAATTTCAGACATCACTGTGAAGCACTCTGGTCAGAGTCCAGTCTGACCTGCAGGACAATGGTTTCCTCTCTGCACTGAGCGCAGTCTGCACCCGTCTGTCACTGAGCTGATTATATATCACAGAGGCTCTATATAAATCCATCCATGTCTCATTGTGCCTCCACCACAATGACACTCTTTATATCGACTGAACCAGGGAATTCCTCAAGTTTAATTTATTCAATTCCTGGACTTGTGAAGGAGTGCAGAGGAGTCAAGACCGAACAGTGGAATAAAAAGGACTTGGCAGACACAGACCACATACATCGAAGCGCAAATAAAAAGCAGCTTTTTCTTCTCTGATGATGATGTTTTGTAGCCAATGTGTCTGGTCTGGTTCAACCCAAAGATGACTACAATATGGAGTCTGGACTGCACTGCTAAAGTAATTACAGAGTTGTAGCCACGCTACTATTGTAGCTCTGAAAATGACACCACAGGCAGTCTGTGCAAGACTGCTGTCAAGTCTTAAATGTGTCCACCCATATATGACAGATTTTCTTGAAATTTTATGTAGAAACTTGTTTTTCAGTTTGTCAGTCAGTCCTGAAAACTTGTTTGTTTTTGAGTTAAATCTCCTGACAACCATTTGAGACAATTCATGTTCCTCTTGAGAGTGAATTACGAGGTCATCTGACTCTTCATCTACCACCATCATCAAAACTAAATTTTGTTTTGTTATTCGCATCATGACCCCAAACCATAATTTACTACCGCTTTCGGGTTTAGCATCTGAAAAAGATTGCATTCTCACACAGTGTTGCTTAACATGCTAACTACGAGGTACCAACATGTTAGCTTTGCCGTTGTGCCGTCACACACTGTGCTTACAAAAATAGTGTTTCTTGGCCCCCCCTTCAAGATCATTACATACTCAGACACAGATCTTACATAGGTTACGCTCTCTCTCACACATGTGCAGGTGATCAGGCAATCAACCTCTAACATGTTGGAAACATCAACAAGAAAGGCCTGCTGCCAAAAACAACAGAAAACACACTATAGTATAGCCAATCAAATAAAAAATAAAGTGAGAAAAAAGGAAAATTAGTATATTTTTTTGTTTTGTTTAGGTTACATAACATAAAACTTTAATGTCTATTCAAATATCGGCCATCCAGGATAGGGTCGAATAAATACAAGACAAAAAAACACCAACTAAAGATGGACATCATAAACACTTTTATCTGAATATCTAGTAAAACGCTAAAATGTCTTGACATGTTGTTTTTTATCTCATTGTTCTGTACTGTGCTGTGGTATATCATACTGTCTCACATCACTTCTAATTTTAGGTTTTTCTTCTTTTGTGAGTGTTTTCTCTGACTGGTAATGATAATAATCATTTCATCTCATAATTCCAAATGTACATTTTTTATAAATAGTTGAACATGTTCTGGTTGCACAATCTACTCTCCACAATATTCAAGTACACACAGAGTGTGAGAGCTGTTGAATGTGTGGCGTATTCTCTTGCACATGTTAGCAACACGTACAGGGATCAGCGCTCATGTATGCGGACCATAACTCATGGAGCATGAGATGCATGAATTACATCCAATTAGGTCTGTTAGCAGCCCCTCTCGCTGCTTTTCATAAACACAGGACTTATGAAAACACACTGCTGCCAGTCATCATGCCGCTGTGTTTAGATGTTGATCACATTTAAGATTATGCTCTTTACATTCCCCTCAGGTCAGTAGAGATATACAGAGGAGGGAGAGAAGTGGACCTGCACAGTCATACAGTGGAATCCCAGCCAAGAAATATTATCCCCCCTGTTTCTCCCTCGCTCATTTTTCTACTTCCTCTGTTGCCCCTCTGCATCTCTCTGAGAATCTCCATTTCCTGTTCCTATTAACCTGATTATAGACATCCCCTCAAATCCAAAGTTGCACACACATACACGCCCACAAACTCACTTACACAGACACACACACAGTTAATTTAGCTGATTTAAGATGGCTTTAGGCCAGCCAGGCTTTTTCCATTTATCACGGCCTAAGCTCAAGTACACTTCAGAGTCAAGCCGGCCTGAGCTGTAAATTACACCAAAATGTCCTCTGTCTATCAGCCAGCATGTCTTTTGTGTATGCCAAACTCATTTTTCTGTATTTGATGTCTCCTTATCCCGTCCTGCTTCAATCAAAACCAGTGAGTTATGTAACTGGCCATTTTCATGAGCTGGGGGAACATCTGCCCTGGAAAACCAATAACTGGACTTTGTCTTATGTGGATGGAAATGGCCTCATGAGCCTCCGAGGTACTGGCATGTAAAGCTGTCCATCACTGTCTTGAGGATTCATATTGTGCTCAAATACACATGCTGGGCAGGAAGGAGCGGAGGAAGGAGATGCATTTTAGCTATGTCATCACTTTGGTTTATACTAAGATATCATTGAAATAAATCAAGAACTATGAGATATTCCATGAAATCTGCACAACATGTTTATGTTGCACATGTGCTTGTAGAGGAAGTGGAGGCAGTCTCTTGGTAAAGCTGTTGGATGAGTGCCACAACTTGTATTTTTTTAACAGCCAGCAGGGGGCAACTCCAAGGATACAACTCAGGCATCTTTTCTTGAAAGTTTTGATTTCATATCACGGTAAAAGGTCTATGACGGTATGTTTTTCCCCCCTGTAAATTCAGTTAATGGCTTACAAATAACCATACTGTCGCATTTATTCATTTTTGTTTTATTTTTAAACTCGGATTTGTATTTAAATGCAAACATAACGCCAGACCAGTCTGTTGATTTTTTATCATATAGCATCCTCTCTTGTGTGAGAGGAGCTGCTGCAACTTTATTTTTTGGTGCAGCAGGTGCGCCACGCATCTTTTGGCTCCCATAATAGAGCTTGATGTGTTTCATCTTTAGGTGGTGGGAGCGGTTGGTAGTGTTTCCTCCTCCAGCATCGACAGCCACGCAACACTCTTTGCATATTATTGTTTTTTGATAATTGTCGGATTTTCTAAAGCTGAGAATTCTTTCTCCTTTTCCTCGTGTTGGGCTGCCTCTGTTCGCTTGGTACTGCCACTAATCTCCGCGTCTGCCACGACCACCAGAGAAGCTGTTTCTTCTTCATCCAAACTATGCCAAGCGGTCTGCTGGACACGCTGGTGATTATGAGGAAGCGCACCCAAACCTGACCAACCAACAGAGGGAACAAACTCTGCACAACACGCTGGTGAATATACGGAAAAGCACCCAAGCAGATGCGCTCCGGCTTTCCTGTTAGCAAGCGCAGACAACTACACACTGACTCAGAGAGATGCAGCAGACATCTGCTCACTCTCTCTACCATATAAACAGTATAACAAAATTTACACTAGGTAGAGCTACCTAAAATGTTTTTCATTGCAGTATAGTGTTGATATAGTTACATATATGGTCCCATTTGGAGTTACAAGTAAATAAAACACATTGTGCATTCAGGCATGGCAACCAAAAGTCACGTAGTTAGCGTAACGTGTTAGCCTGTCTTGTGAGTATGAACACTTCTGGGTTAAATAACAAAACAAATCATAATTTTGGATTTTTTGAAGTAGCACCAGGGGTGGCCAATCCCATTTGAGGGGCCAAGGTCACCCCTGACCACCCCCTATGAGCACACCCCTGGTAATAGCTGGCTTACATTAACATGTTTCTACCAGTTTTGGCAGCATGTGTGCTGTTAGGTTTTGGTAGCCACTGGGTAGGCTCACAGAGCTGATATCATCACTCCTGTTTCAATAGACATGAGAGACTCGCAGATACAACACAGCGTTTGTATTTGGTTGTCTCGTAACAGAAATCTAATTGTTGCTCACCAGAAATGTCTTGCCTAATTCTGTTTAAATATCACAACCATGAAACTGCAACGACTAACCAATCGGTCTGTTTTTAGTCAAGCCCCATGTGGACCTGATTGACCCTGGCAGTCTGTCAGCCACACTAACCCACAATAAAACCCTCCAGCTCTCTCTGCAACAGCCATCAAAACCAGAGCGACTCCACATCAGCGTTTAACAATTCTGCAAAACATAAAACCCAAGTCACTTAAGTCAGATCTGTTTGATACTAGCAGGGAGGAAAGCAGCACAGATCAGCACCTGTTGGCCTGGGAGACATCAAACCGGCTATAAAAGTGACCTCGAGTCAGCACCTGTAAGCTTCAAAGCCTCGTTCAATCACCGTAGCTACACACCCGACTGACACCTGCTCATCTATAACATATCTAACCAGCTATGATGGGCTTTAAAGCTGTACACAAACCAACACCTGTGGGCAACAAAGTCATGAAGTCAGCCTGAAACTCTACCCAGTATCTTGCAACATGAAACAAGCTGTGAAGTTGACCAGAGACAGATCAAAATAAACATCTGTAGTGGCTCAGAAATGATGTTGATGTACATCAGGGTTAAAAAAAAAAGCAGAAAATTGACGGACTTGATGTCTGATCATCAAAGAAAAAGGGGCTTTGGGTGGGACCTTCATGCAGCATGTGCTGGTGTTTAACAGCCAGGAAAAAGAAGCTTCATATTCTGGCATGGGCGTGGGCCGCCTGGCGTTAAAAACTGAAACATATCCAGGTTCCCTCCTCTGTTCTTTTATCTTTATCAGTTTCTCTTTTGCACCATCTCTCCTCAGAGTGTCTCATTTTCTGCATCTTTTTCATTTTCTTGTCCTTTCATGCTCCAACAGCAGTCCCTCTCTCTTCGCTAATCATCTTAGGAATGGTCAGTCACAAGATGAGCTTGAAGAGACTGAAAGGTTTCAGCGTCATTCTCTGACTTAATTTTCTCGTTACACCGTCTGCTCAGTCGCTGCTTATTTCTTGGCAAATGTGCAGCATGTGGGCGTGCAGCAGACTCAAAGGTCATGAATGTGGGTGCGTTAGTGTTATCATATGCAGGGGAAATCACAAGGGACCAAACTCTTCTGAGTTCTACTGATAATGCCTGCAAGCAGAAAGAGATATACATAAGTGAAAAAGAAAAAACTCCAGCATGACGAGGAACAAGAATGTGGCTGCATTGAGTAAGTACAGGATGTATGAGGCAGGAAACAGTGCTTTGAACTAAGCGCACTTTCACGCATGCTTTGAACTCCTGAACTTGAAGGATCAAACCTGCATGTGAGAAGACAAATGGCTGGACATTTAACAGATGTCACCTTCAAATGTAGAGCTTACATCATGTTCAGTTAAATTAATGCATGTACAGAGCATTGTCCAGAATGAGTGCGCATGTTGCACACTTTTGAAATGCCGTTCTCTGCCACGTAAAAAAGCATATACAGATTGGTGGTCGACCAAAACAGTTTTTCAACTAGTGATGATGATGCTTTGACTGATATCAGACGCATTGCTAAACTTCATTACTCTATACATTATTCCGTACATCTATACAAATATACCTTTGTCTTGTCTCTCCTCAATATGACTGAGTGGTTTTAATTGGACATCTAGATATTTAAGGCCACAATGATAACCATAAGGTAAAAAACTGATATTGTGACAGCCCATATGTAGGAATCAGCTCACGTGCTCAAAACTGCAGAATAATGCTGAGTTGCAACAACAAGTTGCAAACAACAGCAGCATTATGTTTCACAAATATCTGAAATGCAAGCACATTTTCTTTTGCAACATTCATCTTTGGTTTAAAAATAGTAAAAGTAAGTTACCTCACTCTGTAAGTGATGGCTTGCATTGCATATGTGGTTTATAAGGCTCTATTTTTTAGAGCAATATTGATCATGTTTCTTCTTTCCATTTAGCCTGCTGACCTAACAGTTTTTCTTATTAGCACTTAGGGCAAAAATACGAAAACATGCAGAAAGAATCTCAGTCTTTATGTTAAAATGTTTTCCTAGATATTCAGCATCTGGGCTAAATGCCACTTAAAAATGCCAAAATGTCAACCAGACAGGAACCAAGCTAAACATCTAGAGAGGCTTGTCAACCTGATACAATAATCATCAGTCTGAGAAAACCACCACTCTCATTTTTATTGCCATTTCGCCTAACAAAAGATTAATTTAGAGGTTCATGTTGATTTCACTGATCGCACTATTTCTGAGACATTTCATTGAAAAATAAAATTTAAATAACGCCAAGAGAGATTACCAAAGTGAGTAGGATTCATCCTCTGTGCACCATAAGCGGATGGGAAATTTCCAGCTTCCAATGAATTAAAGTTCTTGTGAGATATTTTACAAGAGAAAGAAAATCTTGAACATGCTTGTGGCCCAGAAGTGAAAGACGAGGTTTCAGAAAGTCACAAGTCCTTATTAAAGTCACCGCAGTCTGTCCAGTAGTTGATGGGTTATTTCATTTTGAACCAAAATAGAGCGATCAACTGACAGCCCAAAATTACTCGAAATTGTTTCCTCCAACTTTGTTCACTCTTCAATCTGCTTCCTCTCCTCCACTCATTCATTATTTCTCTCTCCCCTCCCTCTTTCCTTCAGGAACATCATCCATCCCTTTACTATTTCTTCCCTCCATTCATCTTACTCTCTCCCTCCGCCCACTTCCAGCATCCCTCTCGCCTCTCCTCGTGCTTCCTTTCATTCATTGATTGAACATGACGGCTCGGTGGTGTCGGATTCCACTCTGTGAAACCTCCAGATGTATCCTCTAGAGCTCCGTCTCTTTCGCTGGTGCAGAAAACATGTCGGTGTACAAGCTGAGACCCACGCATGACATCATCCCCCCTGACGCTTGTCAAAGCTTTCATCCCCCTCGAACCCCCTCTGTATACAGCAGGGGTGGTTGATGCTCTCCTAACCGTAGCGACGTACACATGTGATGTCGGCCATATCTGCTGATCATAACAGTTTTAATACACAGGGAGCAGCTGGGAGGAGAGGGGGCTTCTGGGATAGATCAAACACCTCTGGAGGAACTAAAAATACACACACCCGAGGGTCAGAGAATGACCTTCCTTTAGATTCAATAAGCAACACGCTAAAATAATCATGCTAAAACTCTGCTAACAGTAAGAGAAAATACTAAAACTTCCATATTTCTGTTAATCTAAGAGTCTTAAAACATCGCTGTAAGTTTATTTGGCAAAGTCAGAGAAAGCAAATGAAACTGAGACACAAGCGAGAATCAAATAGAGAGAGAAGATGAAGTAGATTAATCCTGTGAAGTCAGAAGGCCATAATAACAGCTATTACTTTAGGATCCACTTGTGTATATAATCTGAATAACTTCCTTTCAGTGTAAACATACTATAAGACTCTAATTATAGCTCCATAGAGCTCCTGTGGGATTTCTTTGTGTTTTAAATAATGATAGTAACTGGCTGTTTGCCAAATTTCTACTTAACAGAACAACACATATTGATCCAAACTATCTATGTTACTTAAATTTTAATCAGAGGTTGATAAATACATGAGCGGTAAAGTGCTTTCTGCTCACTGTCTGCTGTGTACGCAGGTTGACGCTATTAATTTATAGGGAAAACAACAGAGAGTTTACTAAGTGCTGCTTTTAAGCTAGCTTGTTTTACCGCTGATAAGGCTAATCCGGAAAAGATTGCTCTTAAAGACACAGTGACTATCTGCTTGCTTTTTCAGAGATGAATGTGAAGATAATTAGGTCTCATGTCTGTGCAGAAAGTCTGGAGCCAGTTCTGGGGTTTTGTTGGCCTTAGCCGTTAGCCTAGCTTAACTTAAGGACTGCAAACTGGGAGAAACAGCTAGCTTGGCTTTTTCAAAAGTCTAAAAACATACATACCAGCGCTTGCAAATGTTTCTAATTCTTGTTTGCTTGAGTCAGACTCAAATTAAAAGGAAGAGATGTTAAAGGGGTTTGACGTTGGCTGTTAGCTAAAAAGCCAACTATCATTGTTTCATGTGCGTTCACATTTCAGGGTGAAACAAAGAAGGGAAGGACCCAAAATGCAGAACGAAAATAGAATTATTTAAAAGGGAGTAAAACCACAAAAACTTACTTTCCAAATAGTCCAACCAAAAAATCCAAAATCCAACAAAGGCACTGGGGGGAAACACTGGAGATACTGGAGTACAGACACGTTCACATACAACACAACACACACAGTGAACCAACAAAGAAACAAGGGAAGACGAGGACTATATATACACACAGGGAAACGAGCAACGAAAGGCAGGTGAGACACAAGTGCAGACAACCACAGAGGAGGGAAAACTGAGGAAGTAAAATGAGACTAGAAACACAGGGAATAAACTACAACAAAATAAAGCAATAAACACTGAGAACATGAGGGAACCGGGGTCAGACACAAACTGAAAACTCACAAGACAGGACTACAGGGGAACAGAATCACAAGGGAAAATATTACAAAGGAAATACACTTGAGGGAAACACAAAACCAAGGAAAAACTAAAAACCAGAACATATCATGACGTGCAATGTCAGGCAAGTAATAAAATATGAAAATATTAATTACAGTGACTAAATTCAACTTGACATCCATCAAAAAAGATATAATTACTATTTTTTAAAGGTAGTAATTACTGAGTAATTTTAAGCTATTCAGATGATTGTGTTCATCACTCACTCCAGTGTTGCAGATCTTTTGAAAAAGTAAAGAAAACATTAAGACTCTGAATTTATCCTAATCCATGAGCAGATTGTGGGATATAATATAGTGGGAAATATTATCAGAATATATTATTTACTGGACAATGAGCAATAAGGAAGTGTCTTCAACAGAAACTTTTGATTTTGGCATTATTACAGTCTTCATTAACAACGCACTGGACCGTAGTTTCTGGTATAACGAAATCACAGAGAAGAACACAGCAGAAAGCAGAAAGAGGAGGAGAGATATGGGACGAAACAGGAAGAAAATCAGAGTTTGAAGCTCAAAATGAGAAAAGACAAAGTGTCAAGACTATATTATATCAAATATCTACACAAATGTGGACATGGTCTCAGCGGGAGTGACTCCTACCCCTGTCTACACTCCCTGTCAAATGCAGAGATGTGTTCAAGAGGTCAAACTCCTCCTTATTTATTGTTCTTTCACAGTTTTTTTTATGCTGCTCAAGCACAGTTAAGAAAAACATCACACAGGCTTTAACACACCCACTCTGAATATGTTGAATGATTAAGAATTACTGGCAAACATTTATCTCAAACACTAAAATGAACTGATGACAGAGTTGAGCGCACCAAAAATCCCTGTGTTGAGTACATACAGTACTAAGCAAGAAGATATTTTTCATAAAGAAGCAGATTTTAAACTTTTTTTTCTATCGAATATATCTTTTATGATCACACAGAAATAAGTTTTAAGCACAATAAAGTAGAATAGGCTTGATTTCTAACAGCTGTGATTGAGAAATGTGTAAAATGTTTATTTTCTTTGTGCAGGTGAGCGCCCAGGAATTGGTGATTTAATGCTACATCTAAACAATGTGCAGCCGAAAACTTCAGCTCAAGAGGGAAAATATCTACAGTCTCGAACATAAACATTAAGTGTCCAGTCTGGACAGTCTGGTGTCTGGCTCTTTCATTCTGCTGTCAACAAACCGGCTCCAGTTGCAGTCTCTGGAGGTTTTAAAAAGCAGGTACCGGGTTCTGCTCTCTTTGCTTTGAGTCAGGAGTTTCTGCAAAAAAACACTGTAAGTATATGCATGCACTGTTTCATAGAGAGTATTTTTAAGTTTCCTACTTGGCATTTATTTATAAAACAAGAGCACCAGTCAGATGATTTTTTAAAACTCCTTTCTGGTTATTTTGTGTGTATATTCATTAGGTTATCAGGGATCTTGTGCTAAACTATTTTGGTGCAATTTCAAATATGAGCAACGTTTAGCTGACAACTCATGTTAGGTTTTTCTGTAAAGTTTAATTAGACTTAAGTTAAAAGCTGACCCAAACATATGAATCAAAGTGGTAGGGGGATAATTGGCCTAATGAAATAATCAGGTTAATAGGACTAAGCTTATTTTGACCCTCTTTAAACTGCAGTAACTTGACACATTACAAACAGCCACCCATTTCTTTCCTAGGAAACTTCTTCTCTGGGAGGAGAGTAGCATGACTAGCGTGGACGTTGGTGTTGGCCTCTCGTCTGAGAGGTTAATGTGAACATGTTGCTCCAGGCTCCAGACTGCTCCCTGTATGATGCCAGTTTGATTGATAGCTCTGGCCTGCTGTTGGCCTGGGAGAGATACGGGGGCTGAGGGGGTGGAGGGCAGGGGGGGGCAAGCCTGGTGCACAGATGCAGCATTGCTCTGGTTGCAAACACACACAGACATAAGAGCACACACACACATCGACCACAAGCACATGCATCCAAGATCTGAGCCTATCAGCACTTAGCAGGTAGAAGAGCCCCAAAGGAGTATAAGTATGTGTGTGTGTTGTGCAGGACTTCTTTAAGTGTTTCTTCTGGCACGATGAGATGGGATCTTGATTGGCACACATAAAAACAAGGAAATGATTCTAGACAGGCTGAAATCCTGTTATATGAAGAAAACAGTTTTATGAGGACCAACACCCAAAACAAAAGCTTTTCACAGTCATGTCCAGTCTAAGAAAAGGGACAATATATATATACTAATGGCTTTTTTAAAGAGTAATGTTCTGCAGGGTCAAAAAGGCTATGCAATATTGAATCATCAGTCTCTGCTCTGCATCTTAACCTTTCCACCCTTCAAGAGTGCAAACTTCAACTTAGACCCTGGAGTCTAAAGTTGCATGACTCACATTGAAAAGTTGGTCCTGACACCCGTTACTGTACACAGTATCTGTGAAATTATCCCCGTAAGTTGTTCCTTGTGCCTGATGGTCTTCTTTTTTTACAGAGTGAGCGAGCTTTGTTGGGTAGTTTGTTTGACTGGGATGGACTATATGGAAACATTTCATCTGTCAGATTGGAACAAGCAGAAAAGGGCATACATCCATTCAAAAACATATAATTATGAGCTGTACAAGGAGTATTAGTATTTGGAAGCAGGTTACAGTTTAAGCAAGGCAAAATATGATCTGTATCAATAATCCCTTTGTGATAGAAAGATAATTCTTCCCTTGATTTAGAGGAGTACTTGTGCGTTTCTTTCACAGGGTTTTTGTTTACAACCTGACTTTGTGTTAACCCATTCATTCAGGTACTTAAGTTGGTCCAACCATGAGAAGTTCAATTTAGTGGGATTTCTGACGGATTAATGTGTTTACGTGATTTTTAAAAATTCCAGTTTCAGTCAGACTAAGGCAGTAAATCGATTTTTTTAACTGCATATAAGCATACTGGAAAGTTGGATTTCAGCACTGTTCCGTGAAAAGTCCTAATTACTGTAAATGTCAACGAGACCAGACTGATTTGTGAAGCATTTAATTATCTTTTTTTTCCGTATTAAAAACTTGTACCAGCCAACACTGCACCATGATATAAGCAGAGACTAAGACTCCCCTCTGTTGTAAAACAGAAGCTGTGGTTGTCAGTTCCCTTTGACCTCTGAACTTCTCACTCTTCTCCTTGTTTTTCATCTAACTTAAGATGATGCAATCTCGCCCCATGATAAATTCTCTGTAAAATGCCTCCCTTTCTAACTCCCTCCTCATCCTGCCAGTAGCTTTTCATTCCTAACTATCTTCTCTTTTACCCCACTGCATTTCTGATCCGCAATGCTGGAGGTCACATGACCAAAAAATACAAGCTGTTAATAAAGTAGTGCGTTGAAGAGATAGAGCAAGAGAAAACCTGCATTTTTGGTATGAAACAAAGTTTAAGTTTGACTAATATTAGCTTGGCGTAATGCTGGTAAAAGCAGTGATGCTCATTTCTATGCAGATGATGTGCTAATGTGTATCAAACAAATACTGATCTTAATGTTTTAAAGTTCTGACGTATTTGAAACAAGATTTTTATATTTTTCCAATTACGTAAGGGCTCAGCGGGGTTACTAGGATGTTCTTGAAGCACCTTAATTGTAACAGACTGGAGAATAGGCGTGATGAAGTGTGAAGCACGCAAAATGCTTTTATGTGTTCACCGTGTGTGTGTCTGTGTGTGGCTTGACCTTTCCTGGAGGTTAAGACCTGTGTAAGCTGACACAACATGTGATGTCCCACCTTCACGGGTGTCGTGTTTTTTTGGACGGATATCAGTTTTCTTACAAAGTTTGTGTGTGTTGTTGGGTGAAGTTTAAAGGATTAGTCTCTACTTATCTTTTTATCATGTTTATTTTTGAGCTAAGGGGCCTCTTATAGAAAGATTAGGATAACTTCAGTGGGTTAATGGCCCTCGACAAGCAAACCACTTGCATCCATAACCAAAAGGAGAAACATATTCCCTCAGCTTTCAAAAAAATAGGCGGGAAAAGCAAAGTCCTGCTACAACCAAAAGACTTCTGGGCTTCACATTCAAGGAAGAGACAGGGTTTGGCACAAGCGTTACCTTGGCAACCCAGAGTGTCTTTATTTTTCTCTTGCTTACCCCGTCTGGCAGCTATGGCACAGACAGACCAGTGATGATTCAGCCATGACTCAGTTCTGTGGTAGAGCCCGACCTCAGTGTGTGCCTCTGAGAGTCATTCATATACTTTTCTTTATTTGCAAATTATAATGTAACCGGATTAAGGCTCCACACATGTGCAAGCACTGGAGAGAGACTGTGTGAACGGCTGTAAGAAAACCAAACTGATCAGTAGATTAAACAAACTAATTGACTTAGTGAACACTGTCACCACAATGGTGTCAGATTAAAGTCCAGGATCGTGAATGGTGACGATATAGAGCTTTATTCATTCATGTACAGAATTTTTTTTCCAAAGTATCTCAAAACCTTTCAAAAACTTTCTGACAAACCAACTTCTCAAACTGTTTAAAGAGGGTTTTGAGTTGCCTATGCTTAAATTAGCATGCTAACATTCACAATTGCAATATCTTTGTTTACAATTATGGCATTCCTACACTGGGTATATTGTACCAAACAATAGCACATACTACCATACTAGCATTCCCAATGACTATGCACATTTTTAAGTATTCATTATTAAGTTAATAATACTAGCATTTTAAGATATAGTAAAAAAAAAAAAAAGAAGGTAGAATTCCTCTGGGAGAAATGAAATCCAGAACAAAAAATCTTTCAATAATATACGTCATGTAAGAAACATGCCAATAATGGCTCTTTAGTAAAAACACATCCAGAGTTAGAAAAGCAAGAAGGGTTAATCCTCCTATGAGCATAAAAGTCTGTTAAACACCAAGGATATTGTTGAGATTCAGTTCAGACCAAAGTGATGGATTAATATTCAACATAATTCTCTCCTTTAAGCCATGTTTTAAATAAGTCTTCAATGAATTCCTCAGAGCATTTTCTGTTTTCACATTTACTTCCCCTTTTTACAGTATGTAAGGTTAAGTTAAAGCTCTAGCAACTGTGGATTAGAGCTTTAACATGTCTCCAGATTATGATGCTTTTAACGATACTCCTCCCCAAGCATGTCTCTCCACCACTCTACAGCACCATGTTGATTACAGGTTTTTCCAATGAATGTTAAAATGAATTAATAATACATTTTTTAATGAATATATATTAAGAAAGTTACGATTCATCTCTTAGATGATGTGACCTGCCTGCTGACAACACCAGCTTTACCCGACCTTGACAATTTTTCATTTTGCAAGCGACACCACGAGTGTCATAGTTGCCACATGCTGCAGAGACAGCAAATTCAGTTCCACATCTGTAATGGTTTGAAGCAGTCAAATATGAAGCTGAGTTGGGTGGGTGGTCTTTGTGGTTTCACAGGCTCAGGGCCAAATCTTTGAACCTACATTTGATGAGCGCAGTTCTTCAAGGAAATATATGCCCTTTTGTTTTGTGTGCACATCAGCAGAGCAAAACTTCCTTCCTGGTTCACTAAATCTAAACTAAATCAGTCAACTCTGCATGCACCCAAGACTGCGCATGAGCTTGTCTTCATCTGAACGAGCTGCACATGTTACTTCCCTGATAAGGGTAGAACCTTCAACCAATGCCAAGTGAAAAACTTCAATGAAATGGTGACCTTTCCCTTTAAAAACGCACTTTAAACGACACACAAACCACAAAAAAGATATATTAGTAAATTTAGCTGAGAGACTTTTTTGTAGTGTAAATTTAAAGTCTTAAACAAAGAAGTACTGTTGATAAATATGACCTGTGAAAACTGATTTTTACAGTGTTTTAAATCTAAAGTAACACTTCCAATTTCATGCTTATGCTTAAAATGTGTTAAAAACCTAAAAGACATTCAGTTTACTATAAAATGAAAGCACAGAAAAGCTGCAACTTCTTCCTCACGTTTTAGAAACTGGACCTTGGGAATGTTTACTAAGAGCTGCCCAACACAACCAAAAAGAGTCTGAGTTGGTAATGGCCCAAGATTTTCAATATTTCCTCATTTCAATCTATTTTCTATGTGCCTGAATGTGACCACATTGTCTCTAATCATCACTGTCAGTGTGTTTTCCAAAAGCAAGTGCCAGTAGATGTTACCAGAAAGACTTCTAATTGTAGGTGGAGATTTGAGCATGCAATGGCTGACCTCGATCAACCACATATATTTGCAGTTGGGAAACCACACGTTTTCAGTTCTTGCCACGGCGGTGTCAGAGTTTACAAAGACTCTATCATCAAGTACATGTCTTCAGTCAGAAACACAACAAGCTTTTGTGTTTCACCATAGAAATCCATTGAAGAGATTCAAAAACTGTCAAGACTTTAAAAACAAATGGATCAACCAATCCCCTTTATGGTTTGGGTGTGAGTTGGTTTTGCAGATGGATGCAGAGAACTGTGCAAACTGCTGCTTTGAGTACATTCACTTGAATTTCACCTATTTGTGAGAGTTTAGTCATCCAATTAAGTCACCTTTAGCAGCTTTAGGCAGTTTTAACAAGGACTCAGATAGCACTGAGGTGAGCTTTAAAAGTCTGTACAGTGTTGACAATATTATATTGATGACGTCATTTGTGAATGTATTTCTTTGTCAGTGATGATTGATTGACAGGCCTGTGTTTAGAAAGATTAAATGGATTGATTGGTATTTATACAATAAGCTACAAGACAGTCATAAATCAAAATTAACAGACTTTTGCTGTTATGTTGTCTACAAAGCTATCAATCAATACACCACTTCATCAATCTGCATTATAAATAATGGTCTTGAACAAAAAGAGAAGCATTTAAAAAGGAGATCTGGATCTGTACAACAAAAGCACACATTCGTAAGAGACACATCTTTAGGGCTGTGAGTGTGACGGTGCTCATGGGAAATGCAGTTTAAGAAGTGTCAGATGAGTTCAAAATAGTGTTGAAATACTGCATTTAAATGTTACTTTCGTGTTATTTTTTTTAAGAAAATACCAACATATTTATACTTCCTTCAACTCATCACAGACTTATGTCCTATGTAGAGCTAAAACTCTTTGTAAATTAACCTACAACTTTCTGTAATAGCCTTAAGATTCAGACTAGCTGTTCCTTAATGTTAATCAGTCTTTCCTAATTGACCCCTTAGAGGCTTCTTTAAGTCTGAAGGTGTTTAAAATGAACCTGGTCTCGTTTGGATGTAAAATAAATACTACATTTGAGAGTGATACTGTATGGATTTCTCATTAACACTTTATTTGACATACCATACCAAGTGCTCGGATCACCCTGAACTTCAGTTTATCATAGTCCCAGACTGTCACACGGTCAGACAGGAAATGTAAACTATGAGGTAAGTGCTAGCTCATGTGCAGACATCGTCATTTGTAAAAGCTGTGAAAATGAGCAGCTCCACTGTATCAGATAAGTCACCAAAACTTGCTAAAAGAGGACACTTTTTTCTTGTTTTATAACACTGTTTAAGTACCTATTTAAATTGCCACCCTGTTGCTGCTGTGACTGCAAGTGAGCAACCTGATCATCTGACAGAAAACAAGCCAAGACTGCAGACTTTAAGTTAGGATGCTAAAGTCAAAGTATGAGAAATACCAAATAAACTAACTTGATCAAATCTTTATTTTTGTAACATTTCAGGAAATCCGTCCATCTCTGCTAGCAGACAGTTTAAGTTCAATCAGTGCTGATTGCTGTGACCCAGGGAGTGAACTGATTTAAATGACAGATAGCAGAGATAATAGAGGAGGAGGACGATTGCTAATGACGGAGAAGGCTGCAGGTTCATGACTCAGGCTCATGAGTTTACGCAGAGCTTTAATGTCCTGACTCAAATCCACTGACCTCAGATTTCAGCGAATTAACCATCTGCACTGGTTTTCTACTGCAGGTCATGAAAACAAGAAAAAGACAAATTCCTGAAATTACTACATTAACAAATGAATTACAAACTGTAGTAAAAATATCCTGAGTACTAGCCTGTGTTTATTATGTTTGATAAGGCTGCTGAACGGACCGCATCTAATGTAATAAAGGATCGACTGAACTCCACACTGTCCAGCGGCTGTTTTCAGAAACCATGTGTGATGTCTATGATGTATTCGATGCCCTGAGGAAACCTTCGCATTAACAGCTTCAGTGTACCACTCACAAGTACAACTAAAAGCAAGAGACAGGGAAAGCAGGATGTCTCAAAAAGTGTTTGAAATAACAGCAAACATAGATACTTAAATCCAGCTTTCGCTAAAAGATGTTTAAAATCTTAACAGATGTGAACGTGAGAGACTCCAGATGATAGCAAATAATGACAGATTGAACAGTTTTTTTCTATTAGTGTGACCAACACAACAAAACATTAATTAATTCCTTTCACCAACAACAGATTCCCAACCCTTAAAACTGGGAATCATGCATAATTTCTCACGGGAAAGCATGACTTAAGAGTAAACCAACATGATAGACAACAGGATGGTGGTACAGCCAACTGGTTCATCATTCATTTCCACTGAACTCTAAGATTAGTGCCATACCCTCAAGAAGTAGGTCCTAAGTGCATGCTTCACATTTACTTCCATTGTCTTGACCGCATGTGTTGTGTTTCCTTTGTCAGCTTGCTTCCTGATTGGCCATTGTTTCGAATGGCAGTCCAGAGTCTGTGCCCATGTGTCTTCAGGAACAACATTAGCCATCCAGTTCTAGTGCAGACCACTACCTGCTTTGTCTTTATACTGCTGCATACAGTGCTGCTGAGAGTACTGTAAATTATGGAGTCAGACTGAACTCTATTGGACAAACTATGTGACGACATCAATACCAAACCAACCCAAGACTTGCAAAGGGAAATTCTTTGTGGTATATGCTGGAAAGCATGAACGCCAGCACTTAATACATCAGTGATAACCCTGTAAACTGGCCCATTAATATCCGTAGAGGCTCTGGTGAACAATACATCACAAACCCTCAGAAACAGTGGTGCCTTAAAACGTCTTGTTTGAGATCAGTTATCCAATACTTCGGCCTTCCCAGACCTTCAATACATGGAGGAAAAAAGAAGTGCGCCTTGGTATGACAGAGGTAGGAACATTTTTACATTTCAGGCTTGTGTTAGTTAAGTAAATGCAGATTTTTTGTTGTTGGTCGAGTCATAAATGAATGACTGTTCATCACAAACTAGGAATCTGACAAGCCAGACATGATGTTGGGTGCCATGATGGGCCTTTAATGACCTGGTGATTAATCAATTAGCCACAAGCTTATCGACCAGCACTGGTAAAATCATTAGCCGCAGCACTCATCCGGCCGTTTATGCCCTTCACGTCCTTCTTAAGCTTGGTCACTCCAGTCCGGCACATATTGATTGAAGCCAGATGCCCTCCTCCTCCTCAGCAGCAGCACCAAACTCAAACCACCTGTAGCCCCATCTCCGTTAGGAATTTACCCAGATTAAATGCTGCCACTACAATAACCACATGTGGGCCTCTGAGGCGGCCAGGGCCAGCTCCCAAAGCACAACATGGGATCTCCCAGTATGGTCTCAAAACAGATAGCTTCTACCCCTGTGTAACCCTGCTGAGGTCATAGTCGGCAACAACTCAGACTACATTACATTAGTGACATGTGCACTGGTATGAGTGTGCAATATGCAAACACAGACAGGACACAAACTACATGAGGGTCATTCACGGACAATCAGAGTAAAAAAGGAGGAATATAAGATGAGGGGCTAAACAACAAGTCCACACTGGATCTGATAAGTAAACCTGACTTCTCCAGTTTTCTATGCAAGCTTCTGCTGATCCCTGTCCACACACAGACACCGCCACACACATTTGCCTCCATTTCTAACTCAATTCTCTAATGACCATCACAAGCCAGCGTCACATGTAAGCATAGAAATCTGAGAGTTAAAAAGAGACATGCCCTGTTGACTTTGCTCTGTTTCTTCTTCTCTCTCTTTTTTTTTTTTTCACTCGACTTCGCTGGTACTTTCCATCATGTTTGAACTACTTGGACATGACCTAGGAGTTAATTCAGCTCTGGTGCTCTGGAGCTAAACCTGAGCCTCACCAAAGGGACTCCACAAGACCAACACATCTACATATCCATTACTAAAGCAGACCCCCTCTGCCTCTTGAAGCCGGTGTAAAGACGAGATTTATTTCACTTGAACCCCCCTTAAAATCAAAATCTAATTATCACAAATGAAACCCCATCAAGTTTCACAAGAGGGTTTTGTTTTGCTACAGGATCTGACTCGTGCTTTTTGCAAAAATTTCTGCAGAAACATGACGAAATCAGATTACATGACACTGCAGAAACGTTTCCCTTGAGGCAGCAGAACTTACTTTCCCAGTATGCTTTGGCAATGTAGCGCACACACCGTCAAGCAACATCCAATTAGAGCCTCATACAGTAATTTGACTGCCTGCAATGTGTCTGTTTTACGAGGCTGTGCCATGCTTCGAAGACCACGCTGTTGCAACGAAGAAACAATTAAGTGCTCTGCGGTTTCTTCTCTGTCAGAATAAATAACATCTGGGCTATAGAGTGGAGGAAAGTATTTAGGGGCAGTTTACAAGGACACGGTGGTGCCACCACCTCGTAACGGGCGCACAGGCAACGTGAGCGGCGCACCTAACTGATGCTTTTAGTCGTAAGCTGCTGTCAAGCGTGTGCGCAAAATACGCGCTGAAGACCTTGACGCGGCAGAAAACGTGTGTCTGTCAAGCAACATTTATAAGAAAATTCAGCACAGATGATGAAAAATTTCAATGAGAAATCACTCACCAACAACTGCTGCTGTTGTCAAAGTAAAACGCTGCCTTATCCCGAGCATCCTCACCCTTGATAGATGTCCAGCAAAGCTTCAGATATCCGGACTTTCCCGTTTGACGCTCGCTGTTGGGGCAAATTACAGTTCCCCAGAGACGTAAAATAGCTAAATAGCTAACAAGAGTCCACAAGGCATTTCCTGTTCAGCAGCAGCAGCAGTAGCAGCATCCACAGTTTGACTGTCTGAGGTCTCGTTTCAGAGTGACTCCACCACTCGGGATGAGATCTGTTCCATTGCGTGCAGCCGAGTCTGTTGTGCGGAGCGGGACAGACAGAAACAGGGAGGAGGACCAGGAGGAGGAGGAAGGTGGGCGGGAGGGAGGGAGCGTTGTAAGAAGTTCACTCATGCACAGGACCTTATATGCTACGTTTGCGGGGGCTTGGGCCGGTGGTTCATGGGAAAATTGTAAGCAGTAAAAATAACTGCAGCTCGGTGATGCTTGAGTCTGTCAGCGATTAAACAATTAGACCAGAATAGTTGAGTTTTAATGTGCAGAAGTCAGTCTGGAACAGCTGATCATGCACTTTGAATTACTATTAATACCTCCTTTAAACATACAAATAGTTCCTATAGTATCCCATGACAATTAGATGAGGACTGCTTCAGAAAAATAATCCTACAAATGAAAGTTAATGTTCATTCTAAATCATGAAAATTACAATTTAAAGACAATGGAATCATCATTCAGATTTTTACTCTCTGGTGATCTTCTATGGCTGATCCAAGACCTAGTTTACACTCAGCTTCCATACAAGGACTAGGCTCATATTTCCCAGGGGTCCACACTCCTTTCCCAGCTGTGGGTTAGTGTTGAAAGTTGGGGCCACTGTACTTTATTAAAAAGAGGTCCTCAACCATCTCTGGTAGCCTCTTAAGCTAGCACCTGGAAGACGTTTTTCTTCAGTCAGATAAAGACTCGAAATCATCTTCCATTTCCAGATAGGCCCAACTTAAGTATGTCATCGACTTCATCCGCAGATTTTGAGTATTCACTTTCTTTTTAGCTGTTGATCAGTTGGAAAGTGAGAATCATTAACAGATTCCTTAAATCCAGAAAACTATAGCCTACTAAACCTTGACATGACCTGAAGTTGCTAAGGTGTCGAGCATAAAACCACAGCTGCAACGGACACAACAATTCCCAAGTATCGTTCCACTCAATAATTGACACAAACAAACAAACAAAAAAGAAAATTTGCGGGTAAAAGAATAAATACTGATAGATGGTTTGGCTTCGCTGTTTTTTTTTCACCATTCAGACTCCAGTTCAGCCCCTCATGACTATCTTACAGGGTTACAAATAGTCTGAAAAGTGCTGCCAATTTTAAGGTCGCACAGCTGTAGCGAAGTCCTCAGAAGATTATTGTGGGATTATTGGAGGAAGGGTGTGGGCAAAAAAATTGTTCAGGGAGGCCAGTGGAGCTCCCTGAATGCAGCAGACTTAGCTCCTATAATAGAAGTACAATAACGCAGAAAAAAAGCTCATAGATTTGCTTGCATTTGATACCCATACAGTATGTCTGCTGCCACATGCATTCACTATGTAATGGAGGTGTAAAATTATCTGAATTGCAGCAATTTTGCACTAGTTTGTTGTTATTATTACAATTATTTCGAGATAGTGAGAAAGAGGAGCTTCCACTCCTCTGAGGGCAGGTGTGCTGAACATCTAACTACAGCGGAGAAAATAAAGACTGGCATTACACTCTTAGTGGTAAGTGCCATATGGAAACAACATTGGGAAATTCAAGCGTTTAAGAGTATTTACCGAAAATATGCCTACGACAATCCAGACTGATAGCCCGAACTGGTCTTTTAAGAAAAACTTGGTGAATGGAGTATTTATCGTCCTGGAAAACTATTGCAACAAACTTTCAGACAGAGAGCCTCAACAACTTTTACACAACTCTTTCTTTGTTTTGGTGAATCTGTCCCATGTTCTTTGAAATGTGTTGTACAGTTTTGTGTTGCTTTTTAATGCTGTTTTTTTCCTTTCTGACAGGTTTTCACTATTTTCGATTAAGTATGATGTTATATTCTGTTAGACAATAACATAAATGGTTTGCAGCACATTGAAGGCATGTCTATAAAAGCTCCACAGACAGGCTAGCAAGGCTTTAATGCGCCTTTTCCAACCACTATGAATCAATATTCAAAAATAGATTCGTCTTATAATGCAATTACATGGTCAAGGTTTGGTGGCGCTAAGGCACGAGACAATCTGGTAATATGGACAAATCATGGTTCAAATTAGAATGATTGCTGGTATAGTTTAGGTGGCTTTTTGTGCCTCCGGTTAAAGGAATAAAGCTTATTTGTGGTTTAGGAAACACATGGTTATACTTTAATAAAAATACAACTGCTTGGAAAAGGGTTATAAAAAAGTTCCTGTGTTGAAATTCGGAGTTTGGTTGACAACCCAAGCTTGACTTCAGTTCAGAAAATATAAAATGCTTTAATCAGTTGCAGGGTTTGCCACTCGAAGTTAAGGATATGTTATTTTTGAGACACTTCCGTGTTCAGTTTACCTTTTTTTTCCCCACCAAGTCATCCTTTCAGCCACTATTACTCACCCTAGACTTAACTGCTTTCCTCTTACGCTGCCAAATCCTAACGGAAACCACAAAAGCTCCAGTTGTTTACGGCTCAGTTACACCTATTGTCTTGTGTTATTGTCTGCCTCTTATTTTTAAGTTTAAATCGACTGAAAAAAACATTTTATTTGACAGCTTGTTGATCTCTATCCTGCAGTTTTCTTCGATATCTGTTACATACAGACAGTGTTACTGGATTATGTCATTACACCCACACAAACACACTCAAACACACACACACACACCTGCACATAAACATGTGTTTCTTCAATCACTGAGGAGCAGAATCAGTTATCCTTGTCCATTTCTACGTGTAAATATTTTGAATGTGTGTACACAGAGAACTACAAACATGGAGATCGTTTAACAGCTTGCAAGCAGAATGAGCTTCTTATTGTTCATACAACTTATCCTGGTGTCGCCGTCCACATTGTGTAATTATCCATACACATCTATATTACACGTGCACACTTGAAATGAACAGGAAAACGGTCTGTATCTGTATCAGACAGTGATCTCAGGAACTCCCACTGACTGAGACAGTTTACAGGAGTCCTTCCTGTCTTCAACCCCGCAGATATCTCAGACCGAGACTCAGGAAGACCCTGATTAGTTTCCATCTATTTCCTCACTTTAGTATACCCTACCCCACCCATCTCCCCCTCCTCTTTCCTCATCCTCTTACACACCTCGGTGAGCTCACGTGCTTGTTTTTCTTTGTGTTAACAATGTATAGAGAGTGTGGAAGTGGTTCTGCATGTTTCCTCCTTTCATCCTGACATGCCATATCCCTCTGTTATCCATAGAAGTCTATTCTAATGTGTTTTTCTCCTTCTACCTCCCATAAATGTTTGTATACACTCAGACATAATGACAGCATTACAAGCATACAAGGCTTTCAGTGTCCTCTAACGAGTCAGAGGCATCTTCTATCAATATCACAAACGCTCTTTTTTGAACATATCATTAATATTCTCCAGCCACTGGAGCTTTTCTGAGCTGGACTTAATGAAGATGAACTGTGTATCCCAGGCCCGGAGAATCCCTTTAACTGAAGGAAATTAGCTTTGTTCAGAACAACATTCATCGCAGACAGAGTCAATCATTGAGTCATGCTAAAGTCATAGTGGCTGACCCTCCCTGCTCAATAACAACCTCCCCTCCAGTGAAAGCTATTTACAGTGAGCATCTCAGGAATCTGCTGTAATGTATACAAAAGGAGAGGCCTTGTATGTAAAGGTGGATACCAGCTCGCAGTAAACATATACTATGTATGGTGTTTTCTGTCAGTCGGCTGAATGTTGGTCTAATACCTGGAAATTTGGGACTGTATTTAAATAATATCTAAAAACACAAACAATACAATAAACTAAAAACTTACTGTAAACAACCAATCATCAAACAGCAGAGAGACAGGGGACTTTTGGAGCAACAGAGTCATAGATTTGCAGTTGGAGGTGGTGGAGACCAAAAACACAGCTCGAAGAAAAAGAAGAAGAAGCAGAAGGACAACAACAACAACAACAACAACGACAACAAAGACAACAACAACGACAACAAAGACAACAACAATGACAACAAAGACAACAACAACATCAACAACAACAACAACAAAGACAACAACAACAACAACAAAGACAACAAAGACAACAAAAACGACAAAGACAACAAAGACAACAACAACGACAACAACAACAACAAAGACAACAAAGACAACAAAAACGACAAAGACAACAAAGACAACAACAAAGACAACAACATCAACAACGACAACAACAAAGACAACAACGACAACAAAGACAACAACAACATCAACAACGACAACAAAGACAACAACAACAACAACGGTCCAGGGCTGGATCGGGCCAATGTCATTTTTACAGAGTTCATCAGACCAAATCTGCTTCTCCCATTTCATCACGAGAAGTGTGATCTGGTTGAAAAGCTTTGTTTGATAAATCCATATTTCATGTTGAGGTGCAGGTGGTTGAATCACAATGTCAGGAAGCCACGGTCCTTGAAGTTGGTGATTCAGGTTTAATTCCAGCCACTTGACCCTTCTCATTTCCATGCCCATTCTCCCTTGTCAGTTTCCGCCTCTATCAACCATCCTTTATTTAATAAAAACACAATAGCCTAGAAATTAACTTACAAAGCCCAATTTTACCTTAAAGAATGGCGCCATCCTATCCACGTGGTAAGGCAATCATTATTATCATAACTTTCAATGAAACTCTGATATGAAATTGAGCAGAAAACAACATAGCCAGACTTACAGTTCAAAATAACAAGATTCACTGACCCCTAATTTCAGCTTTCCTTCCCTACAGTCAATATTCAGTTGTAGTCTATTGTTTGGTCTGGTAAATGTCCATGTACTTTCTGAGCCTTAATGCCACTTTGTAACTCTATTTTATAAACCAGATGTATTGCAGCTTTGGCTCAAGCTGCAATAACTCTGATAAAACCTTCTTAATCTCCCAGACCTTGCAAAGCTTCTCCTGAGCCAACAAACATACAATGTTTTATCACAGGCTTCCTATGATGATAAGACTCCGTTTTAAACCCTCACAGACAAACCAGTAGTTTTTGGTGACACTGAACTCTTCCTCATTGACTATTCTTTGTGTTTTGAACTATTGGTGAACATACACGTGGCCAGGAAAGCTCATTTAAACTCCAATCATCATTAGGGACACCAGAACAGGGTGCAGCAGCCAATTCTGCTGTCTGCACTCAGAACCATTATTCTTGAACAGCATGTCATTGCTATATAAGGACATGCCGCCTCTATATTGTTGTAGTGTGTGCTTAAGACCAAATTTCACTTTGTGTTTATTGATCTTCCAGTATCAGCAAAGTGAAAAAATGCAGATAAGATTTGTTTCTCAGGGTTTTGCTACTGCTAGTGGTGGAGACAGGGGTAGTTGCCTGCCTGACTTGGAAATCCCACCGGGGGTGAAGTACGGGGAAAAAAGAAAGTCATCTGTCAGCTCGGCGTGAAGGAAAACAGGTCCATCCTTACTTATTCCCTTTTGATGAGAACAGCATTTGACTTTGTTTGAACTCTAACACAGACCAGAGCACGGAGGGCGGCTGAAAATATCTTGAGTTTAACTTTGGTGTGATTCACAGTCTTATTCCCGTGATCCCTTTTTTCCTGTATTTCATTTATACTAATGATGTGAAAATAAGAAGTGTTCAGAGGGACAGCAACAAACAGGAAATGCCTCATAACAAGCAGATGGGAACAAACATGATAAGTGGATTTGTGTTTTGTTCCCTTCGGTTTCTCTGACCGTGTAATTAAGAGTAATCTTTCAAGCTCAATTTTCCAACAGTGAGATCCCTACTGATCCTACCAGAATATCACAACATTTGGGTCTTTTGTGCCAGTATCAAAAACTAGCCTGGGACTAACCAAAATGCTCCAAATGAAAGTGGATTCTCTGGTGATTCTCTGGTGATTCTCATGTGAGTAGAAATCAGCACACTATCTTCAAAGTCATCCTCCGTTCCCCCCCAGGGCAGACCCAAACAAGAATCTGACACATGTGGGCAGCAATTAGTGGTCTTTTCAGTCTCCTCCTCACTCGACTTCCCTTTCCCTCTTCTTGGTGCTGACAGGACCTGGAGCTTCTCTTCACTCCACATAAAGTCAGCAGAGGGTCTCGACCCTTTGACTCTGTCAACACAGAGTCAGAGAGGAGGTTACAGCCTGGTCACTTGCTCTACATCCCCCTCTGAAATACTGGGCACCTCTGCCCCTTATTGCACTGGTGCTGAATCCTTCATCAGTGGCAGGTTTAGCCAAGTGTTACTCTGAACTCTCTGACTCAAGTGTTTGAGTAACTGCACTCTGAGTGTACGTCACGCCACATAACATACATTTTTACACATACATCTGAAACAACATACAATGACATCAGATGAATGAAGTGATACCCCTTGGCCAATCGAGCAGATGACTATAGGGCACTCAATCTCCATTTTTTTTTACAGCTGTACTACTCAGTCAAAATATGGACAACATGGCTGTGCCTCCCACCATTGAAGCCAAATTGTTCTTGCAATTTCCAGGATTTTCTCAATGTCCTGAAACAAGCATTTGCACAATCACTTTGTGTCTGTAGCATTTGGCAGGAGAGTCGCTGCGATGACGCTCTGCTCAAACGACGTATCCCCCGGATGTCCTGCCCAACCTTTGTACACCCATAGGCTGTATCAAGTCTTCACAACCAAGGGGAGGAAAATTTATAGCTACTCTGTGTGATTAATTTTTAAAGTTTGTCCACAGATTCATTCATTTTGCTAGAGGAGGTGGGGTTTATGACCTATACTTCAGCCCGTCACCAGGGGGTGCTGTTCTCGCAGAGGCAAGGGAGCAGGAGACGTCCAGCCTATATACAGTCTATGGTCAAAACTGAGTCTCTCTTGAACCGGTGCAACATTTATGCAAGTATTTGAGATTGTATTGAAAAAGTAATCAGATTTTTCCTGGAGCTACGTTACGAGGTTGATATTTTTGCTTTTAAGAGTAAAGACCAAGTTGGCGTGATATCTGGGGTAGGGATGTGCTTGTTGAGGCGACTAAACAATTTAATGCTGGTACAGTTAAAAGTCAGAGCTACCTGTAAGTTTAACAAATGATTAAAGGGTTGGTTATTGTAGGTCTTAAATGCTGGTTATATGTCTTAAAGCTAAAACATACAGGATGCATATTTGGAGTGTGGCAGCAGGATCGCGTATCACGATGCAAATAGGTTGCCATTCTGATCAATGCAGCAAAGCATACAGGACGCGTATCAGCTCCGTCACAGTATCATATCAAGAGCAGCACTGCTAATGATAAGTGACAAATCTATTTTTGCTGCTCTACGCTTCCAATGCGCGTCAATCCACACAGAGAAGATCATTCTAGACAGGAAGTCAAGCACGAAAACCGCACACGTCATCTGGTATTAACTCCCAACTGTGTATCAGTTTATGTAGATGGTAAATACTTTCTGGTTATGGATTTATCAGTAACACAGAACAAACCGACGGTCAACCCCTGATCCGTCTGGACTCCAACAGGACTTTGAACTCTCAACTCTGTCTGAAGGTGACAGCACATAGTTTACTTTATTAAACACGAGTAAACCTGCAAAAATCCAAACTGTACAATCATGTTGCTTTTTCACATCTAGCAGAAAGTCAACTGTCACTGCATCATATCCAAATTAGCAGGAAATAGACCACAGAAAGGAAAAACAACCTGTTATGAGCATGTTGTTTCCTCTATACTGAGCCCAGCTGACTGGGGCTGCACTACGCTGCTGCTACGCTCCAAATACGCATCCTGTATGTGATACTCAATGCTGATCTACGGAGCAAATACGGAACGCGCTCAAAACGGATCCTGTATGTTTTCGGCTTTAAGCTATGGTGTCGCAGCAAACATCACCCCGTTAACTCCTGTGAAGAAGTTATCTTACCAGCATTAGCAGTTGGCTCAGTCTGAGTTGGAGGAAGCTTTCATATTTCTGGGTTTCCCTTTGTATGGCTGAGACTGCTTAACAATGATAGGAATGTGACTTCTGTCAAAGTTTGTCCTAAGACCCTGGTGTCAGCATACAGGAAATTTGTCAGGGCTTTTACTCAGTAGAGGGCCTGTTTTAATAATGATGAGTGCCAAAAGTGGACTAACTGGACTTCAGTCCCTGAAGGCAGTTTCAAATAAATCTACTTCTCCAGAAAATCATGGTGAACAAACTTTGGTAGCGTGAGAATCAGTTATTGGGAGGGACTGATTTAATGACTTTCTCTTTTGTCCCAGTGAGCAGGCGTCCTCCAGAGCGCATCAATGGGGATACAGCTACACATGAGCGTACACACGCACACACAGTTGTTTGCAGCATGTGACATCACATTCTTGGCATGTCACACTGCTATTGTGATCGGAGGATATCATATTCTGTTCAGGGTGCAGTAATTTCTTGGCATGACATCTGACATGTCAGCGTGGTTGACATGGGAGGAGACATGAACAGGGGGGCACTCACTGAGCACCGTAAAGACTGACCCCTAAAAGTTATGTTCGCAATAAAGTACATAAAGAAGCTGTGAATGGTTCAGTTTTCTGAATACAGTGGCCTTTGATTCGCACAGTCTTCTGAGGAGGCAGTGGCTTTATGGAGGTCAATTGTAGTCCACCCATCAGTTTTCTGAGCTGGTCTGGCTTATAAAATGGAGACAAAGCTGAATCTTTGTTTTCAAAGAGCTCAGCCTAATGGCAAAGTCTCATGCTTTAAAGGTTAAGCAGAATTGTGAATATTGTACAGTAATGATGAATCCTATTGAGTTCAGTCAGCGTCTGAGTTCATAATGAAAAACTGTTGTTTTAGTCAAACAGAGCCACTGATGATGTTATTACCGTTGCTAACAGCTGTTGGACTTGACTGAAACTTCACATTTCATGGAAATTTTTGCTGACCCTCAACGTCATCTCAAGTTTTCTGATCAAGTTACTGCCTGAAAACGCCTGCAAGGCAAATCAAACTTGAGTGTTTCTCTGGGATAGCGGCACAAAGAGGGAATTCATATTGATCTGACTATCCCAGACTACAGAAGCCTAGTTTTAGCTCTGGCTAATAATACTGACTCTTCTTTTTAGGAGTGGAGGAGGTTGCTCTCTTTCTTTGAAAAAAAAACAGGGCTCCCTTTATTGAAAAAAAAACGAAATATATATTTGATATTACTGTTTTGAAAAATAACATTCATCATATGTTGGTATTAGCAGTTTCAGGCATCAAAATACTGAAAAAAACGGAGAAACTTTTAGCCTTTTTCCTGATGGTCTCAACTGATTTTAAGGATCATAAAGAGGCAACAGTGTAAGATTTAGGCTAATTCTCAAACATTAAAAATCTCCTTACAGTGCCTTTAAATTTTGTGATCAGTTGCCATTCCAGCTTTTCACCCCTTGAGCCATGTTTTGTCATTAAATGTGCAAATACTGCTTCTATTTAAACATTAGATATATTAACACCATTTCAACGTTTAGGAGGTGTGACGGAGCAGCGTCCTCGCTGACTGCGGGCAGCGCATGGAGCCACACAAACACAAACATACCTACATACATGCCAAACATTTCCTTCCCCGCCAGCGTCGCTAATTATCCACTAAACATCGCTATCAAGGGTGTACACTTGGAGCTCTATCGGCTAACTTATGCATACATTCACACAGACATTCATTCCTCCACTTACTTGCCGGGCGTCCATTCATTCACGCCATCATGCCGGCTCATGTTTTCAAGTGGGAAACAGAGCGCGTGATTTCCGGATGTAAAATAAGTGTGTACGGCGGGTCAAAGTGGTCACATGATGCATGAAAAATTAATTCCCTTGTTATTTGCCATGAATCCCTAAAATTAATGCTCAATTAATTTGTGTAAAACTTAGTAAAAAATGTTAAAAGTTTGAAAGTTAAAAATGTTAAAATTGGTTTAAATGATAATAAATGTGTTTTTCTAAACGTATGAAATTAATAACGCCCACTGGGAGGGGCTGGGGGGGGGGGGGGGGGGGTTAAGAAGGCTGCCTGGGCCTTTCTCTGAGTCTGGAGTTTGTTGCATTAACAGAAACTGCCAAACTGACTTTTGTACTACTGCTGTTTCTGTTTTTCTTTTTTTCCTTGAGTGAGAATCTTGAGTTATAGTGGAATTCCAGCCCTGTTGGCATTGCCTTGTACATTTTGTAAATAGTATTTGACCATTTTTTGCACTTTTGTTGATATTTTTGCAATGCACTTTGGAAGGCCGGCTGTAAATAAACATCACCATCACCATATTTTTCCAACTAGTGTTTTTCCACTATATTTTGATTGTTTAAGCTAGAACCCCTCGACAGGGGGCTTTGCACATATTTAGTAAAATACTCTGGGTGAGGAGTCACGTGTGAAAAAGACACTTTTTCTTTTAATGATGTCAGTAAGTGGCGAAGCAGTGCTGGTGATGCTGTTGTGATTTTAGTATCATGGCCAAGTGACTTGGACAGCTTGATCCAAGGGATAATGTAATATAATAATTATCTTTGTGCTTTAGCAACAATAAAATGCGTACACAGTTGGCTTCTCACCATATGCACTGTCAGAATAAACAAAATATCTGTCCTGAACAATAAAATCCACCATCCCCCCTGATTTTTTTCACAACTTGACTACTACATACAATCCCCCTGGACTAACGGCATTTCCTAATAATTATGTGAGAAAATATACAACGATTATTTGATGTATCTGGTTTTAAAAGAATGATCAAACACAAAGACTTTATTTGAAATAAAAATTTCAAACATAAATTATCTTCTTACATTCTTGTCTCAACAAGAAGTAAATGGTATTTTTCCAAACAGGGTTTCATTGTTAATATCATGTTTGAGTCCCATAAACATACTCCTGATCTTTACATTTTATTTGCCAACTGGGTCCATCCATCCTGTCCAAATAAGAGGAAAAATGTGTTTTCTATTTGGTGTTCACAGGTGGTAAACCTTGAACTGTCAGCAGCATATCCTTACTCCCTTGTCTCTGCCATATGAAGGGGTGAAGTAAAGTGGACAAGAGAGACTCTGCTTCAGTCTACAATAGTTACACTCCAGCCTGAAGCCTGCTAGTTTCCCCTCTGCTTATGAAGACTCCTGTCATAACTGTGAGGAAGATAATTTGTGATAGATTTAGTTTTGGTGACAGGTCTCCTGCTGTGCATATGAATTAAGGGGTTTAGAGGGCACCACAGCTCCAGTTCAGACCCTCAGGGGGCCGAATCTTCTCAGGTGGAAGCTGTGTGTCTCAGCGGGTGTATCATGTGTGTTTGACCCGTCCGTATTTTGCCTCCCTTTAGGTTACCAGATGATGATTAGGACCATAGGTCTCCATGCCTCCTCATCATGTTCACTTCTCACTTG